AGCGACGAGAATGTCCCTCCCAGCCCTTCCACCCCATCTGACCCCATACCCATGTCATTCGCATCGGACGCTGTTCCGTCAGACTGTGCAGTGGCCACCACTGTGCTCGGCTCTTCCGCGTCGTTCAACATCCCATCTGGTATCAACACCCCACTTCTCTCGAACGCGAAGATGCTGTCTCTGCCGCCGACGGACCTATTCTACCCGAACACCATTAATAACATGAACAATTCTGACGCCTTGGTCTCGGTGATCCCATCTCCTCTTCCAAGCGCCGACTTGTCGTCGATACCTGCATCCTCCGATGCATTTGATTTTGCAACAGCCGCTGTTGGGACATCTGACATGGCATCGTTTGCCTTCGAGTTCAACGGTATGTCACCCAATTCATCAATGAACTTCAACTTTGATCCCGCCGCTTTCATTTGTTTCTCGCCCGGCCCCTTCATCGATGTTGATGAGGGAGGGCTTCCGACTGCTGCCACGGGTCAGGAAGGAGATGTAGACCCGTGCACAGGGGTGCATTTATCGTTTGCTTAAGGACATCTACGCGGTTACTTTGAATGTGGAATGTCTGCTCATCAAGTATTCTTGTTCTTTCTTCAAATAATGACATACGTAATGGTCTTCTAACACCGTCTATACTTCTGCTACTATATACAGAGGAGGGTTACTTTTTTGTAATTGTACGTAGTTTACTATAATATCGGATGCTTTATCAACCACCGGCTGCATAATACTTACGACGGCCACAAGTCCTGCTAAGTCTGAAATGCGGATGACAATCCAGCCGGAATTCGCTGGAGTTCGTGGCGCTGGAGTCGAGAGCTCCCGCCGGAGCTAGCTGGAGTCAGTCGTGCTGGAGGTGAGAGCTCCCGCCGGAGCTGGCTGGAGTCAGTTGTGCTGGAGTCTCCGGCTCCGGCTGGAGTCCGCTGGAATGAGATGTACTGCATTCACCAGAGTCCGCATGGAGGTGCTGGAGTCCCGACATTGAGACCAACGCTTCCGGTGGAGTCGACCTGAAAGGCTTTTGAGTCTCATAATACTGGACGGTACGATCAACCGTCCACTCTTATTATACTGCTATTGTGGGAAGGCCAGGTGGCAGCCGCAGCGATCAGTGATTCAGTCGCGTCGCCGATCCGGTCACTCGCATTGCAAGTGTGTTTCCGTGCATATTCCAGCTAGCTCTCGTGTAACACTTTCTAGCAAGGCTGAGGGCGACAGCGGCTGTCTGGGAGTCATCTCCTGTTCAAAGCAATCTGATCTGCTACATTCACGCCACGTTTTGGAGCCTGTGCCAAGTTCTATCGTCTGAGGCCGGACATCCTTCTAGTTGGCGCAGCTTTGGACAACCAACCCTAGATTTATTGACGGCCGGAGACTACCAAAGATGTTCGCTGCTGCAACTTCATTCTTCGCACGATCCAATATCTCCCAGTCGTATAATATAGGAGCGGCATCCACCTCGAGCAGGTCTACCACCCCCGCGCCGTCTACCCCAGGAGCGTCCTCGTCTCCCCTTCCGGTTGCTGCCGCGCATTCATCCACATTCAATGTCGGATTATGGCGAGTCCAGTCTGCAACGCACAAAGTCACGAACAAGCGCGTTTCGGTATGGAGCTTCGACAAGAGGAGCCCAGAAATGGAGCGCTTGACGGCGATTGCACGAGAGCATACTCTATCTGTCTTGAAGAGCGAGGTTCGTCGTATAGCTAGTCAACGTACGATTGAGCAGTATTTCATGGTCCTATAGGCATCGGCGCTTAGCCGTCTCCGTCATCCTTGTATATTAGGTATATTGAATTTCATAGGTTTGGGAACTTCCATTTGACCAGTCTAATAACTAGAGATGGTTGAACCGCTAGAGGAGACGCGAAACGAGCTCATCTTTGCCACTGAGCCGTTGATATCGTCCCTACAGCTCTCGATACCAGGCTCCTCTCGATCAACGCTCGTGGAACTCGACGAAGTGGAGGTTTGCAAATGGAAGATCATGCGTGCTATACAACTCTCACACCATAATTAGATCCAGAAAGGTATCCTCCAACTCTGCAAAGGACTGGCGTTCCTGCACACTTCGGCACGCCTGATACACAGCAACCTCAACCCAGAGAGTGTTCTCATAAATAGTTCAGTAGGTAGTGTTCTCCCTCGGATGTGACCTTGATTCGAGGACAGACATTGTCGACAGGGTGACTGGAAGATATCTGGCCTGGGATTAACAATCCCTCTCCAAAAACCGGACGGAACGGAGACGCGCTGGGAATTCCCGACCTTCGATGGGCGTGCGCCCTCCTATGTACAGCGATCCTTCGATTACATGGGTAAGCACCTTTTAGTTGACCAGACTGCGAGAGGAACACTTACAGCATGTAGCTCCTGAGTACGCTCTAGATGAGATGCTCGTTACGGAATCAGATATGTACTCGTTAGGCTGCCTTATCTATGCCGTACATTGTAAAGGGAGTCCGCCGTTCCTCAATCATGGCAGCCTGAGTGGCCTACGTGATAATGCAGGAAAGCCATTGAGTGGTATAGATCGCCTAGACCGGGACCTGCAAGGTGCATTTTGTGTACCGTTTCCTAACATCTACCGGACGGTTGTGCTCTGACACCCGTTCGTTCTCAGCACTCCTCCAGCTCCTCATCACCCGCTATCCACATAATCGTCCCACCCCGACCGATCTCCCTACTCATTTGTTTTTCTCGTCTCTGCCCATCTCGACCCTCAACTTCTTGGATCGTACGAATTTCACTGCGAAATCGAAGGAAGAGAAAATCTCGTTCATGAAGGGTCTCACGAGTGTCCTCGACCGGTTTTCCGAGGGTCTACGGGTCCGGAAGATATTACCTACTCTACTGGAAGAGGTACGCGTTCTTCCTCCGTCCCCGGCCTGGCAGGATCTAATGTCTAGGAGAATAGATGAAAGACACACAACTCCTACCATATATTCTGCCAAATGTATTCGCGATATCGGCATCACTGTCCCCCGTGCAGTTTGCTTCGACAGTCTTACCTAGCTTGAAGCCCTTGTTCGCAATCAAAGAGCCACCGCAGAATATGCTGACGCTTTTGGATAACCTAAAAATGTTGCAGAGCAAAACGGAGAAGAATGTGTTTCGTGAACGTAAGGAGTTTGTCCTTATGCTGTGATGTCCAACTGACGTGCAAATCAGACGTCCTGCCGCTTGTGTACAACGCTCTTGAGTCCGATCATGCCATCGTGCGTGTAGCATCTTGTCTTCCGGCTGGATTGTGTTGTTGACGATGTCAAGGTCCAAGAACGTGCACTTACGACAGTCCCTGATCTCTGCGAGACTATTGATTATGCTGAAGTCCAGGGTGTACTATTCCCCCGGGTTGCTGTAAGTTACTGTTGATCTGCTATGTGACGTGGAAGCTAAGCTGCGGCATACAGTTGGTGTTCTCGAAGACACGGATATTGTCCGTGAAAGTGGCTACCCTGAACACGTTCCTAAGTATGGTTAAAACGCTCGATCAAGTTAGTGTTCCTCCCAACGTTTCTCACAGGGTCGCTTATGCATCTCAGGCCAGCCTCACGCAGAAGTTGGTTCCTTTACTGTCGAAGATTCGTACAAAGGAGCCTGCGGTCATGGTGCGTGCAGTTAACTTCGTTCGTGTGTTGTGAAGCCAAACTGAAGACTACTAGATGGCCACGTTAGCCGTCCAAGAAGCTATGGGGCTGAAAGTGGATCACGAGGCGATTGCATCTCTGATTCTCCCGCATCTCTTCACTATGTCTATGGGGCCTCGTAGGTTCTCCTTATGCGGGGACGGGGATTTCTGACTAACTAGCCGTGGCTTACAGTATTGAATATTTCACAGTTCCAGCGTTTCATGTCGGTAATACGCAAGTTGACCGACCGAGTGGAGAAGGAGCATAATCAGCTCCTCCGCGATACACAACGCATCGAAGATCGCTCCGCGACTGCTGTCAATGGCAATTCCTCGGCGACCGCCGGGGCGACTATTGACTTCGAGAGTCTGGTCGGAAAGGCCAATGGAGCATCTGTTAGAGCCGACACCGTCCTCGATACTTCGTCAGCAGCATGGGAAGACGATGTGTGGGGCAGTTTACTTACCAGTCCTGCCGAGGTAATGCGTTCAATCCTGACCGTATACGAGGCCGCTCACACTAAGTTTACAGACGCCGAAATTACCAGCGCCGATTCCCCAACCACAGCCGTCGTCAATCCCTATACAAGCACAGTCAGTGCCCTCCTCACCGAAGTTTCAGACATCTCTTGCGACTTCCTCAAGGCCTACGGCAAGTCGAACTTCTTCACGTGGTCTGGGTGCCACACCGATACCATCTACCTCATTCAACACGAGTGCTTTGGGCGCGCCTCCTAGGGCCAGATCATCGCTATCCACATCGAGCCAGATAATGCAACCGATGCAGGCCAACTATACCGGTGGATCATACCAGGCGACGCAAAGCCAAGCATCCAAACCTAACTACAATATTTCCCTGGACGACTTCGATGCTAATTCCACTACGAACCCACAGATTTTCTCGACGCCTCTGCAACAGCCCAATTACACGGGCGGCATGGGCGTGACATCACCACCGCCGATATCTATGGCCTCCCCTCCCCTCTTTGCCTCACCGCCTAGCATGGGAGGCTTGCTAACTCCGTCGAAACCAGCCCAGCAAGGTTGGTCCAATTCTCAACAGTTAAAGAACAATGACTGGGGGGACTTCGATCCGTTGTCGTAATGTTGGACCTATCCACCACGGGATCTCCTGCTCGACTCATGTGCTGTATACCAGTGTATACCATCACGGAATATGCTCGTGACTTAGCCCTATAAGTAGAGTAGTGACGGAATCAGTCTGCCTCGACCTCTACTCCTTCGACAGGTCGGACAAATGACGCCTGTACGATTGTTTGATGAGCTTCGTCAGGGCTCTCGTACTGGTCTTGGAATGCGTTTGGATCTATGGGCATTTCTAAGATGGTCTTGAGAATTAAGAGGGCTCCCAGCTTGGAGGACACGACGTTGCCCTCTTTGCATGACGGACTGTTGACACCTGGAAGTCTCCTGTCAACACTGAGACAAGGACTGAAGGAGTTCTGTACGCACAGGCAGCACAACCCTCTTCACATGGGCATGACTCCACGCGTTCTACCGCACTTCGTAGCACATCTGAAACTGAGTGCATGCTATGTTAATATGCAAGACGGGCGAACAAAATTGCTTCCAACCAACCATGATCGAATGCTTTCGCAGCGACGGCGCCCCCCTTACCATGAATATCGTAAAATATGAGTCTGAAGAGTAACAACTGAATCGAGTGATGACTCCACATGTCGCGATGCTGCATACCGTGCGGGACGTTTCCTCTGCGATTCAGAGGCTTTGTATCCCTTCTCTGGTACTTTGCATTCCGTTCTGAGATCCGCGCCCAAAGCGAACTGGTTTAGATACGCATGTTGCGCAGAATGGATGGCTGCAGCTGCGTTGATGCTTCGGTCTTGCATCAGCTCCAGAGCACTTTTCGGCACGTCGATCCATGCACCGGTCGTCTCCCGCTGCCATGGTGGCGTGTCCAAATCTACCGCATCCAAAATGGTCTTGTTCCTGATGCAAGCTGCTCAGAATGTGCCAGACACGCGGGGCAGTGAAACTGTATTCTTACCGGATCTTGAAGAAACCTGCACGTCACGAAATCAGTGAAACTACCACGGCGGGTTAGAGTGCATCCTCACCATACACTAGCGTGAACAGCTCCACTCCTAAAGCAAATTTAGTATGCACATGAAACATGTATCAGGCATACTCACGACCAAAGAATGCGCGGTGGCTGGAACCTCGGATTTCTCTGATACGATAAGTTTGCACTGCATCCACGTTCCTGCACTAACCATTAGTGCTGGCAGAAGTAACTATCAGCCATACTCACGTGAAATCTCTGCGGATAGGGTTTTAGAGGCTGGAGACCGACACGCTGTAAGACGCTTACCTGGGCTCCGTGATCCAGTTGACATCGGCGCGAACGACCTTGGCCACCTTGGAGTCATGGCTGATTTCTTGCACCTAGTTCGCATCCATTCAAGCATATGTCAGCACGAAAGCGTGGCCGTACTTACCATGAACGTCAATCCCTGGTGAATAAACTAATAATGGATAAGTTGGCATAGCGAAGTCGGGACAAACTTAAATACTAACAATGCCGCCTTCATACAGCTCGAAGAGCGCTCTTGATACTTCCACTTCTTCCACGATACGACCCACGCTGCCGGAGCTACTGAAGTGACTAATGTCCACAACCGTGTACTTCTCTTCCTCAACTCCGCGGAGGCTAACGTGCTTCGCGGGAAAGGGAAGATACTTCGGGTGGACGTGGTACCTTGTGAACGCTACATCACATTTTGCTGCTTGACGGATTAGCGTTAACGAGCTCACCAGCCATCCTTGTCTTCGGAGAGTTTCGTTTCGCATAGTTCCTTCGTCAAAGGACCAAACCACTTCTCGTCCTCCAACCTTAGGGGCATTTCATGGGCAGCGCACTGTAGATGCGCTTCAACGATCGGTTTGCTTTCCAGGTCTAGCACGAGGTCCTTCACTCCCTTCTCGAATAACTCGTCCGGGTGAAGCACATAATGCTGATCAATCGGCAGTGAGTCCGCGACCAGAACGGTCAGGGCATCTCGAGCGCGCCGTCCCGCTCTCCCTGCTTGTTGCCTCTGAGGATAGAGTTGATCACCAGCCTCCCACTGAAGAACGAGCCGCAGCCACTTACGAAACTCGCTATGCTGATCGGGAAACCCAGCATTATCACGGCATCCAGCACCCCGATGTCCACACCAAGTTCGAGGGCATTGGTAGCCACAATCCCAAGAAGGTGGCCTGAGAATGCATCTCTTTCAATCTTACGTCGATCCTACATCATATGGGAACTGTCAGACCATCGTACGGGCACCGGACCACCGTGGTATACCTCCTGCGAGTACCCTGACGTCCGTCATGATGAGTCGAGAATATAGATGTAAGGGGGGAACACAAACCTCCTCTGTAAGACATGACCTTATTCAGTATGTCCAGCCGACCTTCACTACTCAGATCTGCGCGCAGCGTTTTCATTGCCTACCCAGCGATGAGCATCGCCAAGTATCCAACTCTCTTTTTCCAACTCACCAACTCGCATGTCTTCCGGATCTTCCCAAGCCACGCAGAGTTAGCGACCATGATGACAGGAGACATGTGTATAGTATGATACCTTGCAGAACAAGATGACCCTCACGCCGCGTTTCATCAAGAACCTCATCAAGCCCGTCGCCTCCGAAAGCGAGCTATGCCGCCCGAGACTCGGATCCATAGGGTCTACGGGTGGTGGGTTCCAAATCAAAAAGTCCTTCCGCCCAGACGGCGCCCCGTCCTCCGTCACCTCCTCCACATCCTCCAACCCAAACACCCTACGCATATGCTCTCCCGGACTCGCAATCGTCGCACTGCACGAAACAAACCTCACCCTCCGATTCCCCACAGCCGCGCACACCCTCCGAAACCTCCTCACCACCATCGCGACGTGGCTCCCGAACAGCTGATGATAATAGTGCAGCTCGTCGACCGCGACGAGCTTCAGGTTTTTGAGGAAGCGCCGCCAGAGGTCCTCGTGCGGGAGGAGCGACGCGTGCAGCATGTCGAAGTTGGTGAAGATGACGGAGGCGGTGTCGCGGATTTCGCGCCGGGAGTCTTGCGGGGTGTCCCCGTCGTACGTGGCGATTCTGATGTGGGACAGGGAGGGGTGCGCACTGAGCAGACGCTGGAGTGCGGCTTTTTGGTCTTGCGCGAGCGCTTTGGTGGGGTAGATAAGCAGTGCGGTTGAGGCGGGGTCATCTTCTAAGAAGCGAAGTATCGGTACCTTCCAACAGGGCTCAGCGTTATTGTATGCCACCGAGTATATGCGGATTTACCTGGTATATGACACTCTTCCCGGACGCGGTGCTGGTGGATACGATGACGTCCTTGCCTTGAGATAGAGCACCGATAGCAGCAACTTGGTGAGTATACAGCTCAGTAATATTCCTCGCCGAGTGCAACGCTTGCCGTATACTCTCCGACAACGGCGGGTCCAGGACCCCTACCCCATTCATTGAGTCCCAGCCAAACTTCACAACATACGACACACATACCGATCTGCCCCTCACGCGCCTCGAACGTCCGCCTGTCTACAATCTGGTCTTTATACCACCCCTCATTGAGGATCTCGTCGATAATCTCGTTGATCGACGGCCGGTCTTTCCAGTCCGGGACGACCTGCTTGCCCTTGCCCTTCGTATCGCCGAACGCTTCGGGGGCCTTCTTCCCTGAGGAGGGATTGACGGGGATGTGGTCGTGCGCGGCGGCTTGGAGCAGGAGGACGGGGTCTTCGTCCTCGGGTGTAGCCAACAATAATCTGTTTCATGTATGTATGAGGGAACCAGCTCAGTAACACGAAGAACATGTGGACAACGCACTCATCGACAGACTGAGCGAACCGCTCGTTCCGCTTCTCGATGAGCTTCTTCACTGCCGCAGGTGTGAGTGCGGGCGGCGGCGCGAGCATGAACCCCGTGTTCTTGCTCTTCTTGCCGCGTGTGTTGTCGAGGAAGTCGAGCACGAGCACGTGCTCCTCCTCCTCCTTCCCGCCGGCTCGCGGCTGCATGAAGGAGCTGAAGTCCGGGGAGCGCTCGCGCGACCCGGACGTGGGGGCGGAGGGCTGCGAGTCGCCGTGGATGCGCAGCTCGTCCCGCGGGATGTAGCCGAATTTGATGACATCTGGGAGGAGTGCTCTAGAGCGTATTAGGCTGGACGTGGAAGGGGTAGGATGGGACTTACTTCAGCTCGGCTACTTTCGAGAGGTCCAGCGGCCTGAACAGCGCGTTAGCGGGGTTAGCGAACGAGTAGAGCGTGCATGCCCACTTACTGCTTGAGTAATCCTTCGACTGAGGCGCGAACTACGGGAAATGTAGTCGCGAGGTGCTTTCGAGAGGAGCAGAAAGCCAATACAGTGTTTAATGCCTACCAGAAGTCCACCCATTTGCTTAAAACAGCCGCAAGTCTTTGCGAGCAAACCTTACCTTATATACTTTCTCCAACTTACCATTCGAGTAGGAGTAAGTGTATGCGCGTTTATGATGAGGCCGCGCTCTAACTCACGTTCTTGAAGTACTCTGGCCAAGCTACCTCCGGCTTCGCACTGGCTTTACTTTTCCCTTTCGCTGTAGTTCTCGGTTTCTTAGACGCGGGCTTGCTACTTGCTTCTCCCGGTTCTCCCTCCCCAGATTTGGCACGCTTCCGAGTGGTACCCTTGGGTGGCATCTTGGAATTCGCAACAAAAACGCGCAACGAACACCTCGACAGCCGTCGCAATTGAACAGGTTCTCCGCGCCTAGATTCAGAACACGCTCTCCGTCTCTATTGTAAGGCCTGGACGATAATCTCAGCGTACGCATACAACGAGGTGTAAGCAAAATGCGAGAAAGTCTTCCCGAGAGATGATTCAAGTGAGACGCTACAACGCGATCGACGATGCTAAGGTTAGGGCTGCCATACCGGGTAATGCATCGTAATTGCTTACGCCGAGCTGCTTATTCCCCTTTATAACAGCTTACTGGATCACTCAACCAGCTCTGCATAAATGGCCCAATTCGACATCATTTTGTACAACATCCCTTGCCCAGCGTGGCTTCAACTTGGTTTACCGCACGCACGCTAGTGCCCATCCTTGTCGCTCTATCGTTCGCCATTCTCTTCCGTAGACTGCCCCCGTCAAGCCTGCGCACGATGTCAACGACCGCCCTCCCGCAGACGCGCGCCGAATGGCAAGCAGCGCTCGCCTCGCTGCCCTCCTCGCCTGCCCGCATTCCCGCCTTTTTCTTCGCCCACGGCTCCCCCATGCTCGCCACGTCCTCCACCCGCTCGCGCTTCGGCACGGACTCCATCATGGCCCACATGGGGCCCAGCGGCCCCCTCGCCCAGTTTCTCTCTGACTTCGGGCCTACTCTGCTCGACAAGTACCGCCCGCGCGGAATCCTCGTCTTCTCCGCGCACTGGGAGACCGCCGGTGAGCGCCTCGTCACCGACTACGGCGACAGCAACCCGCTCCTTATGGACTACTACGGCTTCGACCGCGAGCTCTACGAGCTGCAGTTCCGCTCGCGCGGCGACAAAGTGCTCGCCCAGCGCATTGTGCAGTGCTTCAAGGACGTGGGGCAGCTCGCGCGCACTACCGGCAAGCTCGAGCCGCGCGGGGAGGATGGGCGGGGCTTCCAGGGACCAGGGCTCGACCACGGCGTGTTCGTCCCATTCAGGATCATGTTTGGCGAGGTGTTTATGGACGTGCCAATCGTCCAGGTGTCGATTGACGCCAGCCTGAGCCCGGAGAAGAACTGGGCGGTCGGGGCTGCTGTCAGCAAGCTCAGGTACGCAACCGTCTCATTCTGCACAGTCTGTATAACGAATACTCTGCAGAGAGGAGGGGATCCTGGTCCTGTCCGGCGGCCTCACCATCCACAACCTCCGCGACTTCTCCTCCTTCTCCCCCGCAAACGCCACAAAGCCCTACAAAGACTTCCACCAAGCCGTCCTTGACGCCCTCACCTCACCCTCCGTATGTAATCCCCTCTCGTCTCTGGTAATCTAACTAACCCGTCGTTCAGACCGACGCCCTACTCTCACTCCCCCGTCATCCCTCCTTCCGCCTCGCCCACCCGCGCGCAGAGCACTTCGTCCCGATCTACGTTGCCGCCGGCGCGGGGCTCGGCGACAAGGACAAGCCCATGGAGGGAAGGGTGAAGGTGCTTTCGGCCGTGTATGGGGCAGTCACAGCTGCCTTCGATGTTTAGCTTCTAAAGGTCACAGGACCTTCGCGTTTAGCTGGGACTGGATGGGAAACCGATTGCACCCCCATGGGGTGATTTTTCTTGTATGATCACGTGCTCCCCGAGTGGGCAGACGGCCCTGAAGTTATGCAATACGATCGGCAGAGATGTGTTGACTTGTATTCATCTTTACATTCATTAGTACATCATATGTAGTGCAGCAATATAGGATATAAATCAAAATATTCACCCGCCCTCCCTAGATCATACATCTCCGACCTGCTGCGTACTCTTCAACCCCAGCCGATGCCACTTCTCCCTCTTCTTCTCCTCCTCAGCGTCCACCGCGAACCGTGTCCCAGGGTCCGCCGTGACGGTCTCTACCGTTACCGACACGCCCGACGCTGCCTGCTCCCCCGCCTTGTGCGAGTTGCGCATATGGTTAAGGCGGATAACGTTGGCCGGGTTCGTCACCGGCGGCGGGGCGGAGGCCGACCATGCGCGGCCCTGCGCCACTCTCAGGATGATGAGCAGTGGTGAGATGGACTGATAGAAAAGAGAACCGGGTCAGCTGTGCAACTCCTCCAACCATATTACTACCACCCACCTCGAACTGGCCCAGCCACGTAATAAACACGTACTGTGCCCCGCTATCCCTCGCATAGCACGCAATAAACACGAGCCCCGTCACTGAGTACAGCGCCGCACTCTCGACGAGCATCGCGCCCACACTAGTATACACGTCCGCCGCGTCCGGTGTGAGCGAGCGCCGCACCTCCCGGCGTAGCACGTACAGCCGCGCGATGATCAGCAGCGTCACGACGAGGTTGAACGCGATGCTGAGCGCCCAGTACGGGATCCCCAGGTCGATCGAGGTGCTCCCGTAGAGGTCGCGGCTGGTGGCGACTTCGATGATGAAGAGGATGGAGGTGACTACCGATGTGACGGTGAGGGGGGAAGGCGGGAGAGGGGGGAGAGGACGTACCTATTGAACCGATGAAGAGTAGGGCGGGGAGGACGATTATTACCCGCTTGTTGGAATAAAATAAAAGGCATCTGTATAACTGACAATCACATTTAATCCGTCACTGCTCGCCGCTGGGAAGTCGGCAACTCACTAGCAGCCCATCTTGTAACCAAGTGCACGCCGCAAACGCAAGCACGCTGACCCACTCGGGCGGTGACCGGAAATAAACATTATAATACTCAATCGGTCCCGCAATAGCCGGATCGTTTCCGTGCTCCAGGTACGAAACTGACTCTCCTACCACGTCCCGCCACATGCCGATGGAGCTCAACGTGAACTGGAGGCAGGTGTACGTCAGGTAAAAGGAGGCTCGGCGCATCGTATGCCGCTGTTTCATGAGGAGGCACGCGGTCATGACGAACAGCGTGAAATGGATGCCTGTGCAGATATCATAGTGAGCTGACTACGGTAGTGGAGTCTACGCTCGTGACCTACCGTACGCCATTAAGCCAGTCATGACCCCGAAGAACTGTGCGAATCTGAGAGATAGAGGTTCTTCAGAGGACGTCATGTTTTCACCTCGGTATGGCGGGGGAAACAACGGATGGAATATCTACAGTCTCAGCGGCAGAGCCGCTGTGCCCTCGACGAGTAACCTGAAAACCTCAGGACATAGACATGGGATGGAGAGGGGGGAGTTTTATCATAGGGAACTCGCAGAGCCCCGCTCAATCAAGCTATGATATAACACCCTTCAAGTTAAATCAAGCTCGTCAGAACGCAGCGTCATTGCCGGCGAAAGGTGCCAGAGTGTGTGAAGACGTACCGCCATCATCTTCCGGGGTCGGACAGTTTCGAGTCAACATCAGTTCTATCATTAGTATCGGTAACAGGTCAAGGACGTGATCCTGCCTTGGGCCGCATATAGAGGCTCGCGGGTATGATATACTAATGGCTCAGTGGCCGTCCAGTCAACATGTCACCACGAGCCATCTGATTGTAGAACAGCAGAGTTTCCCTAAATCTGCTGTCGGAAGTACCCAACTTGAAGGCAATCACCGCGTTCAGTGGAGGCCCTGAGTAAAACCTATTCCCCCGGACGAAGTTCCGGGGTGTGCACAGTGCGGACATCTCTTCGAATATTGATCTCGCACCCGAACACGAGAACGCTCAACCAATCTGCGGCATTGCCGGCAGTTGGAGTATCTATTATGTTGGCTGAATCGGAAGCTCTCCTGTCAGGATACGTAACGCGAAGCCCCGTATGCAATGATATCTAACCTCGCTGAAAAGTCTATGAATATGACTTCCCTCGAATGTCCTTCAAGTCGAAGTTACTAGCTCGATTTGGCCATATGAGGGACGGGGAATAGCTGAATGCCCGGAATGACTCGGAGGCCCGACCTTGATATTTTGCATCCGAAGCATGAGCGAGAGCGCGGCCCTTCCGAGCGCCGAGCAGTTGGTGAAACGAATCCAGTACCCGTCTCCTTGCCTTACCTGTGGCAGGAGCGATATATTCCGGTGTCCGGCTGATATCGCTGGTATCGTGGTCGTTTCGCGGACTCGGGGGAGAGCCGACTGCCAGTGGTCCGAGTATGAAACTGGGGTACGGCGTGACCTCAGCCCAATTTGCAAGGTATGGGCCTGGAGTCTTCAACCTAGGCAAATGAATGAGGGGTACTCACCTTGCAGCAGCTGCGTGTGTTCAAGCAGACGCTGAGCCTGATGGTAATATATTTGATACTCCGCGCTCGCTTCGCATGGATTATCCAGTAAGAGACAACTTTTGCAGGCAGCTTGCCCTCGTCGAGTACGCTTCCGCTGTGGTCAAGTACCTACCCCAGCAATATCGCAATGGTCAGTTATACGCGCCATCCTCCGCTCAGTAAGCTGCTACTTATCTCCCTGTTATAGCTATATATAGATATTGCACTCACGGTGCTGCAAAGTTGCATTCCTTGGACAATTCTTGGGTACACTTCTGCCTGTTGAAGCCACGGAGCCTGCAGCTGACCCGCATCATCGTCCATGCGGAGGCCGCGTGTGGTATACATTTGGACCCATAATTCAGTTATCGTGGACTGCAGTAGCTATAATGAAATCAAGAAGAACGCACAGCCCGTATACCTCCACATCTAGAATCCATCGATAACCTCGTACCCCCCACCACCGTCGTATTATAGTCAAAGCGCTGGATTCCATATTTCAACCCCCCTTGCGCCCTTTGCTTTGCGGAGTGCTCTTCGGTGCTGCTCTCGTATCTACTAAGGGAACGGAACGAAGAGTCGATATGTCACCAGCGAAATCGAAATCGAAATCTCCGGGTCACGAACCGCCTACTCCACCATTATCACCCAGGAGCCAAGGTTCAGAGAAGCTGTCTGCTCTAGACGGCAAGAACGACACAACCTCTGTGAAGGGGGACGCCAGCCTCGATACCCAGCCTGTGTCGACGGCGCAGGTCGGCAGTAGCACGGCATCTGATCGCGCTGGTGCGCCCGACTTCCTTGCGTCCATGAGCCTTCAGAGCCTCCTGGGTAAGGTGGTCGACGCACTGGGCGAGATCTTCGAGAAGGAGGCCCTATTGAGAGAGGCGAAAGCCAATGCCGAGAAGGTACCGTCGTCCAACCTTCGCTAACCCATCGGAACATCACCATCGATGGAATCGGGGATGGTAGACTGAGTGCGGCATTTATCCTAGATAATTGCTATGAAAGCAGAACTGGAGGCCCGCGAAATAGAGCGCGAACGCAGAATAGACGAGGTCAAAGAGCAACTGCGCGCACAAGTGGAAAAGCACGTACAAGAGATCATGACCACACAGGCAGCGGATCTCATCAAGGGCATGGTGAGCCAGAACCTGAAGAAGAGAGTGGCCGACGAGGTCAGTCTTCCATCCTCTGACTTGTGTGCTCCGGAGGTAATCCAACCTTCACAGCTCGCGTCGGAGTCCCAGATACCAGAGACTTTGAAGGCTCGCATCAAAGAGACCCAACCTACCCTCGTAAACATGCAGGTTGATCTGTATAACAGGTGCGTCAGCATCTCGCAACGACACCTGAATTGGTCCTGAACACTTGTGTATAGGGAAGCAAAGCGGTACCACGGCACGATCCGATCCCATAAGGACAAGGACCCGTTGAGGCCGCCTCTACGGCCTGCCAAATCTCTCTCTGCCGAGAGTCCTTCTACATCAGCCGCAGCTGCGCAGAAGGCAATCCCCCCAACGCCGATCTCCGCGCGAACGAATTCTGGCTCGAATCAGGAGATGGAGGTCGAGCCTCCGACGCCCTCCCCTCTCTTCCCTTCCAATATGCGAGCATTGATGAGATTGAAGCTAGAGGATGCTCGGCGAATCACGGCTGAATACAATTGGCCCGTGATACCTGAAGAATCGGAAGGCGGTATTGGAGATGGCGGAGGTGAATCCAGGGAACACTATATCAACACCATAATGTCGCACAGCGGGGTACGTGTTCAGAAGGATCTTTTGCTATGGGGGTCGGCTCACATCATGACGACTAGATACCGTTCAAGTTACCGACGTCTCCACAAAGACATACACGACGGCCCACCATAATCACTTGCTTGTCGCCCTCCAACACCCGTAGTCCTATGTGGTGATAGCAGTCTCCGCCTCAGATTCTGGACAAACCTGCTTACCTGTATGATTGTAACGAGTCCGATGATCTCCATTCGATGTACTTCCCGATGCGCTGTTACCCCCTGTACTCACATTCCTTGTAGTTTTACGACTTGATACGCCATTGCCTTGACTATGCTGGCCAGCAGCTGGAAACGTGCGCATCGCCGCTTACAGCCCGAGCGACTAGGAGGAAGCGCGGATAATTCACTGTTGATACGATTGAAGAGTCCACGCACAAGATAAAGCATCATAATCCAGCGGGAGCTCGAGTCTTCTTAAGGGCGTTGATCATGCAAGCAGATGGTCATATGGCATATGAGGCTTGGATAACAAGTAAAATAAAACATGTCTCTTAGTGCCATACCCGAACGCAGGAAGCTACGCCCCCCCGCCAACTCCACCTCCATCACCGGAGCAACCCCCAAGCAATATGAACAGATTAGTTCATCGACCGGATGAGCTTGTTAATGTTAGTTTCCCGGTTGCCGAAGTCACCACCCTCGACGTAGTGCTTGAACTTGCGTGTCCTCCAGCCGCCAGTGGGGTTGGACAGCTTGAAGGGCCATAAGAAGTTGGCGGCCTTGCACAATAGATTAACGCGGTGCCCTCATAAGCAGTGAGCAAGAAGTCACGTACCTGCTTGAAGTTGGGGCCGGCGGTGTAGATCTCGTGCACGAGGTCCTCCACGGAGAGGATGTCGTACTTGCCGAGGGTCTGCTCAATGATAGCGTTGGTCGTGAGGGGGATACGTTGCTTGTCGACCTTGCCGTAGCCGCGCTTGTAGATAAGCTCACGGACGGACTTCAGGTTGGGCTCGCCGTAGGTGACGTATGGCTCAACCAGGCGGAGCATTTGTTGAGTGGCCTTGGTGACCTTCACAAACACACCATTGTTGATCTGGAGAAGCCGAAGGAGCTGCAAAATTTTGCGGGGCTTGGGAGCGATTTCATTGATACTGGGACGAGACTTTAGAGCCCGCGGCTGAAGTACTGGCGTAATGGACTCACCCCCGGATACGGATGACGAAGTAAACCTTCGGCTGAGCAGGAACGTAGAAGTCCCCTGATGCACGCGCCGCTCGCTTTAACCGGACCTCTTCACGCTCCTTCTCAAGATACTCCTTAACATATGTCTCCGCGCGCTTGAAGACTACTTCACGCTTGGCCTTGGCAGCCTGACCAATTGAACAATAGTCAGCTCAACGATCGATACAGACGGTGAAATAAATAGGTCAGTCCCGAAAGATGGTATTTAGAAAAGCGACATCGCAAGGCAAAGCCTCACTAGCCATTCTTGAATGAAAGTATGCATCCTACAAAAGCGGAGTTGATAGAATGGATCGCAAGCTCACCTTGCGTGCCTCAGCAGCCTTGGCAAGGCGCTCCTCCCGAGCCTTTTCGTTTTGCTTGCGTTTCTTGAGGAGGGTCTCCGGGACCTCGATGTCCTGCCAACGCGTTCCATGAGTTTAGATAATTAAATGTCGAGCCTGGATTCGTACGAACCGAAGTGCTCGGGACGCTGGACAGCAAGGCTCGGTTAGACGGAAATGAACGGATCGTAGAGGCAGCATACGCACGTAGTTGAGGGGGCCATTAGGAGATCTTGAGGAATACGGGCTGTCGGGTATGGTCACGAACTACGAGCTTGGGCAGGTGGCTAGCGACTGTACAGCGTGACGGACCTTCATCCCACGCTCTGTCACACTCATTCCGTCGTTCATCGCGTCGCGCGAAGTTACTGTACTCAATGCACCCATGAAGTCAGCGTGTAATCGCCTGCTTTACCATTTGCCTGTTTTCTCGTTGTCGAGGGGCTGCCAGAAATGTCCTGCATGCCGGCTGCCCATCGCTTGTACATTCAGCAACTGATATACACCCCGAAAAGCCGCTGTGCATATCCTCTCAGGCTACTGTGGATCTTCCCTAGGGCTCTGAAACGAGTTCTATATCCACCTCTTCTACGTCTTCAACCGTTACGGGACTATGAGTGTGGCTGCTGGATTCTCCCAAGTGACTCTTGAACCCTACTGTACATCTGGATCGACATTCACTTTTCCAAAGACTGGTACTGATGCGGCATGAACGCTTTATGCTCTTTTACTCAGTCGCACTGAGGAGACGCCGTCTACGGGTCTACCGATACCTCCCGCTTGTCTATGGTTAGTCTGCTACGGTATGTTCATCGGGATTTCTGGATGGCGCAGGCCAAGCTGCACGAATATCCTGTTGTGGGTTTCGTGATGTAATGTATATGTATTGGACGCCTCAGGTACATACACTAGATTGCTATCTGTCAAACACAACTTCGGAGTGACCTGGACCTGTGTATAGCGTCCTTCAGTGCCGGCCCGCCACTAGTACTATGGTTAGGCACGAAAATCCTTGAGACATTTGAGCGATACACTTTTGACATTTCCTTGATGTCCGCCTGACGGTCGTGAGTACGAAGATCGACATGCGCATGTACGTAGCGCTCGCCGAAGAAAACCTCCACTGGGAGGTAATCTAGCGAACTGCTGGATGTAGTTGCAAGGCGGGTGCCGTCGGACTCGAGTTCTGCTGTTAGAAGCGCGGCCGAGGCGACCAATCAATACATAACAGACTACTCAGATACTTAGACTACTCAGATACTTAGAGTCTTAGACTACTAAGATACTTGCTGTAAGTTCCGGGTCGACGTCGTCTTCAGGTCGTCCTATCAGGGGGGGGCTGTACTTGATCTCAGAATATTGGGCGCTCTTGAGACATCTTGAGGCGGTGGTGACATCGTTTTAACTCCTTTGGTCTGTGTACTCCGGTGTTCAGGGAAAAATATCGAGCAAAAACGAGCGCCGGGGGCCTCGAGGACGCTATCTCCCCATAAGGCGATACGGAAGGGCACGCCGAACACTAGCAGTGGCAGGTGGCAGTGTCTTCCCCTGAGAGCATTGACGCCTCCTTATATTCATCAAGCGCTGCATGCCCAAAATGCCCGTCCCCGCTCCTCTACCCGGCCATCTCCCCATCCCAGCATGTTCGCCAGCATGAAGGGCGTCGCCGCTGCAGGGCTTGTCGCCGAACTGCTTGTCTCGTTCTTGCCGGGGGCGTACGCGCAGACGTCCGGCGTGAACCAATGTACCATCTACAACTGGGTATGCAAGTGCGCGTCTATTGTCTTGGTGAGGGTCTCACAGTTTGCTTGTCCGCAGACGGAGAATTCCATCGGGCAGACACCCTGCTTGGTGGCGTCCTACTTGCAGGGAGCATGCAATGGAGGAGGTGGGGACCATGCTTGGTAGACCGAGATCGCCGATCACCGACCTCCAAATTCTGCAGAATACAACATCGCACCGCTGCCGGAAGACCATCATTACATCGGGCCTACCCAGGCTACGGCGAATGACTGCGAGTGCAACACTGTAGTGTACAATCTCATGAGCGCGTGTGGCGCGTGCCAGAACCGCACTATCATAACGTGAGCTTGGTGCTATAGCCTGCGATCTTCTCCATTAATATGCGTGTAGATGGAGTACATGGAGCAACAACTGTTCCACCGTCTATAACACGTGAGTAGTAGCATCATAGAATACTCTCCAGGAGAGAGACTGAAATATTTGCCAGTTACCCCGAATCCATTCCATCCGGTACAAAGGTTCCTGCATGGGCGTATCTAAACGTTTCGGTATGTTGCAACCTGGCATTTAGTGCATTCAGGACCTAATTGCATCCGACAGAATGACTTGTGGGACTACCTGTCCGCCCAAGCTGATCTCAGTACGTAGCCTGACTGAACTGAGACTGAACCGTTCCTAATGCGTCGATAGGTGCTCCCGAGTCAACAGCTACCGTTCAGAAATCGACAGGCTCGGTGGCACCTTCTACTGCCAACCCCAGCTCAACGTCTAGCTCCGTTCCTTCTGGGGGAGCTACCTCAAGCCACAACAGCAACACGGGGGCAATTGCGGGAGGCGTCGTGGGCGGTGTTGTCGGCCTCGCCATCATTGGGGGTCTGATAGCCTTCTTCGTGATGCGCAGCAGAAGGCGATCGCAGCCCAAAGCGGCTTCCGCCATGTTCGAACAGCGCCCGATGAGCGCAGCGACCACTGAGTACACGGCCGTACCGCCGTTCACGCCATCTACGACCAAGTTCTATGTAAGTTCTACTGCTACTTCGTTACACTGGGTTTGCTGACATGCTGTGATAGGATCCTTCTGATCCCAGCACCTACCCGCCCACGGTCGGTTCTCCGAGCATAACCACCGGGCATACGTTGGGTTATTCTCCTTCAGTGGGCCCGCAACAAGCCTACCGTCCTGGCCAGTACACAGGTACCCCCGAGCTCTAAGGGGGGCCCCCGGTACACATAACATACTTGCTCGCTCGGGTCTGGCTTACGGTATCAATGCTCCGGCGTCGTTACATTTCGTCGCATGCTTGTTAACGGTGAAAACGGTGTATATTTATGAGGTATATTAGGTAGATGAATTCTGAATAGTACTCTCCATTTTTCATGCAAACCACACTATGTCGGCACACCAGGGGCCAGATACCCAACAAATGGTACGGCACCGGGATATCCAGCGATATAAGTGGACCTGGTCGCTATTAGGCTTCTATCAGATGAAGGACTGTCTTGTAAAGGCACAATCCCATATGTGGAGAGCCTGAGGTCGCCATTCGGCGATAAGCAAGTCGTCATTAACGATGTACAGAGATATCCTCCTCGAGTAATGCAAGCGTTCCAAGGCATAGTATATTCAGTTCCATCCACCAAGGCGCAATACAAAGAAAACTCAACTCTGGATGACATAGTTGTAGGTACGTTAGGTGACCGGCACCACCCATCGGTTTTACCCTCGGAAGTCCAGCCAAAGAACGCACCTCTCCTTCTGAGGCTGCCGTTGATGAGAGACTGCCGTGAAGCGACAATCTAACATAGGGAACAGCGCCTGGTATGTTAAAAGATGGAAGAAAACCAGACGACTCCGAGTCCGACATTTTGTTGACCGTGGTTTAGGGCCGGTTTTCGGGGACTGTATGAGTAATAATCGTGACGTCAGCTATAGACGCATTAGCTCTCCAAACATAGGATCGCGATCGGCTCGTCGTCGATGCATTATTGCATATATATGTAGCATCGCTCATCATGCCATGGGTGAATCGCAAGCACATTTCTGTCCAGTATCTACTGCAGAAGGTTATGTATGGTTCTACTACACACGCTGGTATCAGCGTGCGTTAAAATGAGGGGATATAATATTGGACCTGCGTTCCCCGGACCGCTGAGGTCGGACGCGCACCTGCCTTAGTCACTCGATGAGCTGTTTCTGGGTCACTCGATCGATAACAAGCAACGTCGGTATAAAGGCGACACTGGGAGTCTCTCGGCACAGGATAGTACCCAACACTTTGACGGCCTTCAGTCGCCGGGAATCCACTCAGCGCACGATGGCCACCTTAACCTTCCCCCTCAACGACGGAACCAGCATTCCTGCGCTTGCCTTCGGGACAGGTACCGCGCTCTACAACAAGGATGCACGGGACGCCGTTACGACCGCTATCACATCTGGGTTCGTACACCTGGATGGCGCCCAAATGTATGGCAACGAGGACTCCCTGGGAGACGCTATAGTAGCGTCTGGAAAACCTCGCGAGTCGCTGTACATCACCACCAAACTGACGGAGCTGAAAAACGGGGCGACCGTAAAGAGCGCCCTGCAAGAGTCCCTCAGGAAGCTGAAGGTCGACTATGTGAACTTGTTCTTGATCCACATGCCCACGCACCATGAGGGTCGACTGAAGGAAGTGTGGAAGCAGATGGAGGAGGTCAAGAAGGAAGGACTTGCCAAGTCCATTGGCGTGTCCAACTTCCGTATCAAGGACTTTGAGGAGTTCCTTCCCGAGGCCACCATCAAGCCAGCGGTTAATCAGGTGTGTGATGCTTAAGTATGATATCTAGTTCATGTCCTGACCTTATGCAGATTGAATTCCACCCATACCTTTTGAAAGCTTCCGAGCAACTCCTGGAGTATACCACCAAACTTGGTATTCGTACCGAGTCCTACGGGGGATTGACGCCCATTGTCCGTGCGCGGGGTGGTCCTTTGGATCCAGTCCTGGCCAAGATTCGTGAGAGGCTCGAAAAAACTGCAGGAAAACCCGTCTCCGAGGGACAGGTTCTCTCCAAGTGGCTCCTGCAGAAGGAAATTGTGGTGGTAACGTGAGTGCAACATCGGTTCATACCGCAGGCAATGTACTGAGTCTGCTCTCAAGCACGTCATCCAAGCCAGAGCGCGTCAAGGAATACCTCGACGTGCCTAACCTACCTGACTTGTCTCCCGAAGAGGTCGCGGAGATTGAGTCCACTGGCAAGAAACAGCACACGAGAGCTTTCGTACGTAGCAATGTCCGTTTAAAAGTTAGTAAGCTCTGACGACGGCGCCCATTTAGTGCCAGTTCTTGGACAAGTAGATGATTTATAGTCTGGAACGGGCTCTAGAGCAGTTAAAGAAGTACAATCGCGGTGTATCTATTCTGTAGGAGTATGGTGGCTGTTGAAAACAAGTGTGCATGTGTGACGTTAGCCAGCCTACGTAAATTGCTGTGGCACTGCCAGGAGGTATAATTGTGGCGTTGGGATCCCGCTGGCTTCATTCGACCTTCGTCATGTCGAGAAGCGCGACGCCCTTGAAATTCGCCCAGCTATCGTCTTTGCTAACCTACACCAGCTCATCTACCTCGCGACTTCAGGCCCTATACTCGGACTTCACGCGTCAGAAGCAGTCCAACCCTACATCATACCAGTCGAACATTGACTGGTGGCGGCGTACTCTCGAAGCAGTGGTTTCAAAAGGATGGCAACATGAGGCCTCACAGGACCGACTCATCTTACATGCCAGCCCGAGCCTAGCGGAGGTATTCAGGTATGAGGGTGTTGGGAAACCGCTCAGCCTTAGCACGGTTATTGTGAGTGGTACCTGAACATGAGCGTGAAGAGCGCTGAGGACTCCTTCAACTAGTAAAGACGGAGCTTTGCGACTCGAAGGCATACATTCCACTACAATATTTCTTGACTGCCTCGCAGTCGATATACGACCCTGGGTCTCTGCCATTGCGGATAGCGTCGTATGTGCTTGGCCGACCGCTATGGTGGGCGCTGCAGCAGGTCGGTATAGTCGACGGCGAACAGGGTGGGAGCGAGAGTGACAGTCAGCGATGGAGAAAAGTGAAGGGAGACTACGTGGTGGTGAGCTTGGTGGAGAAGGTGGCCGACGCCGTCATCGAAAGGCAGCGGGATTCGCAAGGGATCTCTCTGGCAGACATGCTCTATAGCCCTGAGTCGTTCAAGGCTAAATTTGCGAATGTGCTGCCAGATATGCCTTTGTCGGATCCGGACGTCAAAGTGCTTCTGAAGTACCTAGAGAGGGACAAGAGGGTGCTCGCGGCAGACAAAGAAGTACTGTTGTCTTACAGCATTTTGTCCCAATTCTTATGTTCTTACAACTACACAGGTTATCAAGTTTGTGGATGCTACTTCCGTTGAAGGCCGGGAGATATCAGCGGTAGACCACGGAGTTCTTGAACTCAAGTCTGCCGTCGACAATCTGCAAGCGCAAGTGGACGGCTTACAACGGAAGATCGACGAGTGCGCATAATGACTTGCGAATTCTCCAAATTCTTCTCATCACTTGTCCCGACTCACAGGCGGACACGCAACATATCTGATGCTCTTCGTCAGAAGCGCAAAGAGATTGCGGTGGTTCACCTCCGCTCTCGGAAGCAACTGGAAGAGCTCCTATCCAAGCGCCTCGGGTCGCTGACTACATTGCAGTCGACCCTTATAACCGTAGAGGCAGCTATGGGAGATGTCGAGGTATGTAGTGTCCACTACACATGTCCATAGTCGCTGTCAACCCATACGCCCTCCTAGATTATGAGATCCTTCGAAACATCCACGACAACGTTGCAAGCCATTCTGTCACACCCGTCCCTCCAACGTGAAAAGATCCACGAGACCATGGATGCTATGGCAGCCGCCACAGCGGACGCTCGCGAAGTCGACGACGCCATCCGTTTGGGTGCAGATATGGCCCAAGCGGACATGGGAATCGACGAGGATCAGCTGGAGAAGGAGCTGGAACAAATGGCGAGAGACGCTCAGTCGGAGCAAGGTGATGCAGAGGACAGGCGCAGGGTTGAGCAATCTCATGCTGAGGCCGAGGAGGTGCAACAAAGGATCTCTGCAGCGCCGAGTACTCCAACACTGCAACCAGGGCAGGTTTCGCCAGAGCCTCAACTCGACAGGCGCCAGATGGCGGCGCGTTTTGCAGCTCTCTCCAAGCATCACGGCGAACCGCGAGAATCTACGGCCGGGAGTACAGTAGAGCAACGCGTCAGAGAGCCTGCATAAACAGCTCTGTACCTCGTTGCTGGATATTTTGCATCTCCTCATTTGCAGTCTCTACTTCGGACGATATTCACCATAGAACTATGCATTTCAATGTTGTCGACAGCAACCCTAATCAGTGCCTCCAATGTTCATGCAGGAGAGCAATACTTACACACGAGAGTGATCGAGTTGCTGATCGACTGTCTTAGTCTACGACATTTGCCTTTTTCGGACTCACGTGTCATTGCAGCTCTTCGGACTTGTAAGCTTCAGTACTTGCAAGTTAGCATCTGCAGTATAATTACCACCGACTTTCGAGTTTCAACTATAGCTGTACTATGGCACCCATTCGACTGCGGCATCCCAAAGGAGTATCGACTATCCAGGTCGACTTGGATAGTTTCACCGTCCAAGATCTACAGCAAGAGATATTCGCCGTTTCCGAGATCCCGCCCTCTCTCCAAGATCGTGCGTTCAGTTCGCCTGCAGAGCGCGTCCGTGGACGCATACTCATGCGCGTACCTCGACAGTCAAGGCCGGTTACCCTCCGCAGACACTCACTGTCATACCGGAACTTCCGCTGGAGAGCCTCGGCCTCAAACCCGGAGATCAGCTTATCGTGAACTCGAAACCGGGTGCAGCACCTCAGACAGCACCTGCACCCGCACCTGCTAGAGCTCCTTCAGCACCGTCATCTGGTAATGCTACCCTCGGGCGGAGTTCTGTTCCTAGGATTCCACCCAGCTCCGGAACCGTTTCATCTGGCCCAGATTACGTCGAGACGGATAACGGGACCCTGGTTCACAGAGTGAGCAGAACAAATGAGAGTTAAATGTGTTCATGGACCAACATTTTGTGCGTCCGCAGGTCGTCCCGGATGACAACTCGTGCTTGTTCTCTTCTATTGCATTGGTTTTCCATCAAAATATTGGTAAAGCACAAGAAATGCGGAAGAGTGGGTTCTCCCGTCACCGATATAGTCGCCGAGCAAATGTCGTATTGATCCAGCACTGTAGTTATTGCAGACGCAATCCGAGCGGACATAATCACATACTCCGAAGCCATTTTGGGGTACGTCGGCCTTCCAGTAGCTATCCATAAGCATTCTCACTGATAGGCAGCCGCCCTCGGGATGACTATATCGCGACGATACTGAAGCCTGCATCTTGGGGCGGTGCTATAGAGCTTGCGATCTTTGCCAGATATTTTTCGACAGAAATCGCTTCTATTGATGTGGAAACCGGCCGGATAGACCAGTTCACGCCGCCACCAGAGGCCGATTCTGGAAACAGGTGTATCTTGATCTATTCTGGGATTCACTACGATGCTGCTAGCTTGGCGCCTACGCCAGACGCACCAACCGAATTCCACCAGACGGTTTTCCCCATTGTGAGTTATGAAGATGGTACCTCTTGAATCTATCGGTCTCATGCATATATGCAGATCTCGAACGGTGACGATGATCCTATCCTCAAGGCCGGAAAGGATCTCGCGGCTATCCTGCGAGCGAAGAGAGCATACACAAATACGGCAACCTTTGATTTGAAATGTCAAGTACGTGGTAAACAGCGACGCGTGTTTGCCTATGCTAACTGCCCGGCAAAATGTCAGCAATGTGGCCAGGGTCTTAAGGGAGAGAAGGAGGCCTGTGCTCATGCCATGCAGACCGGGCATACGCAGTTTGGCGAATATTAACGAAGTCGCGACCGCCACACGTAGCACATTCGTTTTGGGGTGTGAGCAGTGTTCACAACTTTCACAACAGGCTCAAAGCCGAGACCTAATCGTACATCTTTGAACCTTCAAACTGCTTGCCCTGCCTTTCACATTCATGCATTGGGATCTCTTGCCGCTGCGGGATCCCATCGCGTGTCCGTAGCCTGATGGGCAGGTGCTCTTCCAGCATCACGTTCGGCCCTCAGCTGCCTCTCCCGATAATCCCGGTCAACGTCGGGAACCTCCCGTATTATGTCTTGCTCCTGAAGAACACGGTATGAGGGGGACGTTGATTATTTGTCCATCGAACGGGCTACTTACTTTCACCTGGTCTGATCTCTTATTCTCGTTCCTGATGGTGTAAGTGTCCTGGGCGGATTTAGGTTCTCTTGTCACGGTGCCGGTAGCACCCTCTCCTGCGAAGTCTACGTCAAGAACACTCATCACACTGTATCGGTCTATGCATACCTAGGTCATCCTTATATTCGACTTTGCTGTCTTTCTGTTCGCGAATGGGACGGTGAGCTTAATTCCGCAATGAGATGAGATAGTACGATGGCTCCGTACCTTGTAAGCTGGCTCCTGCGACATGTAGATGAAGAGATAATTTTTCGCCAAACATGGGAGAAATCGAAGAGCATTATATACTGCAGGTGTTCCAGTCGGATGAGAGGGTCACTATGATCGAAGGATTTACATCATACGTTGCGTTGTGGCTCTTTGTGGCTGCAGGAAGCCATCATGTATGTCCCGCCGACGCGTCGCGCCACAATGCCTCTTTTACCTGCTCCTTCAAATTTCTTCATGAGTGTTATCGTAGTGCGGTATCGTTTGCCCTGTCGCCGATCTTACCTGCAGCTGGCGGTAGTCTCTTGAAAATGTTCGCGTCAAAATGCAGCTATCGAGCGTTGTGGGTTCAAGTTTCTCTACGACGAATACCTTGGAACGTATGTCCATGCTGGTCTCAGTATACCTCCCCCAGACGATGCAGTAACACTCCAAGGTTTTCTGTCTCTCAGTAGTAAGTTGCCCAGGCTTACACCGCCGCTATCCTTTGGTACAGCTATCACACGGATCCATGCAACTCCCGTCTCCGCTGATGCCAGTGTGCCTGGCATTACCAACATTGCCCGTCTGTTGCCGGTGCATTTCTCCGGGATCACTGCTGTTTGCTAGTTGCGAACTGACATGCTGCGCTCTGTCACCCGCTGGCCGGTTTGCGCTTTCCTGGTTCGTAGTTGTTGTTCCTGAGCAATCATACCTCTCTGTCTCCTTTCACATTTATCGTCGTCGATATTGGAGATCCGGTCGGACGCGGAATCAGGCCAGGGTGATATGTATTATTGGAATACGGGTATTTCGATCCGCCAATGATGGTCGAACCATCCATGCCATTCTGCAAGAAAGGCTCAGTAACATCAGTTATCTGTCCCCAAAGCTTGATTCCGGAATTTGCGGAAGAAGAGGGCTGTAGGAAGCCTACGCGGATTTGAAGTCACAGGAGGTATCGTCATAGACCACTGCTTATGGGAAAATGAAAGTGATAGGTGAAATGGTTCTGATTCAAGATACCTGAATGGCAATGGACGGGGCCTTTGGAATCAGGCCCGACTGGGCTTTGATCTCAACATATGCAAGCACACTCAGATGACGGTGGCTTTTGTCCAAACATGCCAACTCCTCACCCAGCAGCCCAATTAATTCACGTCAGCTTTGGGCGTGAGTTTTCTTGTTAAGGATTGTCGACTTGCTAACACTCACTCCAGTCAATATAACAGTGTCAAACGCGTGGGCGACGCTTTCTGATGTATAAATCCGAGTCCCCTACTGAGGTCTAGGCTCTTTCTCCGGCTGTATCGACATCTGGACAGATATTTACACGCCTCCTGCGGAGATCTGTTCGGGATGGCTACTGGCGGCACATTGGTGCGCCCGATGGATGCTTCCGCACCCGCCAGTGTGAATGGAGGGTGGACTGGGCAAGTCATTTCGGTGCCGAGAACCGCGAGCGGATGACTGCCTCTATGGTTCTCAGCGTCCTCATCCCCAAGAGATACATAAAGGCCACACGGTTTATTCGGTATGACGTTGCATTACGTGCCCCTCGCATATGCTCGCAGAGCGGCGTACCGCCAGCCGGTCGAGCGTTGGACTAAGAGCTTTTTTGTTCCAACAGCTAGCAGCTTGGACTATAGTATAGCTAGGCGCTTGTTGGGCCCGGGGTCCATATCAGCGAGGCATTCAATTAACGTCAAAGGCTGCCAGCTGGTCTTGTTCTCTCGACCACAATCAACACCGAAGATGATGACTTCCACAATTATGAATCAGGTGCCTGACGATCTTCTGGGTGCCGTGCTCACACCGTTTTGGAACATAGTAAGTTAGGAGCCAACGGGTCACCTGCGTACAAGGGACTCCCGCGAGGCGCGGTCTATCATCTCGCCCAGTAACTCCAGTCAGGCCCGCTTTCCTGGCTGCGGGCAAGCTGACACTCTGGCCTGGACGTCATACCTGGTCCAGGTAATCGTGCTTATACCTGCCTATCTCCGTCTTGAGAGCTGTCTGGACTGTCCATCTGACCAGGGGTGATTTCTCTTGAGCCACAAGGTGCGTCGCACGTTTATGTTTCATCCTTCATCCCAGAAGAGACTACTTCCACCAGTTGGGTTGACATGATACGCCGTTCCTATTATATTTCGGCTAACCTGGCAGCAGGGGGATTGGTCCACCGATCGGCCCAGCCAAGTGCTGTACAATGCAGTCAGGGCGATCCTGGGCGTCTCTCAGGCTCTTCATCCATCCTCTCACGTTGTGTCACTCCGACCGTCCCTGAAGATATTTACGGGGCCAAACATCTTGCGTTTGGGCACCGGAGGAATGACAGAGCTATGCACCGATGGGCCATTGACTGTTTTCGTTTGTCCGTGAATAACCGCCAGCTCGAGTATAAGAGACCGTTCTCCTGTGCAGGATCTTACCAAGGTCCGACCTTCAGAGACATCGCAAACAATCCCAACCACTCCAACCATCCTAACAGTGATGTTTGCGACTCTCCGTTCGTTTGCAACCCTTTCCCTGGCCGCGACCGTCGCTGTTCAAGCTACGAGCCTCACGAGGCGCGCTGATGCCGGCCAGGTTTTGATTGGATGCTACCCCGGAGGCGCAGGCGGATGCCCTTGCCCCACTGACCTCAACGGTGACTCCGGCGTCTTGATCAACGTCTTCCCCGGTTACCAGTGCGCCTACCCTTCAGGCGCCTGCGCTTGGGCTATCGCTGTAGGCCAATGTTTCTGTCTTTCTATTCAGTTAAGACTCAAAGAATTACAGAGCGGTCAGCTGCAGGACATTGCCCAAGGGAACTGCCCGTCTTCCGCTCCCTGCGCTTCCGGGGGCTGTGACTGCCCTGCTGACTTGAATGGCGACTCTGGCGTCCTCATTAACCAGTTCGAAGGATACCAGTGCGCCTACCCCAACGGTGCTTGTACCTGGGATCAGGTAACAAATTTTGGACCTGCAATGCGAGATGGACCTAATCTTTGCTTTTATAGAATGGAGACCTGCAGAACATCTACCAAGGCAATTGCCCCGGCAGCGCCAAGTGCTAGATTGCTAGCGGGCTGTACTAAAGGGATACCCTCGATATTTCCGGTGATCTCATGTCGCGATGGGTGACCAATATCGTTCACTGGGGTTTCGTATGGAAGATTGGTGTATAAGCGACGGACTGATTTTCGCATTGTGCTCTACTTTGGACTTCCGGTAATATGGGTTATGGTTAATTGGTGGAGTACATGTGTAAAACCCCTGGGGACTACTTAGTGTGGGCGGCTCAAAGCCGCTACGTACGATCGGACGTCATCAACTAATTACAGTTTAAGAAGGCGTCAAGCAAAACGTCATACACGCGGGAGCTTCTCAGATTAACAGTGCGGCACCGACATCTCCCAAACAGTGGGTGAGATCCGTCTCTCAGCACAGGTGAAGAAGATCTTGAGGCAGCACTCCTGACCCATAGGAATAAATTCACATCCTTCGTTATAGTCCACCCTCTATTTCCAGAACCACGGGACAATGATCGGACGCCCCATAGATCTCACTCCGAATTTCGCACATTTTGACTCGGTCAGATATGCGCTGACTCACAACGACTGCCAGATCGTCGTCAGCGCTCGTCATGGCCCAGCGAATCAGAGGTGCAGGCTTACACATGTCTATCCGCCACCCGAGGCCTTTGGCTCGGCAGTTGAACCGGTATGAGAAGTAGGTGTAGTGTTTGTCCGTAGGATGTAGCTGTCGCCAGATGTCGACGAACTTGCCCGGAGATCCGGGAGAGTCTGAGTCTGAGTCTCTGTCCGGTGGGTTCAATATACGAGCAAAGGAAGACGTTTCGGCTTCAGTGTATCCGGCTGTCTTATTCCAGTTTCTCTTCGGGTTCGCTAGGTCTGCACGAGAACCGTCAGAGGTCGCCGTTGGCCTCAGTTATAGTGACTAGCCACTAACCTAGTTCTGTAGGAGCGACGTTCAAGTCACCTCCCCATATCACGGGTTTCTTCCCATCCAGCTCCCGAATATACGCCTCGAAGTGGGTATTCCACTCCTTTTTTGCGTCAAGCGTCTGGAGAAAAACCAAGCTCAGTCGTTTTAAGTCACGCCATACAGCAAAATACTACCTTGAGCTTTTCTCCCGCATTGACAACATATGTCCCTACGACATAGCAATTGTCAAATTCTGCGGTGAGTATGCGTCCCTTCACTGAGGTTGGATGAGGATGACCAGGCAACGTTTTGGTTACACTCAGAGGCTTGACCTTTGACAAGAGAGCCACGCCAGCTTGCGGTCCCGTTAGCTGTCAATCATCGCAAGGTAAGACCGACGGACTCACAGTACGTCTTTTTATCTGATATAGCCCAGTGTCGGTGCGGGAAGCGACTGGCCAGAGCAGGATCCACTGGATCGTTGTTCACCTGAGCAAAGCATTTGATTAGGCAGCCGTGGACATTAATTCCAAGTGTACCTTTGTCTCGGTGAGAATCAAGACGTCAGGATCCTCTGCTTCCACGTAGTACTTAAATCCCTTCTTCTGTGCGGCGGCTAGACCGCATATGTTCCAGGTGGCTATTCTCACTGTACCTTCTAGCTTCTTAGGAAAGCTAATAGTAGTGGGCAAGACCTTATTTGTGGGCTGCGCGTTCTCGGGCGTGGGGGCGTCATCCGCGTTAGACGAGGCTTTGGAACGCTTCGACGTGGAAGCCTTCGGTTGAGTCGGTTCCGCGTTGTCGTCCTCGGATTCAGACGCCTTTCGCTTTGCATTTCTTTTTGGAGGCATGTTAGGTCTGCTTGTAAAGCTGAAAGGGCAGGATGCAAGCAGTCTGAACGCGCTGGCGGATAACAACCTGGACATGTAATGAGACGCGTGGCGGCGCGTGACGTAACGCGACACGGAGTCACACGTACATGTACTATGTACTACCATCCCCGAACAGATTTGCGTCTGCTTCCACTTGTTATGCAGGACGATTCACTGTAATACTTCTCAGAGTATCTGTGGTAGACGATTCTGCTATCGTGTTTCTGATTGTACACTACTTCATCGACGTCGGCATCTATGCAACAATAACAATTTAGATGGCGGATCAGTGCACGTGGATGTTGAAAAATGCGTGGACCCATAAGGTCACACAGGTGTGGCCGCGAACCTCCACTAACCCCTCCACGATTATTATACTCAAGTGTTGGAATGCTCCTGCGTCTCTGATTTTTGAGCGACGCCTGCACAATTTCTCGTAGAACACCGACATACGTTCCACAGACCTCTTGCACGATTCAGGACTTACATCCATCTTTTATCAAAAGCATGACAGTCTCGCACCGGGGGTTCTCTGCATGGATATCCTGCGAAGGACGAATACTACCGGAATTCGAAGTTGCTACTGACAGTAAGACCCACCGTGTTACGTGCTGGATACCAAGTTACGAAGGCAAGGTGCGCGTGGCCACGTGAGTTCCACATCTTAGGGTTATGATTTTGAACTTGCATCAGGCGTTCGTGATCCACTGGAAAGACCACGGTAGCAAGATCGACACGGCCGCGTACATTCAACTGGATGGATTCGTGTGCGCCGGCAGGTTCCTGGCTGGGGAAGGGGAGGCATACCGAGAAGGTGTCAGGACTGGTCCAAGCGCGGAGAGGCCATTCACTTTCTCCAAAGTTCCAGATGGAGGTGCGCGTTTACTACCATGCCTTACGCGTGTCATGATAGATGAAGGTCCGCAGAGAAAGCTGGAGAAGGAACGACAACGAGCCGAGCTAACCTCGGTACGATAATACTGAAGATTAGACGCGTGAAGCGACTGGCGGAGAAGGAGTCTGATGCACCGAGGCAGGTGCCGGACAGGATGCAGGGGCCGCAGAAAGTCGGCGATCATTGTATTGGGTCTGTGGTTACGCTGTGGCGGGAGTTTCGTCCTGGATTGAGCCTTCGATGTAGATTTGGTCAGGAAAGAGAGACGTGGCTCCAACACCCAAAGACTTTCAGTACCCAACCATACGATAGAAGAAGTCCAGGATCCTACGTTACCTTCGTATTCCGGTATCGTTCGCCAGGTTCGCTGAACACACTATCACATCCTTCCGCTAACCCTCTTTGTCCACGCAGACTTCTTGCAAGCCCAGGGCATCATCTCTTCCATATCGGAGGTCCCACAATTCACGGAAGAGGAAGAACAAGTGCTTAGCAGAACTTCGTCCGGTCCCATAACTCCTCGAGCGACCCCAAGTCCTAAGCAGGCCGCTAGGGCCCTCTCCGGCGGAGTAAGAAGGGTAAGGGCACCTAGTCTGTGTAGAAGCCGCCACAGCAATCGCGCTGATCACCCAGTGTAGCCGCCAGGTATTGGCCAAGCAATGCGGACCGTGTCGAACCAGAGTAACCAGAGCAACCAAAGCACCGGCAGTTTCGAGGACCCGACACAGACGCAGTCGTTCAAAGACAGCATCTTCGTATGGTCGAGTAGGTTTCCTACAAGTCCTGATCCCACCAATCCGTACCTGCCTATGAAGAAAGACGACAAGGACGACGATAAAGACATGACTGACGATACCTGAATGACCCTAACGACCTTTATGCACATTCGCTCTTTGTCCCTTTGTTCTCTTGTAGTATCAGTTTTAGTCTGTATAACGACACCCTTCGATCTTCGATTCAAACATCTCTGTTGTTATTTCCTTCACTTCTTCAAATACATGGGTTGTTTGGAGTTTTTAGGAGCAGGTGAGTCCAATGTCTTAAACGGAAGCACAGGAGGAGGACAGCTGCAGTCAGTGTACACTGTAGCCACATTTGTTGACCAGATAATCGCAATACAGATACCTTCCCACGGTAAGGATTATCAACGTTTCCACGCTTATTACCCTACCGTCAATTGGTGCATCGCGGCGGGTCGTCGCGATCGCGACTTGTCGTGGGCGAGTAGACAGGGTAAGCACATCGCAATGGGTATCTGCTTCCTCCGCCGACATTGCAACAGTTGACTGCAAACGCACTGATGTCTTCAAGCAACGACTACCAATCACCGTCCCCTATCAACTCCCACTACGATTGTCTATCGACAGTCCATGATGCCTCGTACGGTAACAAATGTGTATTAATACGTAGGTAAGCTATACGAACGTTCGTCATCCCAGTCATGGCTACACGAGTCCATGCCCAAGTAAATTAAATCAGGTGGTCCACGCCCAATCCGTCGTCAAACGCCTACCGTACAATTTTGCGTGCGTCACTCAGAAGTGTAGAAGCGATGCCAGCTGATCCATGAGACTAGGCCAGCCCATCGAGCCTCCGACATCCGACGCCCATTGAGCGCCTTGGTCCCTATTAACGACAAACATCGCTCAGCCACTGCCAACGTGCGCAGAAGTAAACTGAAACGTACGAGTAACCGTCGTTGGGTGACTGGGGTGAGTAGTTGTAGTTCGGGTTGGAAGTTCCTTGACGGCGGAACTTGGCGCTAGATGGTGACGCCCCCGCCTTCGCATTCAGGTTCGATTGACCCCACTGTCACCAGGACGGTCAGCGACTTTATAATTCAGATGACGGCAGTAATTGGTTATTTACCTGATATTGGACCATGCCGCTCAATCCGCTAGTGTAGCCAGCTAGAGCAGTCCAGGTCAGCATTCGTTCCATTAATAGATATGACCCGACGTAAACACGCACCATTCAGCCACTGGACATATGCCTCGTCACGTTGCTGATCGGTGATGAATGTCCGCCCAGAGCTGACGGGCACCGTGTTGTTGAATGGGACAAAATACGGTGCATTGCTCTGAGAGACCAGACCGAACGCGGTCAGGAACACCGGCTTGTTATACCTAGACGATACACCTCAGCCACAGAAGCGTGGAATGAATATAACGAAACGTACGTCTTCGCGGACTGAGCCTGGAGCTGAATCCAGCTAATACCCTCTTGGACTAGCGCGTCGTAGTCATCGGCAGTGATTGAGCCGTCGACGGCGTATTGATCCTGGTCAGGGAAGAGCTGAGCAGTGCCGAACGCGATCTCAGGGATGTTCAAGATATCTTGACTATCGACACCCTGAGATCCGTCGAACGCGGACGCAGTGCTAGAGCTCTGGCGCTTCGCAGCTACGGCGCCCCACCTTCCACGAATCTTCATGGCAATCGGCTCAGCGGAACCTGACCTCTTCCTGGCTTCCCTAGTCCTCTTCCTTGCCTCTTGGCGCTCAAGGAACAGCCTCGACTTCGACAAGGGCTGAACGCTCCGGCGTTTCTCACCCGGGGCTGGAGAGGTTTGGGGCGGAGGCGTGGTTGGGGGGAACAACTTGGGACAGTCCACGCAGAAGAAGCCTTGGTTGCTGCGAGCGCGAATCATTAATGAAGAGCGCAGTACAACGGTGGAGATACTAACCCGGAGCTGACAAGGTGGTTGGGGTCTACCGACTTGATGTGCTGAGCGACAGTAGAGTGCCACTGCGTAATGGTCTGCGGAGTGCAGGAAGAGCTCGCAGTGAGAGTAGAATAACACCTGCACGAGAGAGTAAGCGAAAGGCAGGTAGAGACAATGATCGAACACCAACCTCGGGTCGTTGGCCAGCTCCCAGGCAAATACTGCGGGGCTATTGACGTAGCGAGATACAATCTGGGTCGTGTAATTCGTGAATGCATTGAGGATTTTCTCGTTTGTGTAAAATTCATCGTGGTTGCCATTCGCGCCGATGAAGGCCTTGACGTATGCGTCCATACCGCCTAGAGTCACATAACTCAGCGCCCGACTGGCGCAGGAAGACTGTCGACATACCGTAATCGTTGGACAAATAATTGCGCGGTGTGTCGGTCGCCCACCGACGCGACGGAGTGTTGTCGACAGTCGGGAACCAGTTGTTGGTCAGGGATGGGATAACCCACATGTTCGCCTTCTCAGCAAGCTCTATTACTTTGTCCAGTCGCTGAAGGCCGTTGGGACCGTCGTTGATAGTGCCAATTCCATTGGAAAGGGTTTGGAAGTATATACCCTCGTCAGTGGGAGCTTCAACGTCTAAAATTTTATGACGCGGTGAGCAACTAGAAAATCCCCAGGGAAAAATTCGGACTAACCATTGAAGGCCCACACTCTGACGACTTTGATTCCTGCCGCAGACATATTACCCAATGTATTCGCAATATCCTCATCGTTGAGGGTGGGAAGCCAATAGGCATTGGTTCCTACAAAGCGGAAGTCTCTGACAATGGTGAGTGATCTTGTGAGTTTTGCCCGAGTATCTCATAACTTTAAGCACTCACTGTCCATTGTAATGGAACTGGCCATTAGAAGTCGTAACAAACTTTGACGAGTCGTCACGCTTCACAGTGCGAGAGGGAGTCTGGCTCGTCGCAGAAGCCAACAGAGCACCGAAGATCAAAGGAACAGACAGGGACAGACGCATGGTGGTCTACCGTTCCTTTCCTCTGGCAGGAGTCGCAAGACCGAAGGGCGGGCGCCCTTTGCATGGCCTCTTTTAAATGAGCAATCCTTTCTTGGGTTGCATCATGCCGAGGAACGAACCTGGACCGGGGAAGCGGTGCTTTCGACTTACGATCAAATACACGCTAAGGCCACGCTATTGGGTGAAGGATACAGATCCCGCAGGCCTACCAGGCACACGTGCCCAGATTTCTGGTCGGAAACGTGGATTATGCACGAGAGAACCGGAAAGATGTGTTCCAGGACATCCCAACTGGACTAACGGAAAAATGGGAGGCCGGAATGAACGCTGATGCCACCGATTCTTTGCGCATCGCATCCAAGGCGTCCTCGGAGGGTCGGGTTACTCGGAATCGGTTGCCGCCGAGTACAAACCACGCCAACAAGGGATTTTCTGCATAGACCGATACGGGTATCTTTGGAGAGATAAGCTTCCGTGCCAGGTTGGGATTAAAACGAGACTGGCACTTGGAAGATGTACGCTCTTCAGTTTGGTTACCTTCAATCACACACAGCTCTGCATCCGAAAGCCAACGCTCAGCGGCTAAGGCACATACTTGAAACAAGAGTCACGCGGTGCATATGGCTCGCTGACCGATATTCCCCAAGGGGAATGATGTGGAAGGAACGAAGGAGAGATCTGGACGAAGAGTTGAGAGGGCTGTGCAAATATAGCGTGTTCCCACGCTTCTCGTGCTGTGCTATGATAATTACTGTACCCGTCAACTTGAAGTCACGACCGGCCACAACGAGGCTGCACGCATGCACCGTCGCAGCCAGACGATGCCCTTGGCCGTTGTCCCAGGTTAATCGCCCGCAGTACACGGCGTTCAGCCATGGCGAGCGCGCGACCTGCAGTAACATCTGCTTCCATGATATGTCGAGCCTATTATACGGCATGAGTAGGCGTCTCTGGCTTCATATCAGGTATGGTCTTCATTATGGGAGAATTGACGGTGATATCATGGTCAAATCTTTACCACTCCCAGATTCAGCTAGGACGCGCGCCCACAGGCAGCCGAATGTGATGTAGCAGGTGTGCCCCTGGCGCCTATACCTGTAGGCTATTCATGGAGTTATCTCTGCAATCGGCCTGATATCTTCACTCTGGCTGCCGTACCGCCTTCGATCGGCTTCAGGCTTGCTCGAGCAGGTCTGTGCTACACCGCGTGGGCTAAGCCCGGCTTCCCCGCCATCCTGCCTTGGTGGCCCGACGCTCGTAGCTCCTGAACTAGTCTAAGACCTCTGTCTCCGACATTGACTTTCGGGAACAAACTCTCCTCGAGGTTTGCTGGTGACTCGAGTCAGCCATCCTCGTCTTTGCTCTCTTTTGTATTCTGTTGTACGAGCTGCGGACATCAACAATGATATGTATCCTTATTTTACTCTCCATCATGATTTTTCTGCCTTCGGTACTGGCCCAAGCTAACGGCTGCACGCTCAACGACGCCAAAGCCAAAGTCCTGTCCGTCAACTCCAATGTCGTGTGCCAGTCCCAATATAGCTGGATGGACAATCACCTGCAACAGTCGCCGTGCCTTGTCCTGGCGTACTTGTTGGCGAGATGCAACGAAGGAAGTAAGTAGTGACTTGCTTTTCGATGCGTCCTATGGCTGACGATATCGACTCAATGCGTAGGCTGGACTATCCAGCCTCTGCAGAACAATCCCATCACCTCGTACAATACACCCGGGCAGACGTGCACGCCTGTAGACGTCTGTGAATGGTGAGCGTTCGTTGCATTAAGCAATCCCGAGCTTTCTTGACGTACATTTATAGTTCCTGGTCTGCATACAATCTGATCAGCGCTTGCACCTTGTGCCAAGGCTCAGCATTTGCAGAGTCGGTCCATACGTACGTCTCCGTAAATACATGCCTTGCCTTGTTGCATACTGAAGAGTGGTCCCCGGGTCTAGCTGGGATGCATACAAGACTAACTGCACCGGCTACTACTCTACAAGCACGTGAGTTAGGTTGGTATATCCGACTGTGCTTGCTCTGAGGTGACTCTAGATATTGGCCCACAAGTAACTTCACCGTGCCAGACACCACTGCCATACCGTACTGGGCGGGTACCGATCGTGAGTCTTCATGAATTATGCAAAAGTAGGAGATAAGCTTAGGGCGTCAACCTAGCTACGACATGGTCGAACGGGATATTCGATCTGACTTCAGCTCAGAATCTGGCTGGGCAGGGTGAGCGTGTTCACAACTCCTCCATGACCTTCAGATGCTGACTAGTCTGGTCAGGCCATTCCGACCTCCCTGATGACACTTCGTCGAAGAAGACCCCTGTCGGCGCAATTGCGGGTGGTGTAGTCGGCGCTATCGCGCTGCTGTCTGCTATCCTTGGTATTGTAGCCTGGAGAATTATCCGCAAGCGTCGACAGGCCAAAGAGAACTGGGAGCAGCCAGGAGTCAACGGGAACAACGGGACGCTTCACAAGCATTCACTTTCCGGCACGACGGCCTTCTCAGGCGACATGACCGAGATGGGCACCACCACTCCCCTCAACCTGAGCGGTATGGCGAACACGAACACGACCACGGCCGCTGTGGCACACCGCAATACCTACGTTTCCCGCCGGATGCCGAGCACAGAATTCACGATCGCATCCACGGACGTCGAAGGCGGCCTCTCCCCCTCGCGGGCAGGCTGGCACAGCCGGACGACGAGCGCCGGGTCTGAGAGCACCACCTCGCTGCACCACCAATCCCAGTCCATCGACGTCATTCTCTCTTCGCCTCGCCGAGACGTGACCTCTCCGTCTCTTCTGGACGACGATGATCAAGGCGATTATATCACGACGCCGCCTAGGTCAAGACAGCGCTTCAACCCTCCCTCGTATGCCGATGTGATTGCGGCCACTCCGCCGCGGCAGGGGGCAGGTGGGAGTCATTCGCCGTCGCCCAGTACGTCTACGAATACCGGTACCCCTGGTAGTGATATGAAGAAGGTCCCAGAGAAGAGGAGATTAGCTGCGACCACGGCGGCTGATACCTCAGTGGACACAGCGGCGGACACAGCGGCGGACACGACAGCGGATACAACCGTGGATGCCTCTGCGGATGCGAGTGCAATCCGGGAGAAGGCGCCTCGGGAGTGATGTCCTCTTTGTATCGCTGATGACCCTTCTATGATCTTTATTCCGAGGTATACGGCCAGATCATGGTCATGTAGGATTCCGCCGGTTGGATGTATTCTAGCTTTGTTTTGCTAGGGCTATTGGTACATATTGTAGCTACACTGCACTAGTGGTAATATTATTGAATCCCATGTTTTCTTCTGACCTGCTTCCAAAAAATACACAAGGTTACCTAGAGCTCCGCATCATCAACTGAATATTGTCAGGCAGCAGCAATCAACCCATGTCTATCCGTATTTAGTACGCCACCTTGTAATGACGATCGTTGATCGTGGTATAAAGGCGGGCGTCGTCAAGCAAGAGTTCCAAAGCGTCCCTAGACCATTCACATCAGCACCGCACACTAAATAAAGAGACGGGATTACGCACTCTACTTGCTCAGTAGTTACGCTCGGGTCCTTGAACTTCATGCCCCGAATTATCCTCTCGCGCTTCACTCCATCAGTGCCCTGGTGCGTCTGGCTCTCGGCTTCGTGCATCAGTACCATGATAGCCCTATGTAAATTTGGCAGGTGCTGGTACGGGTCCGGCGTTAATGCTGGAGCTCTTCGAGCAAGTGCGGTCCTAGACGATTCCTCTTTTAAAACATTCGCTTGGCCATGACTAGGGGCCCCCGCCTGGTGTGGCGCGGGAGTGGAAGTAAAGGGCTCAGCATCATCCCAAAGGGAGAGACTCTCCACTCGAGAAATTGTCTCATCGACACGAGCATCCGAAGAGATCATTTCTCCGCCTCCGTCGCGAGACACCATGGTAGACGTCGAGCCGGTGGACACAGTAGGATCCCAATCACTCACAGGCACGCTGTCGTCCATCGGGGGCGCGGACGTGTCGGGGTCGTCGGCCATGTCAATGCTGTCACTTACGTCGCCGTGCGAGTGAGAAGGTGGTTCCTCGGGAAGGGGGGCTTCAGCCCGAGGGCTTGACGGTCTGGGAGAGGTCGGTGTTCTCTGGCCATCGAAAGGTGAAAGGTGGACTTCAGCAGTGGAGGGACATGGAGTCCCGACGCTTCCCGTCTCTTCTGCGGTTTGCTCTAACTCCTCCGAGCGGCCACTCTGCTCAGAACTCTGAGAAGTGTAAAAGCGACCGAAATTGCCCTGCTATGGGACGTCCCTCACCGGACCTGTCAATCACAGGATGCGAGAAGCGCCTGCTTACCGAAGAAGCCTGCCGAACTTGCAGAGTGACGAGCATCGAGTCCAGGATGTGGCACCAGACTTCATGAGGATCCGCGACTGGTCGGATGAACCTCACTCTGAGCCTGTTCTTGCCCCCATATTGTGTGATAAGGCCAATAATTCTTGCGTATGAACCGGGTCTACTCATGACACCTGAATGCCTCTCTTGACAAGAGGTGGCCAGGATACCTACTTGATATCACTCACGCCAGACTCGTCCTCTTCGGTCCCTGGAATATCGGCATCCCACTGTTGCGCAACGAGCCGACCCGGACCTGAGTCCTCCAAGTGAAACACATTCCACTTGTCCTGACTCGTATCGATGAAGACGACATGAGCCACAAGTGATACCTGGGTAGGAACTTCGTATCGAAGTTGGAGATGTTGCGATCCGTGGGCATGACGCTTACGTTCACTACTTCGGAATTATCGATCCTGAATTTGGCCCTCGAATGTGCTTGCATCGCGGATAATATCTGGCGCACAGTTACTGGGCGCAGCCTGCCTTGGATTGCTTCTTCGTTCTGTGTGGTACGAGCCGAGTGAAGTGAGGAGCCTTCTGTGGCATGTGTCATTGCTCACTGATACACTGAAGGCACTGATGCCTTCCTCAATAAAGGTGTGCTCCGCTGACATAGAAACAAACTGCATCTAGCGGTGGTAGTTTGTAGAGCGAGCTCGAGTATAGTCCGGTAGATGCCCTGGTCGACGGCTAAGGCGAAGGACGCGACGCGATCGGTGGCAATCGCACCTTGGCCGTGTGACCGATACAGCTCGAATTTTGTGCCACAGACTCACAGCGCTATACTTATGCTGAGATGCAACATTTGGACAATGCAAGATAATGTGACTACGACATGGGACAGGAACATGCAGAAATAGGTTAAGCTACAATATAGGCATGACAAACTCACAGCAATTCGCGATACACCCCGGAACTCCAGACCAATATACCCGATGATCATGACATTTTGAAGTGCGACTCATCCGAGGTACTGTAGATTCGACCGTCGTCCATGAGCGCGTCAAGTGCGGCACTACGTTGGGTCAACGTTAGTAAATAACGGAAGGATCTTAGACGCTGCACGTACCTGATAGCATCTGGTTCCCCTCGGACAGCTCGTGCGATAGCACCAACGTGGATGCCTTCGTCACTGTCATCCGGCTGGCTCGCCATAAAGTTCATGATCGCACGCTGCATGGGAGGAAGCGATGCCCATTGGTCGCTCTGCCCTGCAGATGCTTGGGCGGTGTAGTTCGACGCATGACTGCCTTGACCGTTCGGTGACATATTATGATCTGCGTTTCCACTCCCGCCCGGCTTTTGACGCGCATGTCAGCAACTAGGAAGTGAGGTGAAGAGCGAGGCTTACAGGGCCTTCTCTGTAGAAGCGGGTAACGTAAATGGATTCCAGCTCATGGAAAAATGGTTCATAGAGATCTTTTGTCGGCCGGATATTTGTCGCATTAATGTATCGCTTGTTGCCAAACATCTTCGGCGTGCCTGTCACCCGCACGTAGATATTTTCTCTGAATGCCACGAAGCGTTGAACAACATGCCAGAACAGGACTAACCAGCCAACGTACACAACATCTGCCCATTTCGCATTATCCTCCTCAGTACCATTCCAATGGCGCGCCTCGATACGGCCAGTTCCATCGTCGATCCAATACACGCTGTTCGTGGTGCCGGGTTGTATCGAGACTACGGTGCCGACAACAGAAACCTAGAAACAGGTGTGAGCAGACATTCCAAACCTCGAGGGCCGGGCGGGTTCACCTGCCCAACTTCTATGTCTTCGATCTTCCACTCTGCATCTGTATGAGCCTGTGTCGCTGAGTATAGTTGTTTTACTTTAACAGGCCGCAACGACTGCGCTGCGGCGCTTCGCTGATGGACGGGAATCAGATAGAGAATCATCTTACAGTAAGTGTGGTACGGACCGTTCTTTGACCAGGGCTGTTGGGGCTGCCTCCGAATGGTGAACCTCCAGCTAGATATCCACCCCCAGTGTTGTTCTGATAGTACGGGTTGCTGCCGACTGAAGTCTCATCTATACCCGCTCGGCCATGCAGAGCACTTCGACGACTCACAAGGTTGACTCATCGGAGGAACAAGGATACTGGATGTAGACGGTTGAGGACAGGAAGGTGAATCACGATCAAGACGCGCTTGCGCCGTGACTACATACCGTGACTATAAACGCGTTACATAACGCGTTGCGTGACAACCGCAGAAGGTGTGCTGTCCCGGCCCATGCTCTTTGTTCCTTCAGCGAACGTCCTGGCTGCGATGCAAGCCGGAACGTCGAGTGGGTCACATCCCACTGATATAGAGGGGGTTGCTAATAAGCGTTAGAAGATGTACATTTCGACCGCAAGTACGTATAACCATATTTTAAAGTGAGGAGACTGACTGACACATTTCCATCGATTAGGTGTTGACTGCCTACCTCTGGAGCTGATTCACAAGATAGTAGAGAACCCGAAAGATTCAGATGACCTCAAAAGCTGCTGCTTACTGTCGCACAAGTGGCGGGAATGCGCCCAACCTAAGCTGCACCATTCCGCGGATGTGTCAACGGAAAAGCATCCATTGCGCTGGCAAAAGCTCATAAAGTCTTGTCCAGCGATCGGCACCGAATACCTTCGGGTAATAGATTTTTACCCTTGGATGCCCGGAGATTACCCTCTCTTTTCCCGGTCTCGGGCCACTGCCCAAGGTGGAGGTTCTGAAATGGATGGGCAATCTAGGTCACCGGATACGCGTCAATCAGCAACTCGCACGATCTTCATTCTTAACTTCGATATTGGAGGTAAAGGACTTGACGCTCACGGCGTGCGTTGCTTCACGGAGGGAACTCACCAAATTCATCTCGTTCTTCAAGGGATTAAAGAGTCTGCGTATCGAGGAGTGCCAGTATAGGGACTGGGCCATCCCTGATGACCTTACCTACGATGCCTCGGGACTGGAGACACTGCATATCGGATGGTCGAGGTTTCACGACTACGACGACCTCATCGAATGGCTATTCCCGCGACCTCTGTCCCGCAATTTACGTACGCTCTCTGTTCGCACGGAAGCTCTCTCGACCGAGTGGACCGCATGGCTCATAGAGTCATCTGCCCACTCTTTAATCTCTGACAATTGACCCCGCTTGGGACGAGGGTGAGTTATCTGTTTATTCATATTTACATTCATAACACAGTATACGCTTGAAAATAGTCGAACTGGACCAGCCATTCGTTGCGAAACCCTTACCGCATCTCCGGCACATTGGCTTCGTAACGATCAGCGAGACACTTGATGGAGATGGGACTTGGCCATCGCTCGAATTCGTGCGCAAGTTCGTTGCTCACATGCCAGTAACCCCTACCGTTGGGGCTTTCAAAGTCGGTTTCTACATGGGGGGCAACGGTTACTCGGTCGATGCTCTTTTCGAGGACGTCGATTGGGAGGAGCTTGTGAAGGGACATATAAATAGGGCGTTCCCGGCTTTGCGAGAGGTATCCTTCCTTGTCACCATTGAGATGGACCTCGGGGACCCGGAGGATCGCGAGCGGTACGAAGACTCGTTTAAGTCACGGCTATCAGAGCTAGCGAAGGAGACGAAGGTCATTTGGGGTATGTTTGCTTGCCTGCAATCGAAGCGAAGGCGTTACTGACCCAGCTGACTTCTGCTAGACGACGCTTCCTCCCGACGGCCACCGCCATCCAACAAGAAACCCGATCCAGAGAGACTGGCGAAATTTGTCAGGATGTGGAACGACGTAAACGGCGACACATTGCCCTTCACGCCCCCGGAGGACTGACAGGGATTACACGAACAATGCATGTCGCTTACGTCGAGTATTGAAGTATGGGTGCCAACACAGTTCTCCAATACAGCCAGCGAAAATCGGATTTGACATGGTCTGGCATCATTATTGCCAAACCCAACCGCAAACTGAGTTATGCATGATGGAGATGTGCGGGTGCATGGTCGGATTAAATGTTATGCTACATACAATGCGATCGGACAAACAAAAATGACACTTCTACAGCAGTTAGACACGCTCTTCGTGAAGGGCTACAAAGCGCAAAAATCGAAATCACCAGGTACCACCCGACCCGGTTCCCCATCCACCTGACTGCTGAATCATAGCTGCGCGAGCAGGATTCATTCCAGAGGGCGGCGCAGGCTGCTGAGGAAACGCGGGCGTGCGAGGTGGATAGGAAGACGGGGTTTGATACCCGTAGGTTGTTTGTGGGGGTGGCATTCCGTAAGTAGAGGGGGTAGTGGAGCCAAACCCTGCTGGAGGTCCGGGCTGAGATGGCGTACCACCGTAAGGATTGGGCGTCCGAGCCGATTGCCTGACAGACATATGCCCAGGTGTCATGTGTCCTGGCGTCCGGGCAGGCGTCCGCCCAGCGCCGTATGGTGTTTTTCCGCCAGCGCCGCCGGCAGCCAGATTCTGGGACTCATGCAAATGTCTACAAGACGGGTAAGTCGTAACCTCTTAATGACAAGGAGAAAGACATGCCGAATTTTAAAAGCATCACACAATTCTTGAACACCGGGAGCGGCAGTATCGAAGAGATAGTAGGCTTCGGGGGCAACCCGGACTGGCCAGCTCTGAACAGTTGAATTCTTATTCGCAAGGAAGCATAGGTTGAAGTGGCCAGGTCGTTTCCGATTCAGAGTGAAGCCATATGCACTCTTCGACGGGTTGGCAGCCACGAAATTCTTGAGGAACAAGTCTACGGAGATGTTGGTCACACATGGACTGATGGTCAGAGAAACTGATACTTACGCAACTCTTCCTCAGACCCGTGCTTGAATTTTTCGTGGGCCATTAACTCTTCGACCCTCCGAGCCATGGCCTGAACATGGTTCACGATCAGCTCATCCAAATCGGCGAACTCGTATTTGCCGTCCACAATGAAACGAGTGCCGACTGCCTGCCCGGTGGGATCGGCATTTGGCTCCACAACATCTACAAGTAATACAGTAAGGCAAACAGACTGAGGACTAAAATATGTGTGCTTCACCTAAATGCTGAAAAAGCTTATCGTCGACTTTCCAAGTCACAGCCAGATGATTAAAACCTTTGGATGATGGTCTGATCACCACATCGCCTCGCTGCTGCTTGTCCAGATAGGCTTCAGCTTGACTAGCATTGAAGTTGTGGAAGTTTGGGTGCTTGATGACGCGTCTTGTCCGGTCGACTTCTGCCCTCTTCTTCCGAGCCTGCATCTCTTTATCCCGTTCCTCTTGATGCAGGTTCCAATCTTCGTCATGCTTGACCCTACGGAATTGGCTGTCTCCCGCCTGGACATCAGCAGGACGCGAAGATAATTCGACCGAGAATTGATCTTCCTGGAGGTTCAGCTTGACGTCGATGATGACCCCGGGGATGGTTTGCCCCTTCTTCACGTAGGTCTCCGAGTCGACGGATTGATCAGCGAGATACTGTGCATTGATCATGCCTTCAATGCCGGAATCGAGACGAACAGCAACGAAGTGTTTCTTAGGTCTAACCACGAGTACGGAGACGATCAACCCGATGCGTAAGGTCCTCGGTGTTTCGCCCGTGAGCATTGTCAGAACCTCCCAAGCGCTCGGTAAGGGGAATTTAGACCTCTGTTCCGCGAATGGGTGTATAAGTTCCCGTCGTATGACGTTCAGGGTATGTCGCTTGCGGTCCTTGCTGTTTTCGTACATATTAACAGCGAAATCGTCGAGGTTGAGTTCGTCCAGCTTTCGTTCGCTGTCGTCGTCCTGCATGATCAGAGACACTACATGCGATGGCGACTCTTCCTGGATGTCCTCCTCGTCCAGCTCGAGAGCGTCCGTGGCCATCTTCCTGGCCAACTCATAATCCTCGGGATGGATTCGAGTGTTATCCAGAGGGTCCGGCGTGTCAACGTCGTCGTTATGACGATTCTTAGACGACTTAGTTGTTTCGATGTCATGTGTGATACGCAGAAATCCAGCAGCGTTGAGGAAGATCTTGGTAGTGAGCAGTCCATTCTTGACAAATTGTTCACGGTTCACAAGATTGCCACCCTACCAAACAGGATCAGATTCTTATCATGATCCACGAGATGTAACGCGGTGCTCACCATACTTGCAATCTTCTTAACAACAAGCTGTGCCTTCCGTGGTCCCAGACCGCAGATGTATGGCAGGAGATGCTGGTAATACGAGTCCGTAACAGCTCTGTTGATGTCCACGCCGACTTTGTTGACTATGTCTACAAGGACACGTTCGAGGGCAGTCAGAAGCTTCTCTCTGGGGATCTGGGAATGCAAAGTCAGGGTCAACCGAGCGCATACATAAGTAACAACCCACTAATTGCTGGAAGTCTTCTTCGAATGTTATGGCGGTCACGTCGCCACCCAGCGCAGCATATTCATTTAGAGGGTTTTGCGCGTAACGTGCTAACCCCACACAGTACTTGGCGATTTCAGACAATGATCCGAATTCTTCAGAAGCCCTGTTGCTGTGCTGATAGAGGCGAGCAACTTCATCGAACATATAAATGACGGGAATATCGAACTTTTCCTCGGGCCAATTGCCGTATGCATCCATTGGACCTCCCTTAAGCAAATCTTTGACGGTGTGTGCCAGTTTGGTGGTAGTTATACTGAAACCACCAATGGCAATGACGTCTGGTTTGCGACGCTTCAACAAGTCGCGGAAGTCGTGACGGTTATCTGCATCAACGAGGTTATCCAGCCTTGTATGCTCGCGTAGTCTGCCAGCCTCATCCAAGAAGACCAGGGCGATGTCGTCCTTCTGCGGGTCACCTTTGCCCCAAGACATCGCAAGGACCGAGGGTGTGTCGCCGAGCTGCATGTCGGCCGTGTTGAAGGGCGCCACGTCGATCCGCTGGCATCTGGTAAGCACTAGAAGGCAAGCTTCCAGACCTTGGTGCACTCACCTCACGCAGAACATCTCCGCAACGGTTCGCGAGGAAATCCTCCACTTCCTCCCTCACCCATTCGCGTGTCCACTTCATACCCAGGGGAAGTAAGTGTTGCTCAATTGTTTCCTGAACTACCTTCGATCGTTCCTCGTTCCACGCCTTTGCAGTATCGCTGAAGCTGTCTGACGCGAACGCTTCATTCAATCGGCGTTCAAATGATGACTTCGCCTCAGGTGGTAGGAAAATCGAAACAGTCACGAGATGCTCTGACTCAGCAGCGAGGATATGAAGGAACTGAGGTGTCTGGAGCATGTCAGTGACTCTCTTCCAATGCAGGTATTTGAAGTTCTGCACGAGTATGGAATATCAATATGGGACCATGTGCGAAGCGGACATTAGACTCACATAATACGGGTGGTGCTCATCAATCTTCGTGATCCCGCGTTCCGTGGGCGATACCGAGATACGAGCTTCGCTTTTGAAAACATTCCGAATCTCCTGCCGGAGCAGAGGATCTTTCCCTAGCTCAGTCGAGATAATGAGTCGAGCACGACGGAGGAGCTCCTCAGGAGACTCGATTTTCGAAGAATTCGGGTCTGCAAACTGCTCGGCATATGCAGTGGGATTAACCTCTTGGTCTTCCACGAAATGTGAATTGTTCGAAGCAAGGAAATTCAGAACTATTTCGTGGGGCGTGATACCAAAGCCCTGAACGAGCGGCCATGTCAGTCCAGTATACACGTGTACATGGGATCGAAGCCTGACACATACCTGCGCTAGTCGGGCAACGACACTGTTCTTCGCGACTTGGTACGCGGACGTCCGACTAGGATTCTTCCGCTTAGGGGCCTCCGGTTCCTCATCATCATGGAAATGGAGCTCGAACTGGTCCTTTTTCTTGTCCTTGTACTTCATTCCCAACCACTCGGTGGCGTCCGCGACAACTTCGACACTCTCCAGCCTCCGTCGGATTTCATTTTCGAAATACTCGTCCGAGACACCCAGTCGGGCATACAAAGCATCGAGATGATGCCGGCGCTCCATGAGCGATCGATATTTCTGACCAAGACTGTACAACCGCCAAAGCTCATCCAGACTGAGCAGCTCCACCCTTGTCCGCATGTCGGCGGGATTGAAATATGAGATATAGTCTCGCTTGTGCGTCCAGATGTAAGGGACCTCGAATTCATGGACAAACAGATATCGCAAGGCGTATGAAGCCGCTTGAACCAAATCCGCGAGCAAGTGGTTGTATTGGCCGTCTCGGCGGAAGAAGTCCCGCTCTTTGCGAGTTGACAGCCGAGTCAAGACCCACTGAGCTGCGTCGTCGATATCATTATCAGTCAACGGCTTGTGTAATGAAAGAGTGGAAGACGGCGAAAGAGACGATGTGGCCAGCTGCATTCTTTCCGGGACATCTTGCGCCCGAATCAAGTCGTCGTCCTCGGTTAACATACGAGCACGTATTTCGGACGGTTCAAAGACCTGGTATTGTCAGGACAAATAAGCGCAATGTCTTCAGTTGACTCACATCCTGGTACTTCATCTCAGGTTTTAGTTTCTCCTCATCGTATTCAGCGTCATCCTCATCAACCAGAGCCCAGTCATAGTCATGACCATCCCCGAATACCTCGTGGATCTCGTCCCACGCGCTGGAACCATTATCAGTCTCGGGTGGCATTTGAGACGCGTACTATGGATATGAAAACTCACTTCGCATCAATCCCAGCGAGCTCAGGCCGGCCGAGAGCTTTTCGTCGTTGCTTCTCCAGTCGCCTCCTCTCTCGTCTCTTCTCTTCTCTTTCACGCTCGTCCATCATTTCCACACCCTCTTCATCATCCTCATACTCGATGAAGTTGTCCATGTCGTCCATATCCTCGTCTTCATCCTCTCTAGCTCCTTCATCCCAGATGCGATGAATGTCTTGAATTGCAGGAAGTTCAAGGTCGTCATTCTCGATGTCATCTTCCGAAGATTCCTCGACTACTCTTCGTTTCGAGGACGAAGCAGTGGGCGGAGACTCGTCGTCCCGACCGCGTCGCAAGCGCGTCAGACGGTTCTTGAATGAAGCACCCGTATTTTCTTCTAGCAGTTCGAGGTCCTCATCCTCCAGAGCCTCCTCTTCTTCACGTTCTAGCCGTATAACGGAATATTAGATGCGAACGTCCTCGAGGCAAAGCACGGTACCTCTGCGATGGCGCCGCTTTCGCCGCTTCCTCCTCCGCCGCCGTTCTTCTTCTTCCTCTTCCCCTTCATCTTCGTCCTCATCCACTATGAAGCCCTCGCGTATACGTCTGGCCTCCTCCTCATCTTCCTCCTCCTCCTCGGAACTATCGTCTTCCGATCCACCTGCAGGGCGAATGTCGTCGCCTTCGCCTTCTTCTTCCTGTCCGGAACCTTGCATCGGGTCATCCCCGTCATCGGGGGCAGTCGTCGGGACTGGATCTTGTACTGGCGAGGCCATAGTAAAAAACGTGGTACAAGCAGTCTGATGGCGCTGTGGCCGTTAAGTATGTTGTACACTGCGTGCCAAACTCAGTGGCTAGTTTGTACCTGCTTGGTTCCTGCTGAGTAAGCGACCATTTGAGGTATTTCTGAATCTATATTGCGGTCGGGCTTGCACTAGGACAGAAATTCTACTAGTGCTTTTCGCGAGCTCTTTGTTCCATTATGTCATCTGGTCCGTACTTATGTCGCTGTTGTTCTGTCTGGCCCGGAGAGCTGAGTTTCCGCAACAGAAAACGACGAGCACCTAGGATTCCTGAGGCTAGCCCTTGAGGAGGCTGAGAAATGTCAACCAACACCTACTGCTTTCTGTGTCGGCTGCGTTTTAGTAACTCGCTGGCCAACTGTCCATGATAAACCTATTATACTTGCGCGGGGTTATTCGCGCGAGCTTCCTGGGAATACCCATGCGGAAGCTAATGCACTAGCCAAAGCAGTGTCGAGTTGCGAAGAACTCTCCGAAGTGTTTACCTCTTCCACTCCTGGCGCGGTGGACATACACGAACTTCTCAAGCATACTGACGTGTATACGACGATGGAACCCTGCTCGATTAGGACCTCGGGTCTGGCTCCCTGCGCGGACGCGCTTATCGCAGTTGGGGTTCGACGGTGCTTCATTGGCGTTGGCGAGCCGGATGACTTTGTGAAGTGTGAAGGAGCTGACAAACTCAGGAAAGGGGGCATTGAGGTTATATGGTTGAAAGGATTGGAAAACGAGTGTTTGACAGTTGCCAGACGTGGTCATCAGGAATCATCTTGATATAATATGGCTTTTATGACACTAATGCAGTGGGGCATGTTGGCTGGATATACGGAACACTCATCCATGCACCTCAAGGATGGATGATGCGGGCTTCATGGTTCGTTAGCGCGTAGCCTTTCCTCTCTCTCTTGCTGCCATCTAGACCACTTCCACTTCGCCAGCTCTTGCAGCCGTTCGCCAGGCGGCGGGGCAGTACGTGGATGCGTCTCGTAGAGGTAGTAGGCAGTTAGCCCTGTAAACACGCCGAGCAAGGGATCCAACGCTCTGATATCTCTTCAGTCGTATGTGCCGATAGATAGGGAATGAGCAGCTGACCGAGAAAGTAAGACGGGCGGCATTGCAGAGGATACACTACCGCTCCTACGGTTAACTTCGGTGACGGTGGATGGGGTACCCTGCCGGTGCGTCTGGTCGGAAGCACTATTCGGCGCGTCACGGAAGGACGCCTCAAATTTGTACGCGACGTGTATACCCCGGACTGCTGTCGGTACTCCGTGAACTCTTCCTGCTGGGCTGTCGTGTTTTTGAAGATCCTCTTTTGTGACCGACTTTGTTGTCCGATGTCTGCTGCCTTGGAACGCCAGATCCGCCCAATTTACGGTTCGGAGGTTATGCTGCGTTGCAGGATGGGACGCGTCTGGCTCACTTGGTTTATTCAGATGCACTCGACACGGGCTCCAACAAGTCGGCCATAGTTTCTTGCAACAAGCTCTTGAAGAAGCAGCCGAATAATGACCTGTTGAAGGTATGAAACCTGCTATGCTAAGACGTGGTCCCTGACGCGTCAGTCGGATAGGCCCTCAAGGCATTGGCTCTAGTCCGATCGCAAAAGGTCGAGGAATCATTGATGCTATGCGATGAAGTACTTGCACACCGACCCATGGATGACGCGACGCTGTCCGCCATGTCGCATGTCCTCCGCGGTCTTGGTCGTCGTCAGTTCATTTGGATGAATACCTATGCGTGTATTCGAGTCCTGACGCTCAGCCAGACACGGACGTTGTCAAGATGTTCGAGGAAGCCTTTAAGGCGCAACCTTTCAACGAGGAATATGGAGCACAGACCTTCTTCGCAAACGCCAGGATTGGGAACTGGAAAGCCGCACAGCTGGTGAGGGACAGTCGTTTCAAATCTGATCGTGACCTGATGCCGACATGGGTGCAGGTTGCCACCAAAATGCATAAGCAGTTCCAAGAGGACAGGTATATCTACTGGTACGTTATTGCTGTCATGCTCCAGGTGAGTCCTCTCGACATGTAGAAATGCTTTCGAACCTCTCACGCTACAACATACAGGCCAATGATCCAGCGACTCCCGAGAACATGAAAGGCCTCCTCCATAAGCTTGCACACAGCAAACTCATGACATCCCCAACGCCAGCTTATGTCATGCCTGATCGACTATACCTGCATCTCACTGTGCTGCGTGAACTGGGAATGTTTGACGATGCACAAAAGGTGCTAGATCACGAGACTGGCAGGAACATGTATAATGCGAGTCTAGTTGTCGATGAGCTCCGTCGAGAACTATGGCGCCTCTCCGGCCGGTGGACGCAGGAGCGAGAGCTCGCGGAGCACCGAATCACGGAGAAGAAGTGAGTCTGTTGAGCTGAGGCGGGTCTCGTGAGCTGATGGGATTACCCCTACGACTGGCTGCTGTCAAGGGATCGGAATTGGCTGGAATTCCTGTCCGTCCTCGACGCGACCTTTTCCTCCGTCACTTCGTCGTCGCCTGTCGACGAGGATTCCCGGGCTGAGTGCCTCGAGCGCATTACACAGGCCAGAGAACTATTCAACCGCGTTGCCGAGGAGGACGGCGTTAAGGATCGCTCAGGTCTACTAGCGCTTATCGAGCTAGAGAAACGATCAAGACATCACGATTTCTGTCAAGGTGGATAACCTGTATCTCGATGCATCACTTCCTGACCGGTTTACCCTAGATTCTTCGGAGCTCCTTTCTCTCATGCAAAAATATTGGCATCAGTTTGGAGAGAAGATGTGCTTCTTCGAGGATATTCAGCCATATCTGGACTTGGACAGTGACACTCTTTCCAAATGGACCACCTTTCTGGACTCTGTCCAACCTTCATATGTGAGTTTACTCGTTATATGTGGACGGAAAGTGCGTTTTCTGACTGATATCTATCAGGACACCGAGCCGAATCTGCGTCGTACAATAAACTGGTATAAGACACGGCGGTACACTATCCCTGAGGCTCAGATAACTGCAGAGTTGGAATCGGAGCGCGCATCGGAGTATACCAAGGCGTACCTGACGGGTTTGCCGCTTGGGAAGAGTTTACCTGAGACGGAGCTGCAGCCTGCTGATGATCTTGCTCTCCTTGCGGCGCATGCATTCATCTCCTCTTGGACAGCTGGCGGCGGTGAGGCACAGCTGTATAATGCGGCTGTGGTCCTCGAATACGGTCTCGGCAGAAGTAAGCAATCGTACCATATGCGGTTGCTGCTTATCCAAATATACAGATTACTCGGTTAGTCAGCATATCCGTCGACGCTTGACCTTCTCCATTGAAGTAAATCCCCAGGCGCACCCAGTCTAGCACTGGAACACTACCGGCTGTTACACGTGAAGCAGGTTCAGAATGACACCCTTTCGCACTTGGTCCTAGCAAGAGCCTCAACTTTCTCTCTGGCTGCCACGGGCGACTTGACGTACCCTTCTGAGTGCCTCGAATCCAGCCACATCTACATGAGCAACTCCCATGAGGTCAGGAATCGTTTGACGTTGAGGATTGGGAAGGTCGATACTCATCCGCAGCAGACTTCGGATTTCATTGTCAGGGCATTTACTCAGGAGAAATACTCACAGGTGCGTTTTGTAGCTCCTCTACGGACCTTCTTCTCACACCGATCGTCTTGCTTCAGATTCCGGATCTGATTGCTTTGGAAGAGAGACTCGATAATTCACTCCAAAGGGACCTTGTAAAGCTTGAGCATGTCCGGATGAGGATAACACATGAGCCGGTGAACTCGGAGTTGATTGACATGGAACTCATCGAGCTGAAGTTCAATTTCGACCGATGTAAGTGACTACATTCTTTCTAAATAATTACACTTCAACCCTGACTGGCCTCGACATGGATCAGATCATTACGACAACCGAGACATCAAAGTTTTCAGTAACTATCAACCTCGCGGTCAGAAATCAACATTTGAGCAAACGTTGTTATTTAAGAATTTGCCAGGAGTGCGTATTTGCATGGTGTAGGTTTTCTGGCTGCGCTATCTAATGGTCTCCTCTTAGTCAGGATGGCTGTTTGCTTTCTTGAAGATCTACATCAGGGCGCTGCAACACGCTAGTGATGTAGACGAGACAGTAGAAGCCAAACTGTTAATCGGGGACAGACCCAAGCAAAGTCATGAACCTGAAATCCAACGACCACTGAAGGAACGGCTGGCTCACCGCAAACAGGAAGAGTTGGACCAGGTAAACAAAGCTATAGCGATGCCAGTTGTCAACGCTTACATTTGACAGTTAACTCCCAGTGAACTCGCATTTTATGACTTTGCCACAGTTTTGGGTGAATGGTTGGAACCTCACCATGATCACATACGGCCCCCACCCTCAGCTGTTCTAGCCGAAGCGTCGAAGCAGACTGAAGCCAAGACGGGGCGTCCATTACAGGGCATCGACATCTCCGCTGATCTTCCCACCAATGGGCACGCTAAGAAAGACGAGGAGGCACCACCAGTGAAGGATGCGCCGGCATCAATCGCTGGTTTCTTCGATGGTCGGGACCCTTCGTTTTTGCGCTACTTTTTGCGCTCAAAAATATTATTGTCCGCAGACATGCTAGCCCGTTTCAAACAGCTAGTTGAAGGCGGTGCTCTGCCACCTGAGCTTCTTCATGTGGCTGCTTTGACTCAGGAAGTGCGCTGTTTCGACCTCTTGGCAGTATGTGGTATTGACCGCTACGCAGGCTTTGATCCTGTTCACGATCGAGACTCTTCGTTTCAAACCAGCGTCCATCGTGAAAATCCATAAGCTTGGCGCCGTGAGTCCCTGTGGTTTCTCCAGGGACAGGGATTGATGGGTATTGCTACAGTTGGTTGCGAGCTGCAAAACGATTCGAACGAAGGCCGCGGACGTCTTGAAGGAAATGTCCGCAGAGTTAACGAAGATCAGCGAAAAGGAGGGTACCCAAGAGCGACGTAAGGCCTTCGTAGAACTTTGTAAGCCTGTCCAGGCGACCGGCCAGGTGAGTCACTTCATATCTCCCGTTGCTATAAGACGAACCATATATGGCGACAGATTGATCATGACTTCGTCCTCGACGTCGCAAAAAGAGTCACCGACTCTCGCAAAAAGGTGTTAGAGGGTGTTGCGAAAGGTATCCTCAAAGTAACCTCAGTTCATGCATAAGGTAGTAGCATAGGACTTCTCGGTTATAGACTTACAGGCTACAAGTTAGAATAGTAATCAGCACCCCTCACTACTCATAACAATCCATACTCATCACTGTGTACATCAGACTCTAGGCTCTACGATGAGAAAGCGTGATTCCGGCTGACCGCGATCAATCACAGCCTGTCAACGATCCTCATGTATAGGTATCCTAAGGCAAGAGATAATACATAAGAGTATGCTACAATGTCTATGGCGAGTCCTTGAGGAAGTGGGATGCAAGAAAACAATGCAAGATTGATGCAAAACGAAGCCTAGACTCCAAGATAAGCAAGAAAACCACCTTACTTTTTAATGGCATGCACGACGTGCAGGCGGACGGACGGTGGCATAACGGGCTCGTACATGTCGCGGTGAGCATCTTCAATGAGCACCTTCACTTTCCACTCGGGTATCCCGGCCTCCAGCAGCATCGGCCGCATAGCCGGCAGGAGATGGTCGTACTCCATCCAGGCTAGCTGCCCGATAGTGAGCAACGTCTCGTCTTGAAATCAACATGGCGGTCAGACAATAAACGGCGGGTGACTCGGGCTATTTAAGCGACTGACCTTTGGGCCAGAAGCCGATGGGGATGCTGGCTTCTTGCACACGGATCTTCTCGTAGGCACCCGTCTGCCGGATGATGGCCCCGAGGTGCGATGGGACGTTTACATCGACGCCCTTCCGTGTGAGGCAGTTCCGATATGCTTCCCAAAGGGCGAACCACCCCGGAGCGCCGGAAGCATACGACGTTTGAGGGCGTTTGCCTGACGACGTTATTGCGCCGAGAGCATCGTGAGGGGGAATCCCGACGAGCTGACCGTCCACGACGGGTTGCGAGTCGGGTTCTATCAGGATGAGGATGCCGCCTGGACGCAGCATCCTTGTCAGTTCATTGACGAACTGTTGGTAATTGCCAATCTGCGGGAATTGAATGACTGAGATACAAGTATAGGGAGCGATGCTTACCCCCGTATGCATTGACCTTGCGTGGATTATGTCATAGGCATGGTTCGAATACGGGAGCTCAGGCCCGTCGAGATCACACAGCTCGAACCTGAGCGATAGACGTTAATGCTTTGTATACACGGTAACATCGGCCACTTACGAGCAATTTGGCGGCACCTCCCTATGTGTCCACACCAAATGTAAGCTAAGGTACATGAAATCAAGTTGCTATATTTTACCTCGGCTGTATGGGTGCGAGATCAACTCCAGTAACATCCACCCGAGGGAACTCGTCCGCCATCTCGATAGCCCTGAGCTAAGTAAGAGCAAGTAACATCTGAGGGGCACGTCTGGCCTACCACAATCCTCCCCCAGTGCCGACATCGAGGACCCTCCTCTTGTGCTTGACGCCGGGGTAGGTCAGAACCTCCTTGACCGGGCCAACATAATTACGGCCTGCGCAGACAAACTGCAGGATGCGGTGGTGGTAACTGTACCGCTGAGAGACTGTCAACCTATACCCCAAAGAAATTACTACAATGCAACTTACGCGAATCTCATCTTCGTCCGCGGGGAGCATATATCGCTCATTAAGGACGTTGCGCCGACGACCGTGCAGCTGCGTGAAATATCGAGAGGCGTCCTCGCCCACAAAGGTATCTTCGTCAGACATGGGGGATTGTTGGGCAGACATGGATAGCTGTGGAGGTGCCCATAACTAGCCCAAACGGCTCCGAATTGTGGGCAGCATGGTATGCCATAAGAGTTTAAAGGCGGGAGACGATCGAATGGAGGATGCAACTCCAATTTCATATCGCCCGGGCGCTGTAGCATCTCTGCTTACCTCACACGCAAACTCAGTGGAACTAGCTCCTCATTCGTCTGTGGGGGCGAGGCACTCCCGAGATATATACTTAAACTCTTTACATATACATCTACCCAATACAACAAGGATGTAATAATACCTATACCTACATAGAATGCGTATTGTACACGGTCGATTCAGAGACGGTGGGGTGAACTCCGTCATTCCGGCAATGGCCTATTGAATGTGTTTAATCTCGTGCACGAAGACCGTGCGCGTCGAATCGCCGTGCCATCCGCGGTTACTGCTGGCGGAGACCAGGAAGCGGGCCGCGGGATCTACCACTACAAGGTGCGCAGATCAGCACACTAATCAGGAGACATAGTCTACCTTTGCTACTCACGCATCTGGGAGATGTAGCCACCGTGGTGGCCCGGAATGATCTTGAACTGGGCTCCGCTTCTGACTCGACCCGAAGCATCGGGTTCGCCAGCCTCAGCCACGTTCCAAAGTCTGATGTTATCTTGGGACGCGCTGAAGTAGAGCTATGAAAAGCTAGACTTTGGTATTCTAAATGAGACGCTTACCATGCCAGGTGACGGCCGTCCGGAAATGCTACGACGCAGGACACCACGCCAGATGAAGCCGGGTTGCGCAATGTCTTCATCAGGCGGGGAGTGTTTTCGGGCCCAGAGGTGCCCATTTGACGGACGTCCCAGATATCCACCGTCCCGTTCCGGCGCCCAGCGTAGATCTGCTCGCCATTGGCCGACCAGCAAGCCTTCGAGAAACTTTTGATAAGATAAGAGGTTAAGCCAAGAGTTATCAAGACACCGTACCGATTGACACCATGGAGGCGTCTTCTCGTTCATCCACAACCGTCCAACGCCGCGGCCTGGTGATGCCCTAGCATCCCATAAGATGACCTGCCCGTCAACAGACGCCGTTAAGAACGTGTCGGGCGAAAACGCCGCGTATTCACGCGAATCCAGAAGCGGGGGCGCATTCCTGGGGGCAGGCGCACCAGCTGTCCGCGAGTACGCCGGTTGCGAAGTCAACCTAGACTGTCCGATGGACGTCGCGCCAAATGCCTGATTTCCGGTTGGAACTCCCGCGGCAGTACGAAACACGGAGGCATTGTCGCCGTCCTGGCCATCACCGTCAGGTTCATCATCGAATAACGGATCGAATGATGCGTCCGACTTTGTATCACTGTCGTCGGGAGGTGGTCTAGAGCCGCTGGGTTGAGGTGGTGCGGCAAGAGCTCCACCTGGCGCACCATTCACTTGAGGATTCCCCTGCTGGAAGTCGACGGAGTCCTCTTCTTTCTTCGGCGTCACCCATAGTCCGTCGAGTTCCTCGGACTTGGGATTGGTCGAAGGCGGGATCCATGGGCGTGCACAAATGGGACGGAACGCAATGCTTGCCAGCTGCGCACCATGGGCCGTGAATTTCTTAGTGATCTGGCCCGTATTCAAATCCCAGTGCTAATCAAGTTAAAGCATATAATGATATGCATCTTCCAAAGAAACTTACAATAGCATCCCCATCCCACCCGGCACTGAGAAAACCCTTCTCATCGTGCTGTATAGATAGCGCAGACACATGGCCGCGATGGCCGCGCATAACGTGACACAACCGCCCTGGATCATGGCGTACGGTGAACAAATTAATATGGCCTTGCTGTCGGGAACCGAGCATAAACAATTTTGTAATGTAAGGCGCAGACACGGAGTAGCACTTACATCTGACCCAGCTAGGGCCCATAAAGCGTCCGAGTGCATGGCCAGGCTGTATACGGGAGATAGAGGGATCTCCTCCGCCGGAATGTTACCTAACCTTTCCGGGTCCGCGGGGTTCTCCCACCAGAATCGTAACTGGCCAGCTTTCATAGTGCCCTCAATTACACCGCAATGGTGCCGCTGAGGGGCTGTTAGAAAGTTCTTCCCATTTACTGCGGCGAATATGTCGTAGTCGCGGACATATCCGTCGTCGCAGCCTGTTAGGAGATGGGTCATACAAAGTGATGCGGCTAGGGAGTGTGTCGGGTGGGGCTGGGGGATCGCACACATTGCTTCTACTGTGTAGGATCGTGGCGAAGAAGGGTTGAAGGTGGCGAGGATTTGAGCGCGTCGTTGTTGTGCCGGCGACAGCGGGCCTGGCGTACGTTCGCGGGGAGGGGAAGGTGCAGTCGTTGGGGGAACTTACCGGAAATAATTACAGAAGAGAAGAGTACAGAGCTTAGCTGATAACTTACCAGCTAGGGTGTTATGGACGATCTCCTGCGGGGGCAAGGGTGTCTCCCCAACGTACGCTGGAGGCTTTGGATCGAGGACTGGCGTCTGCACTGCCAGACCCTCGGGTAACTCTTCTTCGTCCTCGTCTTCTTCCCCCTCGTCAGAATCATCAAAGTAGCCGTCCTTGAGGCAGCAATGTCAGGTAGAGTTAGGGCGGACCTAGGGATGCCGTACTCAGGCTAGCACTGCGATCCACAACGCACCTCGTCGCCCTCCGTAGCATCATCTGCGCCAATCTCGGCCTCCACCGCGTCTAAAATATCTTCGTCAATGTCTTCGTCGCCGTCCGCGTCCGCGTCCACCTCCGCGTGCACGTCGAAGTCGAAGTCATCGTCTTCGAGGTCGCTGTTGGCCATAGTGCTCGCCGCGCCACAATTGCAGGGATCTGATCGAGAGACAAGAACGCGGAGGTGATGTTCCCACGCTCTCTATCCCAGCTTCCACCGTTATGGTTCTCGCAGACTTGGGTCGCAAACTCAATGCTGCTCTGTCCTCGCTGAGTAGGGCGCCGGTCGTCGATGAAAAGGTCGGGCGAAAGATGCACGACATGAATTCGTCTTGATCCGCTCTTCTTCAGGTCCTGGATGCTACGCTGAAGGAGATATGTGCTGCGCTCTTAGAATCGGACGTGAACGTGAAGCTTGTCGCGTCATTGCGGGCCAAGGTCAAGGCGAAAGTGAAGGCCTCATTGGACAGCAGCTCGGACAAGGTCAAGGATGTCAACAAGAAAAATATCCTACAGAAAGTAAGCTTCGCCTGAAACCTTAGCGGAAGTGTCCTATAACGCGCTACCTGCCGTTAGGCGGTATTCGACGAGCTGGTGCATTTGGTAGACCCCGGAGTGGAGCCATATAAGCCTGTAAAGGGTAAGCCCAATGTCATTATGGCAGTGGGCTTGCAGGTGTGTTAGTCCCTCGAACTGGTATCCTGCAATGCTTCATCCATCGCATTGCGACAGGGTAACGGTAAGACGACGACATGTACAAAGCTCGCCGTGTACTACCAGAAGCGCGGATTTAAGTCCTGCATTGTCTGCGCCGACACCTTCCGAGCCGGGGCTTTCGACCAAACCCGACAATCCGCGACGAAGGCTAAGGTAGCATACTTCGGGTCGTACACTGAAACGGATCCCGTTGCCATTGCCGCCCAAGGTGTCGCAAAATTCAAGAAGGAGCGCTTCGATGTAATCATTGTCGACACGTCCGGGCGGCACAAGCAAGAATCAGAGCTGTTCGAAGAGATGGTACAGATTGGCGAGGCCGTCAAGCCTAATATGACTGTCTTAATTCTGGATGCTAGCATTGGTAATTGTATCTGGGAATATATGTATGGAGTAGAATTGATCTGAAGGCAGGTCAGGCCGCTGAGGCTCAAAGTCGCGCGTTCAAGGAGACTGCAAACTTTGGTGCCATAATCGTTACCAAAATGGACGGTCACGCCAAGGGCGGAGGAGCCATATCTGCGTGAGTCCATCCCTGCATTTGAGATATCTGGTTGGACTCACGGTGTTACAGAGTGGCTGCGACCAAGACACCGATTATCTTCCTGGGTACTGGAGAACACTTGACGGACCTGGATCGGTTCTCTCCGCAACCGTTCATCTCCAAGCTCCTGGGTCTGGGGGATATGCAGGGCTTGATGGAGCACATGCAAGACTTGGCACAGCAAAACCCCGACAAGCAGAAGGAAATGGCCAAGAAGCTTGAAGAGGGCAGATTGTCAATACGGGATTGGCGAGAGCAGATCCAGAATGTCATGAATATGTACGAAGCGTCCTTCAGTGTACCTGCACCCGGTATACTGACCTTTCGGACATACAGGGGCCCAATAAGCAAAATTGCCTCCATGATTCCCGGTCTTCCACAGGAAATGCTGCAAGGCTCCGACGAAGAAGGCGCTATGCGAATGAAGCGCATGATATACATCACCGACAGTATGACCGCCTCCGAACTCGACTCTGACGGGACGCCCTTCCTGGAACTCGGGAAGGACGGCAAGCCCGTAGGGCTGACATGGCGCGTGACGCGGGTAGCAAGAGGAAGCGGTACCAGTGTGCGCGAGGTCGAGGAACTGCTGTGCCAGTACCGCATGATGGCGAACATGGCGAAGCAGGCTGGCGGTAAGCACGGGTGGCTACAGGGCATCCAGAAGATGCAGCAAGCTGCTGGGGGACGTGGGCGGGGTCCAAATGGCATGCCGACGCCTGCGCAGATCGAACAGATGAAGGTGCGACGTGTACGGTTATTATTATGTGCAATGCGCTGACATTTGGGTACCTTGATATAGCGAGCAATGCCTCCGGGTATGCTACAGCAGATGCAGAAGCAGATGCGTGGTGGAGGTATGCAGGAGATGATGAAAGCAATGATGCAGGGCCAGGGCGGCGACCAGCTCGACATGGAGGAGATGCAACGTGCGTTCATCCCTTGTAACTTCCTGTTTACGACGGCGCTGATGCCGCGTCTCCAGGCATGATGTCCCAAATGGGTGGAGGACTGGGTGGTTTGGGCGGACTTGGTGGCCTAGGCGGCCTCGGCGGGATGGGCGGGATGCCCAATATGAACGATATGTTCAAGATGATGGGTATGGGTGGCGGCGGGCGGTGATATACTGTATCTACTATAATATTCATGTAGCGTAGTTTCATTGGCTTGTTTTTCGCGGACTCCCAACAATATGTATACGACATGCGTGATATTGCGGCAGACCAAAACGGGCCTGTGAACCAAGATATGATACGTACAGATTCTACGCTACAAGATGCTATGCTACAATTGTGATTCACCGAAGAGGTCATTGCCGCGCTTTCTGTTCCTTCTTCCACTGTTTCTTCTGCTTTGAAGCAGCGGACCTATTCCCGAAGATGAACGTCGAAGTGTGCTTGTCGGCACCGGTCTTTCTCGATATCCTTGCAGTCCCAGCAAATACAATCTATGCAAGCAAAACTATAAATAAGTACGCATTCGAGAGTGTATGCACCTACCGCCCAGAGACCGGAAAGCCCTACTGTCCCCGTTCCTAGGAAAACCAACGTGGCCAGTGGACCGACATCTCTAGTATTCCACGCCAGAAAGGCTGATAGAACACAGGCGCCCGTAAGTGGACCAAGCAGAGGATGCGTTTGGATATTCGTAATCTCTTCCCTGGGCGCAATGGGCGCATAAGAGGGTATCTTCGAGGATACCATGTAAGCAAGGGCAGTGAATGGAGTGAAGGAACGTGCTGTACATTCAGGACTAGTGTTAAGGCTATAGTTGCAAGCAAAATTCCGAAGTGCGTGCATAGGAAGGACTCCAGAGGCGTCAGCAGTGTCCTGGCCTCGGTAGAAGCTTCCGACGTAAATAGGATTAGCCTGGGGAAGAGCAGAAGAGGTAGCGAGGCAAATCCAAGGCTATACAATCCATTCAGCAACGATGCAGCAATTTGAGATGGAGGAAGAGTACACTAACATTGCAGAGGACACCCAGACCCAAAGCGAGACGGTGCTCTCCCTTGCGTCCTGAGACTCGTATATAGGCTTGTCGGCATTGAGAGGATCCAGCCCTGGGTCTGTCTTTCTGTTCAAGTCTTCCATCTCAATGTCGGTAGCCATAGTCGAGGATTAAGAGGGGGCAGACCTGCAGCAACTGCGCGCCCCATAGTACGCGTAGTACATGTACGTCACCGCATCCGATTAAACATTCTGTGGCGATGCGACACCAAGTTCGGTTGAGCCCCTTGCTTGCTTCTCCGAAAGCAAACGGATTGTACTCATTCACACATCAGTTAAAGCAGCTGAATCTCTCTATTCTGTCGCAAGTACACAAAGGTAAGACCCCCCACTACTACGGAGATATGAAGCAAGTAGCAAGATGCAATGCGAGAACAGGGAACCGTCGACGAACACAGCACGGACCGAAGATAGCGTCGAAGAGAACAAAGCTGCACAACCCAAGCGAGCGCCCACCACTACGCATCATACCCATCACAGCCGTGACCCGTTTACTGAGCCTTCTGCTCATCCTCCTTCGACTGGTATTCCTGCAAGACGATCATAGCCTCGGCCACCTTGGCGTTCAACGCGTCCGGGGCGTCCAAGAGGTGCAGAAGCTCGCTGTTGTCCATCTCGAGAAGCATACCAGTAATCTTGCCAGCAAGCTCCCCAGCAGCACTATAGAAACATAGGCATCAGATGAAGTCCAGACTACGCACAGCGGGAATCGACTTACGGAGCAATCCTCATGTACAACACCTCGCCGAGCATCTGCTTCTGCTCCATCGGAGGTGCGTTCGCCAGTGTAGCGGGCGAGATCGTCGGCAGGCCATCAAGTTGCGGTGCACCAGCTGGAGCAGGTTGACCAGCAGGAGCAGGTCGGCCCTGCGCATTGCCCTTGTATCCCTGGGGACGGGCAGCGCCAGCAGGTGCACCAGCCGGGACCGCAGCAGGCCGTCCGGCAGGGGCGCCTGCAGCGCCGGCTGGCCTAGGAGCACCGTTGACTGGAGGAGGAACACCGTTGGCGCCGCGGCCAGCAGGGGGAGCACCGGCCTCTCCGGGACCACGAGGAGCAGGAGGACCACGAGGAGGCGCGCGAGGGTATCCGGGCATACCGTAACCCTGAGGGACTTGCCCGTAAGGTCCAGGCATAGGCATACCCGGCTGCCCGCCGTTGGGGTAGCGGGGACGAGGAGGCATCATACCCGGCTGGCCATAGCCCATCATACCACGACCGCCCTGAGGAGGGTAACCAGGGCCAGGAGGGTAGTACATGGGTCCGTTGGGGTAACCACCAGGAAGGCCAGCAGCAGCCAACTGCTGCATCCTAATCTGGTTGCGCTGAGCAATCTGGCTCTCCAGTTGCTGCCTGCGGATCTCGCGACGCTGGGCGAGGGAGACGTACAGGGGCTTGGAACCAATGATCTTATTGTTCATCTCCGCAACGGCCTTCGTGGCCTCGTCCGGAGAAGAGAAGCAGACGAAACCAAAGCCCTTGGACTGTCCCTTCTCGTCCCGCATGACCTTGGCACTAGTGATAGTGCCGAAAGGCTCAAACTCAGAGCGGAGACGCTCGTCGTCAATGTCGTCTTCCAAGTTCTTGATGTAGAGGTTGACTCCCTGGTACTTGCTCAACTTCTCCATCTTCGCCTGCTCGTACGACCTACGTAGCTCCTCTTCACGCTCGGCCTTCTTCTGCGCGCGAGACACGTAGAGCTTCTTGCCCTTGAGCTCGGAATCGTGCAGTGCCTCCACAGCCTTCTGAGCGTCGTCATGATTCTCGTAGTTGACGAAACCGAAGCCCCTGCTCCTGCCCTCCTCGTCCTTCTGAAGAACTGCAGAGGTAACAGGGCCAAACTTAGTGAAAAGCTCCCTGAACTCCTCGTCCGTGACTTCGAGATCGATGTTCTTCACGTAGATGTTAGTGAATTGTTTCTTTTGTTCGTCAATCTTGGCTTGACGTTCCTAAAGTAACTGTCACTGTTAGCGTATTTTCATCTTATCTAGCGTTGTGTTACGCACCTTCTTGGAAATGTGATGGCCGACGTAAACTTTCTTATCGTTGAGAAGCATTCCGTTGACGGCCTTAATGGCGGTTTCGGCAGCCTCAGCAGTCTCGTAGTGAACGAAACCGTAGCCTTTGGAGCGGCCTAGCTCGTCCGTCGCGACCTTGCACGACAAGACATTACCGAAAGCTGCAAAGGTATCGTGAAGAGCCTTGTTGTCGATGGCCTCGTCGAGGTTCTTGATGAAAATGTTGCCTTGACCGGTCTTACGGAGGGCAGGGTCGCGCTGAGACCACATGATACGGCTATAACCCACCGTTAAACGCGCGAAATGGCAGAATATGATGGTGGACGCACCAAGCCTTCCCCTTGATGAGAGAGTAGTTGAGCTGCTCCAAAGCGCGCTCACCTGAGCAGACAGATGTCAGCATTGAAAAAACTGCAGATATCGAGCTGGCGCTTACCATCCGCAGCGTTCAGGTAGTTCACGTAAGCATAACCAAGTGAGCGACGGGTGACAGCATCGCGACAAACACGGATGCTTCAGACCCAAAAAACCCTCAACCTATGCATACACAGCAGCCAACGCGCGAAGCACGCACCTCGCCACGGGACCAATCATGTTGAAAATCTCGAATAACATAGCCTCGGTGACGGTAGGGTCGAGCTCTCCAACATAGAGGGAGGCGGATGGGGCGGACATCGAGGTCTGAGGCGGCGGGTTGTAGCTGGGCGCAGCAGCAGCGGGGGGAGCGGGGACCGGCGCCTGGGCGGGTGCGGGTGCGGCCTCTGGGGCGGGCAGCGTGGCCTCTTGGGCGGGGGCAACGGCAGGCGAAGCGGACATTGTGGTTTTTATATACGATTTAGGGGGTCGTTACTGCTTTGTGAACTTTTCTGCGACTGCGAAGGGAAGGAATGGAGGGAGGTGTTCTCAGCGACCACGCCCGCCACGGTGGAAGATGAGCATGATACGCACACTAGATAGAGAAAATAACAACTGCTTTTTTGAACAGTATTTTTTTCTGATTTTTTGAAAAGCTTTTTGACCTAGAGAACATTCAGCGTCAGCAAGCAGAACATGCGCGGCAGCCATGGCGGACAGCAGACCTTTCGATGATGGAGGTTGGAAGAAAAAGGTATTAGCGTGTTCACGCTCTTGATCAGTCAAATCAAACTCCGACAAGGGCCACAATCTACTTGTGAACCTTATCGGGCTAAGCCACAGTTTTGTTTCAATTGAACAATACACTCCCGCAGAACGTCCTGGAAAACGCTCTGACACATTGTAATACGCCCTCGATGACTACGTACATGTATTGCACAATGTCCCTTCCCCATAAATCACCGTTGCGCGAATTTACATATGCGTGGAGTCCGACCAGCAGTTATACTTCGTAAAGAAAATATCGTACGTGCTACCGATAGACAAATATTCAAGCGTGTCATCCAGTCGTTACATACAGAAATTGTTTATCCCCGGGAGAAGTACGCCTTCGCGCCATGGGTGGCGAATTCGCCTTTAGCCTGCAGGCAAACACAATATGTAAGTGTCCACAATGCCTTAGTGTAGCGCCGTACGGAGTGACGTACCTTGTCGAAGCTGTGGCCCGCTGCCTTCCCATGGGCCCAGATCTACGTCGTATGGTAAGTCAATGAGGCCCCGTACGGGAACAGGTAAGATACGTACCAGTCGGAAGAACCATAGGCTCCCGAAGGCCTCAATGACCCATCCGGCTGAAGCAAGAGCGCCCAAGACGCCGCCTGCAATGCCTGCGCCTCCATGGGCAAACATTATTACCGTCTGGATGATACCTGCTGAGCCAGTGCTGCAGAAAGAACACGTCAAATGAACAGGACTCTAAACGGTCGCACAGCGCCCCACCTTGGAAGGCCAATGGCCCTTGAAGGATGTCAATAATTCAAGCATGGAGGACAACGTTGATGATGAATTCTCACATGTACAAGCTGAACAGAATATGCCATCCTCCGAAGAAGAAGTACACATCTGCGTAGCGAAAGACAGTGAAGACAGTAAGGGTGCGACAGATGGTCTCGTCTTACAGTAATACAGTGACTGCTCCTGGAGAAACCCGACTGGTTATTCTCAGTGAAAGTATGATACGAACACGCTTACTTTCATATATCCATTATATATCGGTCTGGGTGTGGTTCAGCATGACGTATCGTGCGCATATACTTAGAAGACTGGCCTGTACCACGTCAAGAACGACAATGCGCCTATCACGGGGATATACCTGACATCCATAAGAAACATGCTCAGCCCTCCCACGATACATACACTCACATGATACTGACTCCAAAGTCCCTGAAGCCATCTCCAGTCCCCACAATTGTGGCGAATATGAGGGCCACCATATTCACCAGCAGTGTTACTAGCAGCAGCAGCCACAGCCGAAACATTTGCGTGATGAGCGGTCGTGAAGCCTCTGGGATTTCATCCTGTATGGAGTGGTAGACCAAGGGGTAGACTTGACGTTCCCACTAGCCCATGAGCCTCCCGAGTCCATGGAATGCAAAGCTTCACTCACATGGCGGGAAGTTATTACGTCCATGCGTCCTTATGTATTCTGCTCGCTGGTTCAGTTCCTGCTCTCGTCGTTGCAATTCCTGCTCGCGCGCGGCGAGCTCTTGCATGCGCGCATCGTACGGGGCGTGGGCGGGCTGCGGCTCCGGGTCCTCGAACGGGTTCTTGTCCAGCGAAGTCGTCGACGCGAAGGGGTTTTCGCTCAGGCCCGCTGTCAAGCATGAGCATGAATATGACTCTGAATGTTACGCCAAGAAACGAAACGAGCGCACCCATACTGGGAGTTTGAGAGATTTACTACGGGTGTGACGTGCTGTACCTATTGGTTCATGCTGTAATCCTTGGGCTGTGCACTTAGGCAATTGCCGAATGCAGTACTTACCAGGGCGCTCATTGGACAACGCATTCTTCAGCTCAGGCTGTATGATTCTATAAAGTCACATTCTTGTCGACACAACGTTCTCCCGCACTAGCTGATATCTAAGAGGCAGAACCCCTGCAGCTGCGACTTAGTACTGAGGACCTACACATCAACGGGAAATGATGAACAGCCTGTAGCATCTCAATGGAGGCGGGCAGCTTGGCCCGGCGATGGAGGAATATCGACGGAACCTGTACTGGCCGACATCACTACGCAGGGCCCGCTTGGGCACGTCGGAAACCATGAACTTTTACTTAGCGTGCCGTACCAGCGCGACACAGGCTCCCGTTGACTTACAGTTGACTTACGCTTTCATTGGGCTTTCGGACAAGAGGAAGCTTCGGTTAGGAGCATTCACCGTGTTGACGCCAGCTTCTCCCTCAGAGAAGTGACCCTGTTGGACACGGACGTACAAATCTGTGTTCGTCCGATGCATGCGGCTGGTCAGAGAGAAAAATCCTTTGGCGGTCGAAAGTTGCTACAAGCAGTTGCAAATGCATATTATAGCAACGATGAGGTCAATCAGTTTTTGTTCCTCTCGTGTTCTCGGCGACTGAGACACCGAGGGCTTCAGGGTGAGTTGTCAAGGCAGCTCTTGCGGCACAGGCTCATCCGTACTCACCCATCTCTGAGATGATCCCTCCGGCTTGGCTGCCCGGAGTACACCGCAGGATATGGAACAAGACCGAGTTGAGAGCATTTGCTCAACTCTGGACGGGGGTCATGAGGGATCATACACCTTGATGCGAGGAAGTGATCAGCAGCATGTTGTGCAACGTAGCGCTATATTTGTTGATAGAGTACATGTCAACCAGTCAAACCCGCAGCGGTAGAAGACAGAGCAACGGCGACATTAATATTGCTTCGAGGACTGGAATGGACGTTTCGACGGCACGAATGGCATAGAGGGTGCCAAACCGCGTAACGGCCCCCCAGCAAAGGCAATGCGCAGTAACGTTTAGGGAAGAAAATGAGGATGGAGCGTCGAAAAGGAAGAACAATATGTTTTCGGGGGTTGATGACGCCCGGCGTGGGAACGTCCGTTGCAAAGGCGGGGCTTATAAAATGAGGCACCGCGGCCAGAACGTATTCACTTATTCCCCACCTCCTTGCTCCCGCACCGTCTCCTCGCGTTCCTTGGTCGGTCAGTAGCATTTCGGTCTCTTTGTCGTCGATAGACGTGTGCATTAACGTGTGCTGACTCTCATTTGCCTTCGCTCTAGCACCTCGCTGCTTTGCAGTCCCTCTCTCTTAAATACCACCCTCTCTTGGCTCACCTTCAGCCGTCACTCCCTTCAAACCCAAGGACCTGTCTTTTCACTTAGCATCAATCGCAATGTTCAAGCTCATCGCCTCTGCTTCCGTCGCACTCGTTGCCGCATCCAGCGTTGCTGGTTACGTTGTTCCCCGCAAGGAGCCTCCTCCTGGATGGGCAACTGACTACCTCGAGCCTTACCAGACGTACCACACCCGGTACCTTGCTCTTGGCTGCCAGAACCAGCACGGTCAGCCCTTCTTCGACCAGTGCTGCCATCCTCTCCTTGTAAGTTAGCCTTTTGATATGATGGATTTTCGATCAGCGCCCAGTTTGGTAACTTTGTTCAATTTTTAGGCTACCGAGAGCTTGTCCTCTCGCCCGGCACAGTGCACCCCGTCGGCGTCTGCTTCCGCCTCTGCCAGCGCTGCTGAGCCCACCTCCACTGACGACGGAGATGATGATGACTGCGACGATGAGGAGTCCTCATCCGCTGCTGCCCCCTCGTCCACTGAGGCTCCCTCATCCACTGAGGCTCCCGCTTCTACCTCTGCTCCCGCTGCATCAGCTACTCCTGCGCCTGTGAACGTTGCGCCTGCCCCCGACACTTCATCCTCCTCTTCTACTCCTGCTCCTACTACGTCGGAGGTGCCGTCTTCTACCCCAGAGCCCTCGCCGACGTCCTCAGCTGCTCCTGCTCCAAGCCCGAGCTCTCCTGCTTCCTCCGGCGGTGATCTCATCAGCGGTGGATTGTAAGTCTTGCGCGTCTTAAGTCAATATATGCGCTGACTTGTGCCCCCAAGTGCCACATTCTTCTACCAGAACGGTGTTGCAGGTGCTTGTGGCACTGTTCACTCGGACAACGACTTGATCGCAGCTATCGGTACGAACACTTGCCCTTATTGATGAGAACTTCATTTGCTCAACTTCATTCGCTCAATAGACCAGGACCGCTATGGCAACGCCAGCGGCCAATCTTCCCTCTGCGGCAAGCAGGTTCTGATCACCAACCCTGCTAACGGCAAGTCCGTCACTGTCACCATTGCTGATGACTGCCCCACCTGCACGAATTCGAACTCCATCGATTTGTCTTACGGCGCTTTCACTTCGATCGCCACGGAGGCTGAGGGAATGGTTGCAAGTTAGTATATATATCTGATCTCTCTTGGATGAAGCTGACTGCACGACTCAACAGTTGAGTGGAAGTTCCTCTAAACCCCCATCGGACTCGCTTTTCTCTTCTTGCAATGCATTGATTTGCTGTTCTTTGTTTGTTGATATGGGGCCGGGCTCCGTCCGGGATGTCTGGTGGCGTCGAAGCAACGGCAGTGAAGATCATCTGACGAGATTAACGACCCTGGTGGCGGGAAACTCCTCTACGTGATTAATATCCTCGCCCGCTGTGTTTACGCCCTGTACGATGTCCTTTTTAGTCTTCTGCACCGCGTTAGTGTTGTTTTTTCTTGGGCTCATTGGCAGTTCTTTTTTTCTATGTATATTGCGTGCATTTTAGTCCCCTGGTGTAGCTAGCTAAACTTGACGGACTCTGGCAATGCGATTATGCGCAAGAGGAATGTATATAATCTGCGTGATTGCGGTGACGCATTGAAGTTGACTGTATGGCAATCCTGATCATGACAGCGTTGACGTTGTTGTAATATCCATTTGCACTTGCTGGTCAGTAACCACCATGCAGCAAGCTATCCAAAAGATCTTGGTGGTAGGTGGAAACGGATTCATAGGTAAGTATTCCGTTGTAGCTGTAGTATGCAGCGCGCTAAGCGTTCGACGTTCATGCAGGTTCTGCGGTATGCAAAGCCGCTTTGGCTCGAGGCCTGCAGGTCACGAGCGTAAGGTATGGAATGAAGTTCTGGACTGCACATTCATTCATAGCTGACTTGTACCCCTTCATACTGCCTACCTCAGCTCGTCGGGGAGACCTTACCGCACGCCTAAAGGCCACACCCCGGCCTGGGCATCCAAAGTGCAGTATCAGCGTTCCGCTCACTTGCATCCCATCTCCTCATGCTGACATGCCCGCGCTCACGCAGGTAGACTGGCAAAAGGGCGACGCGCTGAGCCCGGAGACGTACGCGCATATACTGCCGGGCGTCTCAGCCGTTGTGCATACGCTGGGGACGCTGCTGGAGGATACGTCGTACAAGAGCGCGGTGCGCGAGGGGAGCGTGTTGGGCCTTGCGGGGAGTTTTGCGAGGAGGTTGGGCTTTGGTGGGGGCGGGAATCCGCTGGAGAGTGGCGAGGGGAGGCCGGGGAGTTATGAGACTTTGAATCGGGATGCTGGTGCGCTCGGCAGTTTGTTATCATGCTTGTGAGGACTGACGCGCGTTGCAGCTCTGCGGGTCTGCGAGGCTTTTCTGTCTGCGCAGCCTGAGGTACAGTTGAACGGGCCTCGGGCGTTCGTGTACCTCTCTGCTGAGGATGTCCTCCGACCGTGGATCCCTTCGCGGTATATCGAGACGAAGCGGGAAGCGGAGATGTACATCGAGCAGATGGTCTCTACCCGACCGGATTTCCGAGCCGTATACATAAGACCGAGTATGCATTTACATATCGCAGATTCCTCGTCATGTTTCCTTACCTTTCTCGACGTGCAGGTCTCGTATACCACGCGCACCTGCGGCCTCTCATCTCCCCTCTCGCCGCCCTCCTGGATTTATCTGCCACACTCCATGCAAAGGTCCCACCGACCCTTCCGACTCCGTCAGCCATCCTGCGCTCCGTGGGACCCCTCCTGCCTCAACCCACCCCTGCCCCGCAAGGCGTCGCGCCTTCGCCTCTTGAGTCCATCGCAAACGCGATGACGATACCGCCGATCCATGTCGAGCACGTAGCTGAGGCCGTCGTTATCGCAGCTGACAATGCGAGGAGTGACGTCCGGGGCGCGTACGGCGTGCAACAGATGCGCGAGCTCATCGGGTGGTCGCAGAAAGGGGCAGACGGCCATGAGCAGCCTTCCGCTACTGTAGAGCAGCGTGTGTAGGGCGCAGTGCAATGTTAGATATGTTCCCAGACTTAGGCGTTAGGGGACGATGCGGCCGTCCCGTATTTGAGAGCGGGTTTAAGGCACAGCGTACTGAAGCCGGGGCCCCACCAAAAGCGCCCTAAGCCCGGCGCGTGACCCAAAGATAGCCTTCATGCAAGAATTTGGGGACGGCAGACGTCAACTGATCCTGTCCTCTTCGCTGCCGTCTGGCCTCGTCAGGCAGCCCTCTGCTCTTGCCGCGTCGTCGTCGTACCAGGGTGCAGGCAGCAGCAGCCAGTGAGGACGGCGCAGCGTCAGAAAAGGTGAGACAAGCGGCCGTCTAGACTCTGGCTATGTTGCGCGATTCAGAGCTGACTCGGTGATCTCGCAGCATAGTACGACATATATTTGAAAAGATCGGACTATAAGAGCGGGCATCGGTCGGTTCAGGCTTCCCCTCCCGATTTCCTCCTTTGCGACGTGCATGTCCTCCCTCTGCCGGCGTGCGTTATGGAGTGCTCCGGTCTCTGCCTCGGGGCCCTCTAGGGTGCCCCTGGGTTCAACCCCTCTGCGAAAGCGCTCGCGCGCGTTCGGGAACTCGTCGACGAGCCAGACGGCTCTGCCTTTCCTCCTGAACAACCTTGGGTCTGCTAAGAGGACGGTAGAGCAGTCGGTCGCGTCCGACCATGGGGACGGCAAGTTCTTGCGGATGTTGATGTTCGGGAAGCCCGGCGCAGGGAAAGGGACGCTGTCTGGACGATTGGTCAAGAAGTACGATATCACGTCCTTGTCTGCAGGGGATCTATTGCGCCAGCAGATTGCAGAAAGGTGCGCGATGCTCTGGGGAGATCTGGGAGCTGCAGTCTGACCTGTAGCTTCCAGGACCGAAGTCGGGAGGACGGCTGAGAGCATCGTCGCGAGCGGGGGCCTCGTCTCGGATGATATCATGCTGAAGATTGTCTCGTCCAAATTAGATCAACTCCGTAATAAAGTATGTTGTCGGTGCCAATACCGGATCTTCTTGCCTTGTCTGACAGCCATGTGTAGCACTGGATATTAGATGGGTTCCCCAGAACTCTTCCCCAGGGAGAAATGCTGGATGAGGCGTTGCAGTGAGTTTATGCGCTACCTGGATTGCGACGATCGGATTGAACAATGATGTCGCAGTACCCGAGGGACCCCTCTTACCTTGATCGTCAACCTCGATGTGCCCGACGAGGTTATCCTCAGTCGGATTTCGGATCGATGGATCCACCTGCCGTCCGGGCGTGTGTACAACATGTCTTATAACCGACCGAAGGTCGAAGGTTTTGACGACGTCACTGGTGAACCTCTCACCAAACGACCTGACGATAATCCCGTAAGTTGCTCAAGTATATGCATGTACTTATACTGACAGCCTTGTCAGGAAATTTTTGCCCGTCGCCTGAAGCAATTCTACGAATCAACGTCCCCATTACTAGCGTACTTTGCGTCTAAACCGTCCAGCGCAACAAAACTCGTCACTCTGCGAGGGGAGACGTCCGACGAAATCTGGCCGCAGCTGGAGAGCGTCGTCACCGGTACGTTCCCTTCTCTGAGGGAGCGCGTCGAGCCCAAGGAGGAGAGGCGGAGGCACAGTCTCGCTGATGCCACGATCGCTAGCGAGGAGCGCAAGAGGCGAACACAGGGCCTTGCGAAGGCGAGGCTGACATCATGATTTTCTTGTTCCCGCGTAATCGTTGCTGCCGCTCGTTCGCTTTCGCTTGGTTGAATATCTTGACCTTGTCTTTTTAGTCTTAGTCTATGTGCTTCTCGTAGTGCGGTGGAGACTGGTGCTGTGTGGTATTTCGGACCATTGTATTATTACTTCGAATCTCTATGCGACTATCTGACGGATTGACACCTGCGGTCGCTGCTGCGATTGTGAGCGCTGATCCAGCCCGAATTCTTCCTTGAGGGTATAGAGACCGCGATCCCACAAACAAGCTACGGAACGGTCGCTTCGTCAATGAAGAGCATACCTGAGTGTCTGTGTCAAGAGAGTTGCAATTTGTACTATAAGCTGTGCAACTGACATTTTCACTACGTACAGCCCGGGTGGGAATCCGTCCTGCACCTGTTCGTGTACTATACTGAGACCAGCCTCCCGGAACACTTGCTTGAAGGCCATGTCCGATCTGAATATAGTTATGAATGCGTACCCAAGTATAGGTTTTCAGATCCTTCTTTGACGATGGATGCGGTGGAGAAATTAGACAGACACTAACCTTGTAAGGCTGGAATCCTCTTCATCAAGGTGGCTCCGCGGTCCCCCATCGGGCGAGTCAGAACAGGTGTTCTCTTTGACTATGATATATGCAGCGGTCGGATCGCGGAGAGCCACTCGACAGCGCCTCAGGAATAACACCAAGTCCGGGTCTGTGAGATGTCCCAGACACCACTGGCACCAGATCACGTCGAAGCCCGAGTCAATATCACCCGCCGTCGGGTCGGAAAGATTTTTCGAGAGCTCTGAGGAGGTCGGTTGGTAACCTATCCGTCCCAGCACTTTTCCTGATGCTGCAGGATGGGAAGGCTCGAGCGACTGGAGGGTGCCTTGGATAAAGGTGACGCTCCTCGTTTTTTCCTTGATGCCTTTCCAAGGTGCTATAGGGTCTGCATTTGCGTCCTCTGCGACTGCCGGGACATCCTGTTCGGAGCGGCGTCCTCGCGCCACAGCTTCGAGCACGAAGCTCTCGACCGGCTCTACGAGGACGACATCCGAAAATAGGTGAAGCAGGACGTCGCAGGTCACGCGGCCGACCCCTGCCCCGACATCCAGCGCCCGCGTACGTTGATCAGTAGGCTGGCTGCGCAGAGGCCGGAGAGCAGATGGGACGGTGCACAGTTCGGGCATGAGGTAGAGGGCGAATTGACGGGACCCCAGTGCATCTATTCTCGGGAGGCTCTTGGTAACGCATCAGCCAGAGAAAGGGAACTTGAATACGGGAATGATATACCCCAGTTCCAAAACCACCTATACATCATCGTGCATCCCCCATCAGAGTAGTGCTTTGTTTTCGTTTATGGGCGAGCCCTGTCAATGAAGCTCACCTAAAACACCGTCGTAGTCGGCGGATTGCGTACTCCAATAATTGATTCCAGCTTCAACATCGGGTTCTGCTTGCTTGGCCATCTTGACACTGACAGATCCACAAATTCCTCCTCGTTGAAGGAGGACCTTGGAACCACAAGCTACTTTTGGAGCTGGAGGAAGAAGCCGCGGCAAACCGCGGGTCGGCCTAGGGTTCCCATTAGCCAATGAGCACAGCCGTAGCTGTGTCTGCTGTTGACCGACCACTCCCCAGCTGCTTGCTCGCGGTGCATAGACCGTGTTGCAAACAGAGATGTTGTTTTCACCACATTGAAGCCGCTCAGAAAGAACAAAAGCATACAGCCCCCAGCTTGCCCATTGATATTTGTTGGCCAATCTGGCCGGACGGCCCAGATCCATACCTCTACCGATAAATCCTTCATCCCCTACTCTGCCTGACTGCAGGGAATATACCACCAAAAGAGTATGTCTAATCTAGCTAGAGATATGGGCAGCACTTCATTCATTGTAAGCCCGGCAGGGTACGCCGCACAACCCCAGTGTGGCTTTGATCGAAGCCGAAGGAAGAGGCAACACAATCGTGCAGACGATGCGTGTCGGAATGAAAGAGAGAAATAAATCTCGGCTCTACGTAGCCCTGCAATATCGGGGCGCTGGTCGTCCCGGTTATCACGTCGGCTTACTCCTGGTGCCCAAGCACGAGAGCCCTGATCCTAATACAAAGGACGCGTACAGATATCACGCCACCAATTCCTTTGCGCCACATGCTACGATTGGCAAAGACGGCAGGCCTTTCTGGCGCTACGAACATGGATGGGTGAAATCGACCCAAGTCGAAAACATTGTTGCTAGAGTGCTTGTGGCGAAGCTGCCGGGATGTGAATTCCAGCAGCAAGCTTTGCGGATTGCGCGGGAAGTCGAGCATGTAGTCCTCGTGCAAGAGAACAGTTCTTGGCGCTGTCACCACTGGTTATGGGCGGCAATGGACCACTTGCGCGCCTTAGGACCGCAGTGGGAGACTATACCTCATGTCGAGCCTGGAGGAGAGATAGAAAGGCTACTCAATGAGGCCGGGGACGAAGGGAAGGAGAGAAGATTTGGTTCGGATTCCATGGTGATTACGGAGCCCGGTCAGATTTTCACAGTCGACATGCGTCAAAGATCGACGAGCAGCTACAGCCTACGGGGTTCGCGGCTGAGACCTTCCTTTCATTTCCTGAATGAAGCAGCAGATACAGTGATTCGGCTGTCGCATATCCAGACCCAACCCTATAATGGCCTTCGTGATGTCCGTGCAGATTCTACGTCCTGTAGCGATCATCATTCTCGTCATCCAGTATCCAATTCCGTTGTGGGACAGTAAATTTAAATTATATCTCTCCAGCGTGACAACCTCCTCTGGAAAAGTAATAATAGCTGGAAGCATCCCTCGTGTTATATCTTGGAAGGGGCTCTGCAGGGAAACTCGAAAAATCGAATTATGCGGCGGCTGAGCATGGCAGCAGTCCAGAGGAGCAAGTTCTTGGAGTCCCTGTTTGATTGCCCAATCCGGTGAAGGGTACTAAACGCGTAAACAGAGGCAAATAACGCGTCCATACCCGCCACCATGTCGGCTACCCTCGACGACATCTGGGACGCGCCTGTAGAGCCGTCATCGCCCCGTAGGCCTTCCGCATCTGACGCACCACAATCGAACACGCCTGAACGGTCTGAGAGGCCACTTTTCCTGGCGTCAGACTCGGAGGACGATGAGCCAAAGACACGCAAAAGAACGCCGCAAACTAAGAAGTCGGCCCGTCCGGACATAGACGCGATGTTCGACAACTTGGACGATGATGAGAACGCGTTTCAACCGCTGGCTCCCGCATTGGACATGAATGCCCTGCAGAGAGAGGCGGAACAGCGTCATGCGAGAAGTAGCCAAGGAGGTGACCTCCATGCTATTTTACCCAGCAGCTCGCCCGGGAGGGAACAGAGCAGGGATATGGCAGACAGCAACAACGAGAACAAAAAGTCGAACAAAGATGGACCTAAGGAACGAAAAGTACTGCCGAAACTGGACGAGGCAAGGCTATTAGGACCTAATGGGTTTCCTGCCCTCATAGCGGAGGCAAAGAAGTTCAAACCTCGCGGGAAGGGCCAAGAGGTGGGTGTAACTGTGTCCAAATAGATGGATTCTGCTGATGCTCTGCGAAGGCTACAGACTTGAATAGAGTAATCCAATTGTATCAATTCTGGGCGCACAAGATGTATCCCAAAATGCAGTTTCGCGATACGGTCAACAGAGTCGAGAAGCTCTGTCACTCAAAGAGAATGCACGTGAGTAACCTATCTTGGATGTCCATCGGCCTTCTCATCAACTCCGCACTGATAGGTTGCACTGAGTGTCTGGCGTGACGAGGCTAAGGGTCTCGTCAACGGGATGAAACCAGACGACCCGATCGACCTTGTTTCTGACAGTGACGAAGATGATGCTGATGACGGAGAACGAACCAAACCCGACGGTCGGCAGTCACTGGGACGTGATGTTGGCGGTGCCAGTGATGCACGGTCCCGAGCTCCTAGCCGTCCGCCGTCTTCACCATCGATAGGTCAAGTCACCGACGTCGACGACTTCGATATCGACGCCATGATTCGCGAGGAGCAGGAGATGGAAGCTGACCGAGTGCCTGCGCCTCAAGACACTCACCGGCCTACCGAAGGAGCCACCGCTGGGGATGACATGGATATCGACGATGAAGCCATGTGGGCTGAGATGATGATGGAAGATGCTGGTGTCCCCTCGATACCTCCCGTCCCGACTTCAATCAAGAATACCGATGATAACACGACGGCCGCGGCCGCTCAGACGGGCGGTGCCAGTGTCATGGATGACGAAGACATGTGGGACGTGGTCAGAGAAATGGAATTGGAGTCACAGAAGCCAGGCAGCTCAGTCGCTGCTGGTCCCGAGACTCTGCCGTCTGAGGATCACACGACTGGTCCGTCCAGTGAAGGTTTGACTTCATCTCCACAGAGGAAACGAAGAATGTCAAATGCGGATGACTGGGACGATATGTATGTTTAGACAGCTAGTAGTAGTATTCTCGATGTAAGTTCTGGTCCGTATATTATAATGTGATTACACATGCCCTGATTATCGTGCGCCTACTATTAACTACAGTATTAAAACAATAGTAGTGTCCATCGGCATTCCCCAAATACTGTACTATGGCATATACAGACCAACGACGCGGACAAGTTGCCAGCAGCCTTGTCACACTCTTATGTCGATCGTCTTCACACAGTTGTGTTCTGCCAATTGTCCTGCCTGTCTGGATTACAGTATCTTCCGTTCTTCCCGACACCTTCCATGTGTCTAAAAAGAGCATCCAGCCGCGAGAACGATTTTGAGCATCGCTCGCAGGTAACCCGCGTCGATCGCTGCAACGCAAGGGCTCTGTTGGGGCTCAACACCCCAGCAGCGACCCATCCTTCCTCGATCTGCGCATGAGCCGTCGCGACATGGCGGCGCGCATCTGATGCCCGGGTGAAGGTTTCTGGGCAGTCCGTTTGGTTCGTGAATGGGTTGACATACGGGCAAGCGAAAAGTTTTCCCATGTCCGGTTTCTTGTTTTGACGAGGGCTCGCCTTGCTGTCGGGAGACCGAGAGTCTCGCAGGGGGCTGTAGTAAGAATTCTCCATTTGCTGCGACTGTCCAGGGATGCTGCAGCTACTGCTTACGGCCATCCTGATCCAGCCTGCGGAACTGTCGACACTGCCTGATGAGATATTCAAGTCGGAATAATCTGACACGGGCGGAGAAGGTGGATCGTTGTATGCAGGGAAGTGCGGTGTGTGCCCAGGCTGTAATGAGGATCTCCTACTCGCGAATAGGGCCCCATATTGTAAAGAACCTTGATTGGGATGCTGCCGAGCTGAAGCGTGGATAACACCTTCGCCGCGCTCAACGACACAGGCATATCCCGATGGAGATCGATCCTGCGTGGGTGGATTAAAGTGCAAGGTGTCCGATCGCTGTTCAGCAGTGGGTTTTACCACATATCCTGTCCTAGTTGGGATGTCAGGATTGACTGCTGTTGCGTAATTGAACGATGAATAAGGCCTGGAGTCTGGGCCAGTGCAACCATAAGACACGCCACATCCGATGCTCGCGACCTGACCGCCACGGCACACTTTAGCCATCGGTAGTTCAATATTACGAACAAAGGAAACTTGCCTGGTCGTGGATAGGTCCCTCCACTACCATTGAAGGGTTAGAATAAGCAGGGTAGCAGGCGAGGGCATCGTAGTTTTGGACGTAGCACCCCGAATTATTCGGAGCAACATTGGTATCGTAAGGCATGCCGGTCATTCCATGGCATGCGCTCTGTTGTACAGGAACAGAGGGATAAGCCATGTCGGAGACCCGGCCACGACTGTGATGGTAATGGGACTGGGACGTTGAAGCAGTTTCCGGGTAGATCTCGCACCTGCGTTGGGCAGAATACGCGTTAGAATATAGGCCCCATCAACAACAGAGGAACGTACTTTATGAGTACCGCCCTCTGCCACTCTCGCGTCGTCTGCTAGACAATAGGATGGAGGCACTAGCGAAAATGAAGAAGCTTCGGGAGAAAGTACCGAGAGCGCACCGAAGTGACAGTAGGTAATCGAGATAGGACTTCACTCAGATCCCTTTAAGCACTCCCAAAGAGATGCAATCTCTGAATCTCATGAGGCCGCGAATAGCTGCCGTCCAGTCAAATCGATGGAACCTTGTCATTCGTGACACCGACATGCCCACAGAATTGTTTCCCGAAGGATGGAACATCATGAGTTGATCAGCCTCCTTATAACCTACATTCGTATACCAATCCGATTACATCACAAAAACAGAGGTGCATCATTACTAGGATGCTACGAAGAGTCATCCGGTAGGGCCCAGAGAACACATCGGCCGCTTGCATTCCCACTAGCCGCGCGTTCAACGATGCTGGGATGTGAGCAAGTTACCGCTTGCACAGCCGAGATTCTGCGAGATTCGTGAAGAGCCCAGCTGAGCGAATCTGCCCCGAAGAAGTATCGTAAAAGGCGATGGGACTGACCTCTGACGATCCGAGAGTTTAGCAACGACGTCTCCCTACATCATGGCGGGCGTTAATCCTGAATTACATAAAGGTGGTCCGAGGACCTTTACCTTGCATGAGAAGATATCCAGAGAATGGTCCATATTCCCAATCTAAAATTTCTCGTTAGACGGGGCCAGTGAAGAGTAATGCAACCGTGCTTACCGTAAAATGTGGGTACACGTCAGGGTTCGGAGTCCACTGTGCCTTCAAAATTGTCAACCACTTGCCCTGGAAGAGCAGCGGGACGAGTGGGTAGACCAAAATTAGACGATTCCATCAAGGACATGGTCGAGAGCCGATGACGCACCGTCTGACAGTTGTGACGGATCTGGCTGAAGGGCCGGAACGAGGGAAGAGTGGTACCCTTATCAAAGGCAGCCGGTCTTATGTCCCATACTAGGTGAAAACAATAAGAACAAGCCCGGTGCGGCAGAAGACAACGAGCCGCCACTCACAGCGCAGAGTATCATCGTAGGAAGTGCTAACAATACTCCTTCCCCGCGGGTCCCAGTACGCAGAGCTCACCGACTTGCCGTGGACCCATTCGGCACGTAAGCAGCCCTTTCCCCGCTTCGACTTGAGGAACTGCTCGACCTCCTCGGCCCCGTGCTCCTCGGGGCCAGCCCTATCATCAGTAGTCGCGCCACGTATGCGCGAAGCTGGAACCGGGGACGAGGGCGGGGGCGTAAGCAACGCGCCCTCGGCCACCCCAGAGAATGTCTGCAGCTTGCGTGCATCCCACAATCTGTCAGATCACGAGATAGTGGGTCCCGCCATCACGCACGATCAGCCGGCGGAGATGTGTACGCACGCCCAACCCGACGACGCACCTGAGAGCTCTGCTGTTTGACGCCGTCAGCAGGTACTGCGGGTTGACCGGGTTTATGCTAACGCAGCCGATTTTCTGGTCGGACAAGCCGTACCACCTGGCTTTCGACGGGTGCTCTCGCAGGTCGAGATGGCTTATGCCGCCGAGAGCATCCGATATCCACATTTCGTGGCCAGCGGGAGGGAGGTCGATACTTGAGATTAGGACATCCTCTGTCGAATGGATTTCTCTCGAGACCCCGGTAGTGAGATCCAATTTTCGGATAGTGCAGTCGTAAGCACTGGTGAATACCTGAAAGCATCATGAGCATCAGATTAAGAAGAGGGTCGCTTCTCCCTGAATGTGCGGATCACGTCTCTGCCCGTGACACCGAAAATAGGCGTGAACAAGGAAAGCAACAGCTTACGTTGTTAGAGTCTATGGGGTCGAGTTTAACCGTGGATATCGAGGACTTGGACGTGACGGGCCAGTGAGCTTGCATGCGCCAATATTTGCCATCCTCTCCATTAGCGGTGGCCGAGACCTCCTCGTCCTCGCCCGCCACCTCATCCGGAGCGGCGCGAGCATCCCAGAGCCCCAACTGCCCGTGCTTATCTACGTCAACATGAGCCAGCATCTTCCTCCAGACTACTGGGCACGCCTACCTCCAAACAGAATAATATCCTTGCTCACTTCCGGGTGGTACACCGCACTATACACCCTATCCTGGGTCACCTTTGCGCGCGCCACGACCTTTAGCTTCTGCATCCTCTTCCTCAGCGCAGCCAGCCCTACCTCCTCCTTCTCGTCGTCGTCGAATACAAATGCATCCTGCTCGGCGGTCCGCTTTGCGTGCGAAGTCTTGCAGACCTCCGCGAGCGTGCTCTTCAGCGCGGCAACGTCCTCTGGCTGCTCGCCCTCCATCAACGTCTCCAGATCCAGGTCCTGATGGCGCGGCTTGCGCGCCTCCCGCGCCTTCTCCTCCGCCTCCAGGCGCTCCTCCTCCTCCTTCATCCTCCTCTCCTCCTCCAATTTCTACCTCCCCATTCAGCCTCCTGACCAACGCACAACGCATCGTACCCACTCACCTCCCGTATCTTCCTCTCCGCCGGCGTCTCATTCGGGTCCGCCGCGCCCGCCCGCCTCAGGCGCGTCGACTGCCTCCTAGGCGCGGGCGCCTCGTCCTTCTCCTCGCGCTTGCGCTTCTTCGCGGGCTGCACCGGCTTCGCTGCCGCGGCCGCTCTCTTCGCCTGCGCGCCTTTGGAGGGCAGCCCGAGCTGGGCGACCGCGCCCTTGAGGTCGAGCTCTTCGAGTATTGCCCGATTCTTTGCGATGTTCGCTTCGCGCTCGAGTTCGCTGGGGGGGAGGGTGACTCAGAGAAGTATTAGAAGCTGTGAGCAAGGAAGACTTACTATGCTGTCTTGGGCATTGTGAGGTGTATCCACTGTGTCGATAGTAAATGTCAGAAGTGAGATAGAGGTTGTAAAGGCCGTCGACGCTCCCGACGGTGATGACGCGACGCACGCGCTTCGCGGGGATAAATGTGGCCGTGTCGCGAGCCGTCACGGGAGCTAATAGCTGTGACGTCACGCGTGTAACCCAGTTTGGGTTATGTTTTGGACTGTCAAATGGACGCATATCTTCTCGTTTCCTCTGCAAGATGACAGAACGCAGTGAGAATTTCAGTTCGTGAGGTGTCCTTTTCCATCACGTCGGTTAAAGTCTGTGCTCAACAAGCCGAGTGCGCTGCAGAGGGCGCATAATCCGCTAAGCTCATTCCAAGAGCGTAGGGGTGACACATAGAATTAGCCTTCTATTATCACAGGAGAAGCTACGGACAGCAGAGGGAACAGCACCAGCATTAGACTGGCCCTCAGCTATTCAGCCCACCCGCCAACCATCCCCCAACAAGCAAACCAACAAGGACCAGCACACCCCGCTTCTCCTTAGAGTCGAGTTTCCTCTCGTAACTCTTGACATCCCCGCTTGTCTCCGTGGATTCAGGTGTGCCCAAAAACTGTTCTTGGGCGCTTTCGACGACCTTCCGCGCGCTCTGCGTAGGCAGCCCTAGGTCTTCGGCAACATCCCTGAAGAGGGACCCCAAGGCAGTGGTAGGCTGAGCCGGCTCGGGGGCGGGTGGTGGCGGGACTTCTTCAGAGTCGTGGACCTGGGCGGATGGACCACCACCGTGGTGCGTGGCCGAGCCTGCTACGACATGCAGCTTGGGCGGCGCGGGCTCGACGGGCTCAGCAACTGCCGCATGAGGGGTCTTTTCCAGGGAGGATTCCCAGAAGTCGGGCGTGGACGGCTGCAGGAGGATTAGAGAACGTAAGGCAAGGATCTGCAAGCAAGCTGACGTACAATCTGAACCGGGGGTTCCGGGTCAGGCCCTGACAGATCGGGTAGCTTGACAGCTATAAAGTCCTGAGGAAGAGGGGGAGGGGGGGGCTGAGCGGATTCGGGGAGGCCAGGGACGTTAGTGGAGGACGCCTTCCGGACCTGGCCGGCTGGGGCAGCGGGCGAGGGCGAAACGTGTTCGATAGAGCGCTGCTGCTCGTGCTCGAGTATGCGCGTGATCAGGGTAGCCTTGTTCCCTTTCCTGCGGGGCACGAGTGAGGACAATGGGATGATGGGCAGACAGGGACGTACTGGGACAGGCCGCGCTTCCTGAGCTCCTGCTTGAGGTCGGCGACGGACTCGGTCTGCCAGTCGCGGTTGAGGAGGACGGTGGAGACGAGGTTCCTGCGGCGGTGGGCGACGGCGGGCCTGGCGATGGACGACGAGGCGAAGCGCAACATGGCTGCAGACTGCAGAGTCCGAGCGCGAGTCCGCTTCGAAATATTCCGGGAGCCACGTGGACATGACGTCGGACTCTGACTGCCTTTTCGGGACTGCTATACCTCTCTGCACCCTCTCCGAGTCCTCGTATTTACACTGCAGCTGCTGCACCGGGCTGTACAGCATCAAGCCACGCGCTGGGCTGTGGCAGCGGGCTCGCACAAAAGGGCGGACAGCATCGATCTCCAAAGCCGCTACTATTAGCATCACCCTTGGCCCCGATCCTGCCTCGTGTTTCCCTCGCGTGCCGTCTATAGCAGCCCTTTCCAGGAAAATGACTCTTGTCTCTTAACCCTCGCCAGATCCATCCAAAAAGTCCCTAGTGGCTCCGTACTTATACATACCCGCACTTTCACAGCTTCACTATCCACACCTCTGCCCGCACACCTCGAACTCTAGTCCGCCATGCTTCTCTCACCTGCGTGAGTAGAGCCTCCGAGCGTTGCTTTAGGCTCCAGTCCGCTGCTGCTCACCACCGTGCCACTCTTTCCCCGCCCACAGGTCCACCAGTGCCAGCTTGCCCTCCTCGCTCTGGGGCAAGATCAAAGGCGGCGGCGGCGGTCCCAAGAGCAACAAGGACGTAGATCTCAGAGAGAGACAGCAGCACATGGCTCTCGCCCGCCAGCGATTGCTGACCCTGTCGTTCGGGGACATGGAGACCGTTCGGATGGCGAGTGCTGCTCGATCGTAGATAGCACGGTGCGCTGATGTAAGGAACCCGCAGCTTCCAAGCAGCTTTGGTGATCTGGAAGCCCTGGCAAGAGATTGGGCTAAACCCCCACCAGATGCCATCTTCAGCCTACGAGTCCCCGTCGAATATGCATCATTACACGCTGCCGTACGTTCCCTCCCCTTGAGCTACTGCGCGCGATCCTCGAATCTCACATCTTATCTCCAGCGATTGGTATCAGGGCCATACATCTATGTACGATCCTCCCTTCTGGTATTCATATCTAGTTCTCATGCATGATATGATAGCTGACGGGCGAAGATTCGTACCAAATCGCGATTATGGGTGTGCAAGGTCTCCGAGTGGAGATCGTCAGCGATGCACCACCGCCACCAGAAGAAGAGCCTCGGTACGTCGACGCATAACTCGCTTCAATGCCAAAACCTAACCTCTATCTACACCAGACCACCGACACCACCGTAAGCACATAGCACTCTCCACAAATTATTTCATGCCATTTACAATTCCTTCTCCAGACCCCCACCAGTGCTCGAAATGCCCGCCGTCTTCAGCCTCGAGCTCCAACCCGGCCAAACCGTCGCGCTCGAAACGACCGTCGCCTCGGACGGCGACCTCGACATGGCGCGCATGGAGGACGGCACGATGGTCGAGGGCGCCTTCTGGGGCAAGCTCAACATCGTGCACCAGGGCGACACCCACAAGATGGAGTTCTCCGGCACGCGCCTGCCCCCGCAGGAGGAGGTCGCGCCCACGGCCGCGATCACCAACGGGCAGAGCATCACCGATCTGGTGGTGAACACCAAGGCGCTGACGAGGCTCGCGGTAGTCGCGAAGCCCGCGACGGCCAAGTGCCATTTGAGCTTGCTCCCGCCGGCGCAGCAGTACTGCGATGTGTACCTCACGTTCTCGCAGTTCTGGAAGATGGGGCTGACGTGGCCGCCGGCGGAGACGGTGGAGGATAATAAGATCAAGTACTTTTTGAGAGTCCACCCCGGAGGTGCGATGGAACACTTCGAGAGTATGATGGTCGCGACAAGCATATATTATGAGGCAATGTGAGTGCACACCGTTTATCGTCCTTCGAAGATGCTAACGCGTGGGTAGACCCGACGCGGATCTACTGGACCCGATGGAGCTGCTCGCGCCGCGGAACAGTTACGCAATGCCCTTCCGCGACTTTGTCGGGCACCTCCAAGACGTCCTTGACAAGCTTGGTCTGACGATGCACACCCGGAGCAACTTCATCAAGTGCGAACGTCCATTCTCTCTCTTTCCTACTCTGAAACTAACATTCCCCCTCCAGCAACAACCTCGCCCTCTTCGCGAACCACCGCAACATCGCATACCGCCTGCTCTCCCCCTCGCGCATCGCCGCCGCCATCGACATCTCCGTCACGGCCGAGTCGTGCCTCTTCAACCGCCTCTTCCTCATGTTCCGCGGCATCTCCGACGACGACCTGATCAACTGGTCCGGCGCGGGCGAGAAGGAGGCTAACAACGTCAACTGGAGAGATATCATCGGGTTCCCCGAGACGACCGAGCCGGGCGTGTTCCGCGTGCTCGAGACCAGCGTGCTTGAGCTGACATAGGTCATGCCCAGCGCAGTTTAGTTGGGGTTTGCGGTCCCGGTCCTGCTTTTGTTTCGCTTCCGTCTCGGTTTTCTTATTCATATCTACATTACGGTCGCTCTGCTATGCTGTGCATTTATCGCGTTTGGTCGTTCAGTTTTTCTCTTTCCTCGAGTGTTTAATGTCGTCAATTTCTCGTACACTTCTCGTTATCATGCTAGGGTATAGATACGCTACGCTAGTGCTCTCGTCGTTCAAAGTAGTTTGTACCTCTCCCCACTGTATCCATTGGCTCCTTCCTGTCTTTCTAGATCTGTACCGGTAGCGTATATTCTGCGTATGCTCTACGTACTCTCTGCTTGATCCAAGAAATGGAATCGCTTGTGCACCTCGAGCTCCGGGTCGGGATATATATATCGCTGGAGGCCTCTGACGCTCTGTCAGAGGGCGGAATAGTACATTTTGTTTTGGGCGCGCCGACTAGAGGCTCATCTTTCCCCTAGTCTCGATGGGCAGTAGGCACATGGCCACGAACGCAGCCAGAATGAGCGAGCCCGACGCGTACACCGGACCGTTCGGGTTCGCCTTGCCCGCGTTGATAGCGACGAGGGGCGCGCAGAGACCGGTGATGCGGTTGAGGAACGACGCGATGCCCGTGCCGGTGCCGCGGTTGGGCGCGGGGAAGACCTCCGGGGTGTACGCGTAGAGCACGCCGTACATGATGTTCTGGAAGAAGGACTCGACGCACGAGAACGCGAGCTGGTACTTTGCGTCGGCGGAGATGGTGAAGAGGAAGAGGAAGATCGCGCTGATGAGCGTCGAGAGCGCCATGGTGCCCTTGCGCCCGACGTACGGGATGTCGACGGTGTACGCGCCGATGACGGAGCCGGGCACGCCGACGACGGACTCGATGGCGTAGTTGCGGTAGACCTCGTATGTTGTCTGCGTCTGGCCGGTCTTGCCGACGCGTGCGAAGTACTGGGGGAGGAAGGAGTTGAAGAGAGGGTACCCCATACCGATCGTCGCCCAGCAGACCCAGATCAAAGCAGCTGAGAGGGCATCAGCGGGTTGATCGGGACTATTCAAGTTTAAACACTCACTTGTCACGCCAACGCGCCAGTTGGAGAAGAGAGGGGAAATCCTGTCTTTCGAAAATCGAGCAAAAAACCTTCGAAAAATTTCAGTGTTCGAGAGTCGAGTCTCCTGTTGTGCGTTATCCGGGGTACCGCAAATTTCATTGAGGATCTCCTCAGTTAGCCAAGTCTTTGTCTTATTCTTGTACGCGAGCCCGTGAATTACGGCCACTGCCTCAGCCTGTCTTCCTCGGGCCAAAAGGAATTTGGGCGACTCGAACAGGTGGAAGAAGAAGAACCGGCAAATGAACATAGCAAGCGTCAGTGCTCCCATAGTGTATACGAAATATCGCCAGCCCTCATTAGTTGGGTAATTAGGAATGAATCCCCAGGCAACTAACGCGTGAATCAGGGTTAGGGTCGGCTCATCAATGACGACATAACAGACACTTCTCACCTAATGAAGCTACCAATTGGCCAACTGGCCACCATACGGAAAGAAGCATTAGGAGGTTCGCGGAGGCGAAGGGCAAGAATTCAAGGAATAATGCTCCGTCCACGGGTAAGTTCCCTCCTACGCCAAAGCCCATCGCCGAGAAGAGGCCGCATGCTGCGATCCAGTCAGGCGCCGCGCCGGCAGCCACACCGAAGACGCCTGCGATAAATAGCGTGAAGTTGAAGGCCAGGCGCCGTCCGACAATGTCCGATGCAATGCCCCAGAAACTAGCCCCAATGCATAGACCGACGAATAACGCGCAAGTCGTATATCGGACTGTGTTGCTGTTGATCCCGAAATCCGCGCTCAACTGCGGCAAGCACAATGCAACACCCTGGAACGTCCCCGAGGTCAATTCGACCGGCTCCCACATTATTTGGGAGGATAGTCAGCGCGCACCTGGAGCCAAAGGCTACCGAATAACGATTAGAACATTCTGTGCGTGCAAAAGGTGAGTAGGCGCTACGGTGCCAGACTTACTTGTCTGCTGCCCATCCGAAGCCGCAGAGGCAGAATAATTCGTACTGATAGCGTCCCATGCCGATGTCTTGTATAGCCTTGTTAATAAGCTTGGATTTGCCTGCGAACACATCAGAACCGATATCATACAGGGCCCGGATCGACGGTTCAGGGATTTCTGGTGTACAGGACCAAAGGAAGCAGCACGTACGATCGTAGGAGGTGTCGTACCCAGTAGTCGAAATGTCATTATCGATTTCAGCTCTTAGTCCCTCAATAGAGTACGGGACATAGTCCCCGATGCTTTCCATCCCGGCTTCTGTGGCCTTTGAGTCTTTGATATCCGACTCTGGCCTCTCACCCGAGGCATGATAAGCCTGAGCTTCCTCCAGAGTCATTAGGACGCCAGGGAAGTGCGACACATCATGCTTTGCGAAAGGGTTGAGATAGTAAGGCATGCCTGAGCGTGATCTTCGACCTGTCGTTCGAGCTGAGAGGACGGAGAAGGGGGGGGGGGTCAGAAGGAGCACGAGGGGGATAGCAACTACCCTCCGAGCATAAGCGCTATAAGTGATATACATTTCCGCGACATAGGAATTTGGAATGCACTCCACCCACACACGTGTGTCCGTAACGAGAGCCAACAAGCAGACAAAGCGGTATTTTTTGTGACCGATCTCTTATCTGGACATTTTCTCGGCAGATATCAAATATAGGACGGTAAAACGAGAGACGATCCTCACGGGACTGGCAGGTCAATGGGGCCGATCCGAGTTGTGCAGCCGGTTGTAGTGCCCCAATTCTGGTGCACAGCACGAAAGGGGGCACCCATAACCTTCAATAGGAGTCCTACCAGTACGGCGACACGTTTTGCGGCATATCGGTGCACGGCGTTCAATAGAGATAGCGAGAGCTGAATGAAAGAACGCAACCTTACCTGACATCAAAGACGTCCACACTATGCCCCCCATCTGGCATCAGCTGGAGGTGAGTGCTTCCGGATCATGGCTTCTGATTAGATGATCTCGCATTCGCAACGTCCGTCATGTTCTGCACCGGTCATGCCGGAGCGTTGAGCCTTCGGTCATGGACGAAGTAAACGCCCGCCGAAAAGAATTGCGCGTCTGCGAACGCCGGTCAGCGTGACTACAAAATAGCAGGAAAATATTATCCGCCCTCGTTAGGAGCACTTGGAAGGACGGAACGTACATAGCTTGCAGGCATGCCGGTCAATCGCCAAGCCTGCACGTCATACCTGCACGGAGATACACACCGTACTGCGACGGATCTGTGGCGACCACCTCGGAAGTTTGAAGCATGATCGTAGATTTTCAGGGGTCGTCTGCAGCTGAGGATGCCACTGACGCGCGACGCGTGATTCCCGAATGAGCCAACTGGCCACAGGGATCAGACAGAGTTAGTCCAGGCTGAGTTAGGAATCGACTACCCGCCCTTCAGCATCATTATTGGTAGGAATACAAAGTGCAAAGCAGCAACGGCAATAGACGTGAACATATAAAGTAATAAACCCAAGGTCCCAGTTCCTGGTGGGAACAAACAGGAGAATAAACAGCGCAGCAACACTATCATGTCCGTGTTCGAGGGCTCTGTCTACTGTTATGTAGGTCCTTCACGTCAAAGAACAGGCTCAGGCAGAATGCCAGCGCGAGTAGGAAGGCACAAGCCGTCGCGACGTTGTACGAGTCGCACCTGAAAGCAATACACCTCAACGTCGTGATATCAGTCTGGATCACGGATACACTCACCACCCATCGAATCCCCCGCTAGGGCACCTCTTTCCCCACATCACGAACCCAAACTCCGCTCCCCAAGCTACCAGCATCCCAACATCGAAGAACATCACCTTCCGTGCCCACTTCCGCGCCGCCTTCCACCGCTCCTCCAGCGCGAGCCCCTCGAACACACCCCGCCGCCTCGGTTTCCGAGCCGCCCTGTTCCCTTGCGATCCGTACACCGATCCCTCCCCGTCGTCATCTGAGCGGGGTTCCGTGTCTTCGGCGTCGCGCCCCATCCCTCCGGGCATGAACATGCTCGGGTCGACGATGAGGTTGACCTGGACGTCGCCCATCCCTGGTGGCTGGCCTTTCTTGCCGCCCTTCTTCTTCCCGTTGCCTCCCTTGTTTTTCTTCCCCCCAGGTAGCTGCTGCACGGGCAGCACCATGGCGCCCATCGGGCCATATGGTTGGCCAGATGATTTACCTTTCCGCCGCCCGGCACAACAGCAAGGATAGAATACGAATAGGAACAGGAGGGCGAGAAGTGTGAGACAGGACAGGACGTAGAGCAAGTAGGCAGGGGCTTTGCCTTGCGGCGGGGCGGGTGTCTTCGGTTTGATAATCTACAGGACAGCGAAAGGATCATTAGCGCGGTGCACAGATCTAGCGTGGGACGAGCAAAGAACAGGGCAAAGAGAAATACGCACAACAGCACCATATATAGACGCGATGCCCGCTCCGAACGCAAACAGGATCTGTATCCACCGAGTTGCGATCCTCTTCTTAGGACCTTGCGTGATCAGGTTGCCCTTCTCGTCCACGCTTCCAACGACTCGCTCCTCCGCCTCATCATCACCATACCCTCCCTTGCCCGTACCCTTGCCACCAAACTCACGTTCCAGCATGCGCATGCGCTCTTCCTTCATCTCATCATCCACGGGAGGACCATAGTCAGGAGGATCGTTCGACCAGGGAAGTAAGGTGCGTGATGAGTCGGAGAAGGGATTGGAATGCCCGGCAACAGAAGATTTGGGATCGGAATAACCGTATGGGGAGGAGTGATACTTGTGGGTAGGGAATGAGGGATCGAATGGGGAGAGGGACGTGTCGTGTTGGGTAGAGGAGAGTGAGGGGTATACCTGAGGAAAGGAAGACTCTGAATTGATCGTCCCAATATTGCGAGGTTTGGAGTTCGACTTGGATTTGGTGCTGTCACCATACCAATTCCGAGACCAGGCAGGGAAGTTGGAGATGTCGATCTCATCTGGCGGTAAAGGAGGCGGAGAGGCAAAGGGGTCGCGATGCTCATATATTCCGGGCATTCGCTGTGAATAGTCAGGCTCAAAGGATAGGTGCGCTCGGGATGGCGGGGGGAGGGAAAAGGGTCTCCTGAGGGGTGATCGAGAGTGGGAGTGGCTCGAGTATGAATATGATTGAGTAGACGTGCTCCCGGTAGGAGCAGAAACCAAGGAAGGTGGGGATAAAGAGTCTCGGCTGGCGAGCGGTCGAAGGGGTGGTGGGGAGGGAGGGTATTCTTCGTGAGGTCGAAAAGGTGGGTAACCATACTCATACGGGCTTGACGGAGTCACGTCCGCGACGTACTGACGCTGCTGTCGGAGCGCTGCTGCATAATCCGCAAGATCGAGCGCTTCGACAGAGACGTCCGAGGGCTCTCTACGTTGCTGATGACGTTCATACTGGGTGGTAAGGGTATTGTAAGATTCATTGTCTAGTCTCCGCTGCGGCTGGTGATTCCTAGTAAGCGACGGTAAAGGATCATAGGGATCTGGAGACCAAGGCCGACGGAATTGAGACGAGGGCGGCGGCGTGTCGAGTCGGTGGGTGGGATACATAGTTCATTAACGTTCGTAAATCGGTCGTCAATAGTCGTTAGCAGAATAGATACTCGTAAGTTAGCGTGAATGCGGCGTAAGTCTGAGAATAAACCAAGTGGTTCCGCCAGAGTTTAATATCGCCAGCACGTCGCGGAAGACAGCAGCGAGGGGCGAGCGCGACGACGGAGAACAAGCCGTTGGGGATGGCAGCGTGTGTCCCGACTCCCGAGCTTGGCCTGGGGCGTGGGAAAGCTGCTTATCGGCAGCAATAGCCTTATTGGGCACACGTGCGTCGGGTACTTCGTCCCCGCAATCTCTTGTTCCTGGGCTGCTAGCTATTGGTATCTCTCTAAACTCTGCTGCCGCCTTCAGTATCTGCGGTTGGCGGTCTTCAACGCTGGTATGAACGCGCTGCGACGAACATGAGGCTAGGATCCGTTTCATTGATCTTGGCTGCCCTCACATCTATCTCGGCTCAGGCTGCCTCTCAGGTTATATTCGGTTTACATCGCGAATACGGGGTAGCGGTGGATGGAGAAGTGGATGAACTCCAACTGAGAGTTTACTCGCCAGACTTGCATGTACGGCCGACCTATACCATCAGTGCTCATCCGACCAGTGTCTACCGGCCGCGCTCACAAGCAGCGTTTGAGAGTGCCCGTCTTCGGTCCTTAAGAGATGCTCAAGACGAGAAGGTGCTGTGGGACGAGAGGAAGGTGCTTGGACCAGATATAACGGACCGGCACACCCTTGCGCAGCTCGCTCGGATGACAGGGAATGCTTATTCCATGCCCGGGTGGAAGAACTGGTATGACATCGACCCCGAATGGAATAACGTACGTGTTCTGTCTTACTCATTGCTGCAGCCGGGGCTAATGTCACAGTCATTCCCAATTGGCTGGGATCCCGATTCACCGGGGTTTCGCGGGCACGTCTTCCTCTCGTCGGACGAGTCTATCGCTATCCTCTCCATCAAGGGGACAACTATCAACGGTCCTACGTCCAAGCTCGATAAATTCAATGACAACCTTCTGTTCTCTTGCTGTTGTGCCAGAGTGGACATCAGCTGGGTCTTCAGTACAGTCTGCGGATGCTACAGGTGTGGCTGGAGGTGTGACGAAAGCTGCCTCAGCGAAGCGGTCGCACAAGACAGTCTCTTCTATTCCGTTGGCATCGTAAGACCTGTTTAAGTTCCCATCCGGGTTGATCTTGACTCAGCGAACCCGCCAGAATCTTATCAACAACCTTACTTCGATGTACCCTGACTCCGACATCTGGCTGGTTGGTCATTCTCTCGGCGGAGCCCTCGCCTCCCTCCTTGGTATCACCTTCGGGTTCCCTGCAGTAGCCTTTGAATCCCCCGGCGAGCGTCTCGCCGCGAACCGCCTGCACCTCCCGCTCCCAACCGCTGATTCTGTCGTTCCCTGGCACGCTCCAGTAACCCACGTCTACCACACCGCCGATCCTATCCCGCAAGGCGCATGCACAGGGCCATTGTCTCCCTGCGCGCAGGCGGGGTACGCGCTGGAGACCAGGTGTCATCTAGGCGGTAGCGTCGTATTCGACAGTGTGAATAAATTGGGTTGGGGGGTGGATATTAGATCGCATCCCATTCGGGAGGTCGTACGTATGCTAGAAATAGAGGGAGTAGATTGGGCGGAGAATGGCGAGGTCCCAGCCAGAGAGAAGGAAGAAGGATGTATTGTAAGTCGTCTCTACTCAGTCATGTTAGTGCTTATGGAACGGTGCTGCTGTCCCGTGTACAGGACTGCTACAAGTGGGAATTCGGCGATTTTGACCGGCTGGGCGATACTTCTCTCCCTGGATCAAGATGCAAATAATTTCATCTCATTGGGCATCCATTTGGCATTGTATCATTATCAGTGTATGTACAAGTATCCGTTTTCTTGGTCTGATCTGCATGTAGAATCATAGCAAGTGCTTGGTGCAAATGACATTTAAATTTCAGCTGACAATACAGTGCTAATGTCTCCCGACTTTGCTCTTATACGTCGCGGCTCTCAGCCCCATTAGCAGACTCAGGCTGACGAGTAGCGAGGACTATCACATAGCTGCCCCTCCGGACAGCGTGAGGGTTTGACCTTCATATCGCCGTCAGCGCCTCCTCTATTATGTGCCACAGAGCGGTACGTACCGTTCACCCACCCTCCGTCGTCACTCGCCAGGAACGCGACGACTTTCGCTATATCTGCCGGAACAGCGACCCGGTTCAAGGGAGTCAGCTTGGCTAGAGCAGCGTCGACCTGCTCCTCTGACCAGTTCTCCGCGCCGGGAATGTACTTCGGTGCGGACTCGCGGTACATATCGGACTTGACCCCGCCTGGGGCGAGGGCGTTCACTGTGATGCGCTTCGGGCCGAAGTCTTGGAATATTCCGACTATGCTCAGGAACAAGTGACGAAGTACGAGCGTACCAAGGGCGTACCGAGTGCAAGGCAGCGCGCGAATGCCTCTACAGCGGCTTTACTGCCTGCGTACAGAGCGTGGTTGCGTACGCCCTTTGCTTGGGCTGAAATGCTCGACATTAGAATCAGTCTCCCGCCCTCTGTGACATGCTTCCACGCCTGTTGGGCGACGAAGAATTGACCGCGGGTGTTGATGTTAAACACGCGGTCGAAGTCTGCCGGAGTCACGTCCTCGACTTTGTAGAAAGCCTCGATACCTGAGACGACGTCGTGAGTGTCTTGCATGACATATGTACTCCGAGGTATAGAATACTTGCCAGAGTTGGACATCACGATGTCTATCTTCCCCATGGCTTCGACTGCTTTGTCGAACAGATTCTCGATATCTCGAGGGCTGGAGACGTCCGCCTGCACTGCTACAGCCTTCACGCCGAAGGACTCTGCTTGCCTGACCACATCCTGGGCGGGTCCGGCGCTCTTGGCGTAGTTGATCACGACCGATGCACCTCTCGATGCTAACTCGAGCGCAATCTCCCTGCCCAAGCCCCGGCTGCTGCCAGTGACGAGGGCGACTTTGCCTTGCAGATTCTTGGGTTTAGCTTGGGCTGGACCGGAAGACATGATTGCACTGTAGCGCGTGACACTGAATGGATTTCCGTCAGATCGATCCGTATTTACGGAGAAATGGAAATTCTCAGAGTTCGCGACTGACACTACCTTGCTGAGTTTTCGCCGGCAGCATCGGTAATATATGGTCATGCGGTCGACATGAGAACCCTTTATATTAAAAGCATTACTACTCACAGCAGAGAGTAAAGATACAGTTACAAATGCATTTCTGACATACCGCGGCCATACAACGCTAGATTTGACTTCTCGATCGAGGAACCTTTTTCAACCACAATTGGCAAGAGCGACATCAGACGCCGCAATTCTCAGAAATAGTCTTCGTCAGAGTCGTCTTCGGAGTCGTCCTGCGGATTCAAAATGCCGCGTAGTTCGGCCAGCTTAGCTTTGAGCCCTCCCAAGTCGTTATGCCGCAAGCTACCGTCATCTAGCAGCAACCCTGCAGCTCTATTTCAAGCCCCCAAATCTGTGTTGGCACGTACCCCAGTCCAAGGACAACCTTAACCCGCTGTCAAGGTATTCAGATAGTTTCGTGCGCAACTGCTCCTCTCTCTGAGCCTTTTGCTGACTATTGAGGCATAACTCCGTGGTGACGTGAACCACGAGCTCTTGCATATTTTGAAAGGTCTTCTGTGCAACCGCCACCGCGTGCTGCCACTGGAAATTTTCAAACAGAGCAGCGAGGGACTCCTCGTTCCAAGTCACATAAAAGGAATACTGCAGGACAGAAACCTGTTCCATCTTGGGCATCGCCTCGATGAGGCCTGCGACCCATCGAAATGACGGAAACGTCCCATCTTCCCGCTTCGATTCGCTTATGTATTCGAAGCCCAATTTTCGCAACTTGGGCAATAACGGTATACTCAACAGTGGTGGGTATCCGGTGTCTGGGAAGTCAGGAACTGCACAGCCGTTAGCAGCAATCACAAGCACTATCTATGCACTCACAATCTATGGACTCCATAACACCCGGCGGAGCAAGAGTTAACTCTTCCAAGCAGTGGGTTAGTGTCTCCAGAAGCACCTGTAACCAGCCTCTGGTAACGCTGTCGCATTCCACGTTCAAAATATGGACGTTCGGGGTGACGGACTGCGGCAGCATCCAATCCACCACCCAGTCATACCACATGCCCTGGTAAAAGCCCAGGGACAATTGCTCTAGTCGACTTGAATCGAAGACGTCGACTTGAGAAGGCTCGTGGGTGGTTCTGCTATATAACTCTGACAAGCGTACGACCTTGAGGTTGTGGAACGTAGACAAGAACTTGGCCAGGACCCTGGCCGATGCGAATCGGCCGCATACGGTTATGTTCTCGACATATGGCAAGCATTCGATGAACTTGCGCAGATCTTGGGTGACACGAGTAAGACTCACGCTCCAGAATATCTCGGTGACCATGGGCATGAGTGGCAGCTTCGGGAAGAATCCGCTCTTGATATCTTCCTGTGGAATCACATCCAAAACTTTGAGATACTCCGAAGCCACGGCGGGACAAGACTTTGTGAGATTCTTCAGCCGCCCTAGGTCGTCCTTGTACCTGATCGTAAACTTGCTGAACAAATGCGGGCGTGCCAGGGCGAGCCAACGCTTCGATAGACGGCAGCAGGTCTGTAAGGACGGCCTGTCTTCCCGAAGATAGCCCACAATGATGTCGATGATTTCAACCGGGAGGTGGTCAGCCCCCGTCCCTGCACGTGGGCATCAGTATGCACGCATCCCAGGTGCTGAGGAGCGCTCACTTTGCCTCCTCGTCTTCACCATTCTCAACGAATACGTATGGAGCTCAGGGATCTCAGTTTCAAAGGGTTTGGGGGTTTGCAAGCTTGAACAGACCCGACGTGGTTCGAAGGCTGTAAGGTCTGTCGAGACACGAACGCTGACGGAAAGACGCGATGGCGAACAGGACTCGGAGGTGCGCTTCTGTGTCGCGTGACGTCACGCGTTCCAAGACGAACACAGATGAATCGGATGATGCACCTCGTGCACCAAGCAGGAATCAAGCAATGGCGATTTGAGGTAGTTTGAGGTACTCTAATTGTATGTTCTTCCTAGCGTCCATGCTCATATGTATCCAGAGATGCTTTCCATGGACTACTGAACTGGTCGCCGTTGCCATCAAAACAAGTCGGAACAATGCCATTCCCTCTCCAGAGTCATCTCAGGCGGGACTATCGGAATATATCCCTGGGGCATTCTGATATCATCTGGAAGCAAGTAGTCAAGACCCGTTCGGAGCGCGATTGATGCAGGATACGCACACCACTCAAACAACAGACGTAGTCCATCGTCACAAAATTCAGCGAGGGTAGTTCGCAGGAGCTCTTCCATTTTGTCACTGTCTTCAGTGTGGACGTAGAACCCCGTCCGGACCCGGACGACCAGTGTCTGCATTCTAGGGAAAGCATTCTTCGCGATATTCACCGCCCTATTCCAGTCGAAGGTGTAGGAGAGTTCATCCAAGGCTTCTTCGTTCCAATCAGTATAAAATGAGTACTGGACCGTGGATACTCGGTCCATCTTGCCAGCCTGTGTATTCTCGATAAGGCCAGCAACCCAGTCGAATGTTGGGAAACCATCCTTATAGTCGTTATCCGTCTTGTTGATATATTCGAACGTCATCTTGCGCAAGCTTTGTAACCGCGGGATATCCGGCCTCCAGGGAAAGTCGTAGAGCGACGACATTACTGGCGGGGCTTGTCCAAAGCATGATGAAAGGGCATTGAGGCGAAAAGAAAAAAGAAAACCACTTACTATCAGCTACGTCGTTGGCATCAGTCAAACCAAGCGTGAGTTCCTCCAACGAGGGAGATAACCACTTGAGAAACTCAGTCTTGTACGCATCTTTCAGACCGTCACATTCCAAGTTCAGGATGCGTATATTAGGCGTGGACGTGCGTGTTAGCATCCAAGTCACGAGCCAATCATAAACCATACTCTTCTTCTTCCCTACTACCAGTTTTTCCAAACGGGAGAAGTCGAAGGCAACATCTGCCGGTAGCCTGAATCGCCTTTCAGAATTCAGTCTTTCCAACCGTATGACCTTGAGGCTGTGGAACAACGACAGAAAACGGCGAAGAGTGTCATTGCAGTAGAATGTACCGCACACGGTGATATCTTCAACAGAGGGAAAGCACCGAACAAACGTGCGTAGATCATCCGTAACATTCCTGAGCCGGAGACGCCAAAACATTTCTTTGACCATGGGCATTGGCGGCATATCCGGGAAGTAACCGCTCTCGATCTGTCCACGCGGCATCACATCCAGAACTTGCAGGTACTCAGACGCGACAGCCGGGAACGACTTCGTGAGCTCCAGGATTCGTTCGAAATCGCCCTCACACCTTATGCGTGCCCGACGGAAAAGCCTCGGTCTCGCGAGGGAGAGCCATTGACGAGACAGACGGCAGCAGGTCTTCAGAGACTCTGTGTCGTGGCATAGTAAGGCGACTATCATGTCAATTAACTCCGCGGGGAGGTGGTCGGCTCCCGTTCCTACACGAGGTCGTAAGTGGGTACGCCTACGGCTGCCGCTGGAAACAGGTACAAACTTTGTCGTCTTGCTCTGGATATTTCTGCCATATGTGCGTGTTGATGTATGAAAACAGAACGGATGCTGGAACCTCGTCAAGCCTCGCCAACATTCGGCGGTGAGCTTCGCTTGGGCTCACTGAGCAGCAGGCAGCAATGTTGTCGATGAGGATCCAACACAAACGAAAGTCACGAACTATACAATGGAGCCAGCACACAACTACTTGAATCGCCGTCTCGCGTGGTCTGAATCCGTGTTGACATAACGCTTCATCTCCGAGCGCGTAAACTGAACTTCGGACTGGAGATTATTCTGTTGCTCCTGATTTAATCACAAGAGACATCAGATCGATGCGTCGAATTTTTTCGAAGCAACTCGGTAGGATTTTGGCAGATGATCATGATGAGCTTGGAACTGTGGCATTGTGGCCGATGAAGTGCTTTGAGCTAAATTTAGACGAGCAGCCGCACGTGGAAAGGCGGTAAGCGAGTCCTTCGCACGTCGTTGCACGCAACCTCGAAGGCTGAAGCAGGCCGGGGACCGTTGTGTACGTCGTCGCTGACCCCGTCAATCTATCTTGCCTGCCACGGAGAGCCTGCGACCGAGGGAAGAACGGACAAACCGGGTGAAGCACCAGGTACGCCGCTGTCACTATATTGGTACGCATCCGCTATGGCTATACTGAACTAAAGTTATACCCTTGTTTCTGTCAGTTGCATACCTTTTTGCGTATCCGGGTCTTGTTCTCGGCGGGTCGCATCAGATTTCGGACGCCATTTCCTTGTAAATTGTTCACAAGTCGAGTATGGCTGCCCCACGCTCGTTATCGCCCTCGATTCCCTCGTTTGCTCGATCACCTTCTCCCAGAGATACCTCGGCCCCCAGTCCGACCGCGCACTCTCCCGCTACGCTCAGTTCTCCCACAAGTCGACTTCCTTACGGTGCCAACCGCCCAAGAAGTGGATCCGCTCACCTTCCCGCACACGCCAGGACCGACTCTGTCGTCTCGTCCACCTCTCAGCCTCGCTCGCGACACTCCATGACCTATGCTGGCCAGATTCCTGTCATTAACACACAAAATGCATCCAAGCCTCAGGCTTCGAACGTGACACCTAGTAGTAGCTCTACACATGCCACTGGGATTCTCCCCCCTGCGTCGTTCTTCCGACCCTCCCGCCCTAACTACTACCAGCCACCACCACCCTTTCCCCGCCCCTCGTCTGCATTGTCGAATGATTCCTCTCACGAGATGCCCGACCATTTCCCGTTGGCAACTCTGGAAGAACGACATGATAATAAATCCCAGGCTTCCCTCGGCAGCGCCGCTGCAAACCCGTCCTATACTGCAGAGGAAACGCAACGGGAGTTTGAATCGCTAAGGCGATCAAAATCAAGCCGCGAACCTCTGCTGCCTATAGGCGGCTCTGCTAAGAGGTCGGCGAACCTCACCCTGCCCGGAATGTCGAACGGCCGAGGGCAGGGATCCTCGAGAGGTGCATCTGAACGCAGTCAGGGTGGTCCGTCAAGCACCACGAGCCGCGGAAGAGTCAGAGATAGCATGGACAGGATGGAGAAGTTACTGAGGCAAGGGCTGAGTTTCGACCACATCCGGAGGTCTCCTTCAATAAGCAGCCCCCTCTCCCCCGGCTCCGACGGAGGACTGCAATTTGGGGGCATGGAAATTGACGACGAGGACCGCGTAACATCGTCACCACATTCCCGGTATCACCGAAAGTCGGTATCTCCGGCGACGCGGTCTACGCCTCGCCCGCACTCCATGTACGAGTTCAACCCCCACCCGCCGCCCGACACCAACCCCCCTCTCTCCGCTGTTCCTATGATCGATGAAAACACAGGCAAGCCCGTGCGGAATTATCAGTTGCACCCATCGCGGAACAGGTTCTTCTTTAGTGGGAGGTTTTTGACAGGTGGCGATAGTCCCTGGGCGTTTGTGGGCAGTTCGTGCGTTGTGCTTAGTATCACGGGAGTGTGGTTTGGCACGACGTGTGTATGGTGGTGGAGACATAAGAGTCCGGCGGTTGCGATCGTAGGCGCCTACATGTGTTTGCTGACAATATCGTGTATGCTGGCAACTGTGAGTGTCTTGTACGTTCCATTCGGTCCTGCCAGTCGTCTCTCCCCCGTTGCGGTCAGACAAGAGTTGTCGGGATGCAGTGCAGTTGTGGAGAGACGAGAACCAGCGACCAAACCTACACATCGGTAAACTGATCATCGATTCTCAACGCAGGCTTTCCGCGATCCAGGCATTTTGCCACGAAATCTCGATCCTGATCCACCATATCCCGCGACACCTCCTCCAGACGGCGGAGTAAAAGCGCCTCTACCCCGAGACCTCCGGGTAAGGACCGCTTAGTAAGTTATGTTCGAACATAATCCGCTAGGTCGCTCAACTCTGTATACAGTGTTCGGGTCAAGTATTGCCCGACGTGTAAGATATACCGACCACCCCGGTCGAGTCATTGTAAAATGGTAATCAATCCATGTGTGTTTTGTTCAGCTGGAGGCTGATCTCGTTCCCAGTGTGATAATTGCGTCGACGGGTGCGACCACCACTGCCAGTGGGTCAACAACTGCGTCGGCCGCAGAAACTACACATTCTTTTTCGTCTTCCTGATGTCTGCTGTGAGTGGAACAGACCAGGTAGAGAAGCCATTACTGACTCGAGCCACATTTGCCCAGGTCACTACATCTATATTGATTATAATCACAGCCGCCTTGCACCTGTATTTCTTGACTGTCGACCGCCATGTTGACTTCCGGCAGGCGCTAAACATGGGAGCTGGCAGCGCCGTGGTCTTCGCCATGACTATAATCGTGATATGGCCTGTGACGGCTCTCTTAGCTTATCACATGCGCGTGCGTATCATTTGACGAAGCATCTAATGCTCTTCGTTCCAACTAACTCTGGTGGATCAGCTGCTATTGCTCAACGTCACCACTATCGAGCAAATTCGGAATCAAGCGCTCAAGTCGCTCGCACCCGGGCCTGCCCCGTACAATCCCTTCTCACACGGAAACTGGAGGAGGAATCTGCTTGCGGTGCTCTGTAGACCCGCAGGGTACTCCTGGCTCGATGGACATGCGGTGGCCACGGAGGATAAGAGGAGGATCAATCCTGGCATGGGCGCTGTCGAGGATAAGCAATAACGCGGATGTGATTGAGCGCGCAGTTTTAGAAAAGGTTAGCGATTTGTCTGGTTTACGTCATCGACACGAACAGACTGTCAGGTATTTCTTGTAAGATTTATTGCACGTCTATTCTTGCTGCATGGGTTTACATTGCTCTCGGGGTATCTTCATCTGTATACAGTACATCCATATTTCCTCCTGTTCCTCGTACAGCGGTAATGCCATCGTACACCGTACCGAATCCAATATGCAACTAGTCGAGGAGATCCACAATGATGGGTCTGAATCCTGGGCCACCGAAACTGGGCCGCTGGCCCATTTTACGCGCCGGCTCGCAGCGAGGACCCATAGGCCAGTTTGCTGCGTTGACGAAGACGGTGCTGGCGTTCTCATTCCATGCACGTAGTTCGGCGCCGTGCGCCTCGTGGATGTGTCCGAACAGGTGGAGGCGCGGCTGGAGGTGGGGGAGGCGGGCGGCGAGAGCCTCACAGCCTACGTGGTCCTCAGATAGTGTCTGGTCCAGGATGCCATGTGGTGGTCCGTGGGTGAGGCTGGTACGGAGTACACATGAGTCAGGATAACAGAGGAAGATGTAAGAGACCTTACAGGATGTCTGTCTTTGGGAATTTCGAGATAAGCTCTGCGGGTGAAGCGTAAGGAAATAAATATCACGCATCGTAGTCCAGTGACGCACTTTCAGCCTCTGGACCTCGATTGTAGTTGAACGCCCAGTCATAGAACCACGGTGACCACTGATGGTATAGTATGAGCATTCGGACACCAAAGTGGACGCCTTATATTCACAGGAGAGCCGTAGACCGACCAGGTCCGGCCGCCTTCTTTCGCTTGGAAGGTATATTCCTCGTCTTCAAGATACACAAGTCGGGCTTTCTTAGCCTTCTCTCCCTTGAGCAACTCATAAATCGGCTCGACTTTCTGCGGGGACTTTATAAAGGCAGACGAAACCCAGGACCACGAATAACTCTCACCTCCATCTTCTTCCGGTGCCATCTGTCGTAGTTCTGCTCGTACCAGCCTCTGTGTAGAGTGAGGTCATGGTTCCCTGCGATGATTCTATGCCGATGTTTTCAGCGCTACATCCTTCGGAAGAAACACAGTGGGACGAACATCTTTGTGGGATGGGGCAATTCATACAGCCATCCCATCGATGTTTGGAAATCGCCCAGCTTTCCCGTGTTGGTTATGTCGCCGCTGTGCAGGAGCACGTCGCCATCCGGCACCGGGAAGACATGCGCGTGGGTGTCGCTGATACAGACGAAGCGCGTCCATGACGGTCCACGGTGCGGTGGTGGATTTGCCATATCATATTCTATGTGCACGACTGCTGAGGGTGATTCCAGTTTATCAATCAAGTCCCTTTGCTCGTTCGCCATGATGGTATGCAAGCGGCACACGGGCTTGTTCAAGGGTATTCGGCCCGAGCCGACCACGTCGGTCCACTGGCACGCGCCTCTGCCCGATCATTAAACGCGTTACGTCACGCGACTTTACACCGCCCACGAGAGACGTGCTTTCGTTCCACCGTTACCTTTTATTAGTTCTAACCATTTCATTCTCTATTGTGGCCTTTCGATTCAGGAGTGCGCGCATTCTAAGCACGTCGGATTTGGAACTACTTGGCAGGCCCGGCTAAATCTTTTACCATGTTTGGACTCAGATATTTCAGCAATAATCCCAGAGCAAGCAAGCATACATCCGAGTCTGAGCGGGATACGCAACGTCATCCTGCATTAACTTCCTTATGCTCATTGAAGTTGCAGAGATGACCATTACAGGGTGCTTCTCAAGTAACTGTAAGTCAACCCTGCCTCCGCGGTGTTTATCAAGTATGGTACAATCAATTCTGTGACGGCATCGGTGAGCACGCGGACGAGGAGTGAAGAATTCATGAATGACGAGAAAACCGATACGTTGATTAACGTCTGATGGACATAAGGAATAGGATCGGTACGTCAAATGTTGTGAGTCAGAAGCACCTTGCAATTTGCTGACACCCCGCTTACAAAGGTATCAGAGTTGACCATCGGCGAACGTCTAGGTGGGCGAACGAGGGCGTGCTATCCGTTCCTTGAAGTGACGCTCACCAAGAAGGGTAGTATGGTTGTGAATGTAAGCAATCAAATGTCATCCTCCATGCTCTCGGGTTCCTGGGTTGCACAGCAACTCCACGGCTGATTTAGGGACGCCCGTTGGTCGGCACCGTTCCTGAGAGATACTCGCCCGAGGTTTACCCCTTCTTTGAATTTTAGGTCTGGCATTCTGATGCTCGGAATGTGGTCTCGCTGAAATATATTGCCTCACGCAAAGTCATGGACCGGATATATCGAGTGATTGTCCAAAGTACGTGCCCTTCTCGCAATGCGTATATCGTCACAATGATAGTCTGCGAGTAGGACTGTGTCGTAGGGTGCGGGATTCGTGGCGGAGTGCGCGGGCTTCCTGTACGTTGTTGACGGAGACGGTTCACCGAAGAAGACACGATGTCGTTAGCCATCGGCTCCTGCAGTGCTAATGGTGTGTGCCCATATACCTACCTAACGTCTATAGCAAGGTCGATCCGGAGCCTGACGTGCTGACTGAATTTGTGTGACTTGCCAAGTCTGTATACCTACTTTACCATGTCCCATGAGGAGCCGCCACAGATCCGCCAATTTGTTGGCGTCAAGTACTGCCCGTAAAGCTCGGTTGCGAGGGGTGGAGCAACAGAATGGATGCATACTATTTCTGCATCGTTCTGGAATATGGCTCGGGTATGTCTCGGCCTTGTCTCACTCTTCATTAACATTGCAGGTACAGTAGGTGTTCAGGAATAGCGACGTGAGCACTGCTGATAGTGTGACTTGACGAACTCCCCCAGGACTTCCGCCCCCTGCTCTAGCATGGCCAGCAGACGGCGTGGAACCAAAAACTGAGGTTGCTCGGGCTCTTTTGCGTCAGGAAGTGCCCGAACCTGAGTCCTTCTGAGGTCTTCACTGCTTCTACCCCGACTCCCGTGCATGGTTGCTGGACCGCTCGAAGGGAACTTCTATCCCCGAAGCGGCCCTTGCGCATGTTATCGGCGATAGCATCTTTCGACACGAAACCGTGGTCCATGGGCATGTCTATATTCCTAGAACGTGGAGGATCGCGTTTCCTTCTTACCTTTGCTGCTTCACTCTCGGGATTTCTTGTAGGTGCCTCTGACACACTAGTGCCGTGCGCCCGTGAACCCGTAGCTGGTTCCACCCATGGAGAAGTGAATTAGAGTCGCCGTATGTATGGGAGAGCGAGATCTAGATACCACACATCTGGAGCCAACGCCATGCTCCGTCCATCGGATGCTGGGATGTCCTGTCCATGTATTGCATCACGGTGAGTTCTCTCCCAGGCCGCTCCGGTTGTCTTACATTTTTGTCTGGCGCGGAATAGTCCCGCCCTAGATCATCAAGTCCAGTAACGGAATGGCTACGCATCGATAAACGGGGCTTTAGGATGGTGTGCTGGTACATTGACGCCGTTTGGTACCGCCCGATTGATATACCACCGCCCACACGGAGGTGTGGGGGCCTTCAAATATATCCATGGAGGTTGTGCTCGGTTCCGAGAGCGCGCCTTTTGCTGGGTCATAGTTGGTTGGTTCCGTCCTTCAATAGATTATATTTAGGTGTGATACAGTGCCATATGATCACGGCTATTTTCTGGTGCGCAATGTTCACCATTCGGAATTCAGTCGGTCAACATTGATGGCATTAGGACTCCTCCACATGCCGTTGGGGATTTATTACAGTCCCAAGACCGTCCTCATGTGCTACTGAACTTGAAAGGCATGGGTAAAACCCGACGCTGAACTCTGTTTCGACAGTTCCATTCCCACAGTAACGAGAACATAGGCCAAGGAGAATTGTCCTGGCGAGGGACATTCGCCCCGATGAGGCTTGAAGATAGACAGCAGTGGAGCAATAGCACGGAGACGGACTCACGAAGGGGTCCTCGACGCGGGACGTAATCAAGCTCATGAGCAGGTGCCTGATCGTGGACGAATCGGAAGCGGTGTCAAGAATCCCGCATGCCATCACTATCCCACGACCAACCGCTCGCAGTTATGACCGACTGGGAGGTGCCCGGAGTTTTGTTGTTTGACAACTCGCATCGCAGACCGTTCAACGAGAGGAATGCAGTCTACCGACGTTCTCGGACCTTACAGTCGCGGATGAAGCTCAGGTGAGTCAATCGCCCGATATATAAGGGACCTATATACGCAAATCATATCAGATCAGACGGTAGATAGAACACTGCGTACGGGGTTGATGATGCATTCTACTCAGCCTCATGTTGGCAGTTGGAACGCAAGGGTGTGTATTCCTTGGCTATAACTAGAAGAATGGATCACGAGAGATTTAATAATACGTGTAAGCGTGGTCCATGGATCCTCAATCAGACATACGCCTTAGGATGAAGGTCGCAGAACCTGTATAAATGCGTACATAAACAAGGGTGAGGCTGGTTATGACGCAAGCCAAGGTACACTTGTAGACCCCTGACGATCTTGATGACTCGGAATTAGAACCCTGTAACAGGTTCGCAGCTTGTTGTCGCAGCTCGCGTGGGTGTTTATTTAGCATTTCTACCGCAGGAGTCTGGTACCCCTAACAGAGGGTAGCTTGCTTGCGTCGACTGTGGCTATCGAAGAGCATGCAAAGCGAGTTCCGGGACGACATCAGGTCGGTGTCAGGCTCAGGTTGTGCTTTGAGCTCCTTTCAGGCCACCCTTCATTATTGAACAACGTAAGACTCCGGACATTCGGTCCGCGGATGCTTCGAACGCGGAGTTACAAATTTGGGGCGGAGATCCGATATTGGCTCCTGCGGACAGGCGGCAGCCCCGGCATCAACTCGGGTCAATCCCTTGTTGTTGTCCTGCCTTTCCTCCCTGTTGCGACGCTCGAGGTGTATACACGGACAGGAACTGCAGATACGAACCGGCGGAGACCGTAGAGGAGAAGCAAGCGAGAGAATCCACCGACGAGCGAGGCAGCGGACTCCTTACATAAGGCAGAAGCTGGCTAGGTAAGACGGGAGGGGAGATTGTAGCCCGTCTATAATAAGCCGGCACGGATAATATGGAAAGTAACCCTCCCGCGGAGAACGCCTCCCCGTCTGACAAGCCGCTGCCGACGCCGCCGCCTGCAGCCAGAAACAACAGGAAAGCTAAACGGCAGAGGGGTTCTCAGCCACAGTCCGTTCCCGAGCCTGCTCCGGGCGAGCGCGACACTACCCGTCAGTTGTGTTGTTCTTCCGTCGCAGTCTCAGTCATTTCTAATCTACCACACATCCCTTCTTGCCTCGTCTTTAGCCGCCGCTGTATCGCATGGGAACAACAACCAACCTCATCAGCCCTTGGCTCCCAATCATAGACCTGTTCATCCTTATCCCGCCTATCCTATGATGAACCCGCCGTATTCCATGAATGGCTCGCCCTACCCTCAGCCCCCGGCGTCCAATCCGTCGTACAACTCGTCGGCTAACCCGGCAATGAACCGCTCTAGTCCGCAGGTTGGACCTGGTATGCCAAACAATGTACCGCCTCACCCGTACCCGTACCCGCTCCAACAAAATCCCTATCCCACCCATGGCTATGGCTATCCTCAGTTCGCTGCGCCTCACATGATGGTCTATCCGAGACAGCCCTCGCAGGAGGCGCTGAAGACTCAGGGTGCCTCTTCACCGGCCCCTTCTCCCACTTCGACTTCAGGTAAGCGTAAACGAAAATCAACCGATGATGCTAGGGGGCACGGTGTTGGTGAGAGGGCGTCTGACGAAGAGGTGGCCTCTGGTCGTGCGTCAGGTCATCATGCTAGCCCGGGCACTACCGGCGTCGTCGACGTGAAAAAGCGCACGAAAACCCAACGCGCTTGCGACAGCTGTCGAACGCGTAAGATCAGGTACGTTCCTATATCATTTCGCTGTCATTCCACATTGTGGCACGCGCCCGCCAGCTTCATATTCTTTGGTCACCACATCCAATCACCGGGTCAAAATTTTCGTACCTGTCGATGGCTAACATGAGGGGGCAGATGCGACATCATCCCTGACACTGATCCGCCAGTATGCCAGCACTGCAGACAGTACGGTTATGAGTGCACGGCCTTCAAGCCCATCACCGAGACTCGCTTCAAGAAGCGGAGAATGGAGCAGGACAATGCAGCGAGTGGTGCAGAAAGAGAGAAGACAGAGTCCTTGCGTACGGGTACCGCGTCTCCTGCACCCTCTACTCATTATTTCGGTACGCCATATTATATATGAAGGATCCAAGGCGTGGTTGAAATATGTTGTTGTTCCTACTAGGCCCAACGTCCCCAGCGTACCTACTGCATTCGCAGCATTCCATCCCCCCGCGCGTGTACGAATCTTACGATCTACGATATCACCACTCATGGGAAGTGAGCCGCGGCGGGGACGGGCTTATACAGATCGCAGAGCCCGACCGCAGTGAGCCAGCAACCGCTCTACCCAAGCCCATAGATCCCCGGATAGAGCGCGAAGTCATCCAGAAACTCGTCAATGCATACTTTGCTGAGGTTTGCCCCTTACTGCCCGTCGTCACCCAATCAGAACTTCTGTCAAGTCCCTCGCCGCCGCCAATATTGCTGTATTCAATGTGCGCCGTCGCGGCCGCGAAGCGTGACGTGCCGCAAACCGTCTTTGACACACTGAGACACGCCGTCAACAGTGTGATCAAAGCCGATGATGTCTTGAGCACAGCGTCTGTAGTCAATGTGCAGAGTTTGCTTATCCTCTCTATGACGGGCGATTGCCATTCGCAATTTGTACCGAACGCACTGTCTGCGCTTTGGATTCGATTAGGAGCAGCAATACGGATGGTACGTAATTTTGTTTGTAAAGTTGTTGCTACCAGCTCAGATGTCGTGTCATTAGGCCCAGGATCTCGGGCTACACAGGGCAGAATCTGTCAAGGCCAACATAGAGATGCGGCGGCGCCTGTGGGGTGTATGTGTTGTCAGCGACCGATGGTAAGTTATGGAGTCATGCTACCGCCAGATCTCCAGCCCGTCCTAATATGCCTGATTGTAGGACAAGTCTCGCGTATGGCCACCCCTTCATGATAGACGTTCAAGATTGCGATGCTCGTCTCCCGTCGTCGGGCGATCCCAACGATCTCTACATGGATGAGATGGTTCGATTAAGTATTATTCTGGGACGTGTGCTTAAGACTATCTACAGGTGCGCATGTAACGCACGCTTTCTGCGGTTTCCGGTCTAACCGCTGATCCGCCTTGGATGCAGTCCTTCCGGCTTGACCCTCGCCACGGACGAGATACTATATGCACTACTCGCGGATATTGAGGCTTGGAAGAAAAATCTTCCTGAAAGCTTACAATTCCGAGGGCCCGAGACGCCCACTAATGGAGGTAAGTTCGGGCGCCGCAATATGTTGGTGCGGCGCTCACCATGCCGTCTACTGCTAGGCATCCTGCACCTGTTATACTCCTGTGTCTGTATGATATTCTGGCGTGTATTCATGCGGATATCGTACAGCTGCCCCTCGCACTTAAAATTCTCGCTCACCGTTGAGCAGTGGAGCAATCTCGTGCAGCTGACTGGCGAGGCCATCGACTGGCTGGATGCACACGAGCGGCAATACGACGTCTGGTTACTGGTTGCCTATGCAACTACCTCATGTGCTCTTGTTCAGGTAAGCTATACTGTCCGCTCGTAGGCGATGTTTTACTTATGGATGCTGCAATACAGTACCATACATGGGCACGTCGAAAAGACCACGAAGCCGTGAACAAGCTCCGTAAACTTCGAGACTGCGTCCGCCGATGGGAGAAGTCTCTTTCACCCGACCATATGTCGGCTAGACGAAAGGCCTGTTGACGCGTTTCCGAAGACCTAATATAGGCCGGTTGCTGATACTTCTCTATTGAACAGACGGCGGAGATCATTTCTCTTTTGTATGAAGCCACTCAGGGCCCTGCTCAATCTCTCGAAGCCCCCGCTCTCAATCCGACCGGCGGCGTTAAGGGCAAGAACCTGCAGGAAGGTCTGGATTACAAGAAGGACCCATCCCGTCCCGGCGGGGGCGTCTACATCGCGCATGGGAAGGCGAGAGAGGGGGACTACTCTGAGGTGCCGCCAGGGCAAGTTATACTCTCGGATGACGAATCGGAAGGTGAGGAATTGTCCGTGATGTCGGCACTGGGCGTGTCGCACGTAAGGGGCACCGCCGAACCAGCTGCTCGCACACCTCCCTCTCCGCTCGGTGATCCTTCATCTGACGTTGCTGGCGGCGTGACCTCTTTCTGGTCCGCGCCGGGTTCCTCAGGCGGTGCTAACAACGCTAATGCCGATACGAACCGAGCGGCTGCTGGCAGCCAGGGCAGCCAGGCAGCGGGCTCGTCCCTGGTCAACATGGTGCCGCTGACTGGCCCTGGAGCGAGCTTCACGAACCTGAACCCGGCCATGAACGATTTAATGGCGACGGCGAACAACAACGTGCAGGTAATGAATGTGTTGGACATGCCTATGCCGGAAGCTTCAAACAATCAATTGCAGCAGTATGCGGTCGCCGAAGACGGGTTTCTGGACGGTCTGCCTGGTGGGATGTTCGATTGGGGTGAGTTCGCCGTTTGTATATCTCGGGGTTTCAGTAACCCGAGTCTCCCATTCACCTAGGCCAATGGGACACGTTCTTTGCACGTCTCGCGCCTCAAGTTGGGTTGCCGGGGTTCCAGCAACCGCTGGCGCAAGATCAGCAAGCCTCCACCAGTAATGGAATTACGGGGTCTATGCCGGGACAGCCCGACGGGCGATCCCAGCAAAGAGACCAAATGGGTTACCGTCCCCCGGGCAGCGGGAGCTAACATTTCGCGGTGCCAGTTCGTTGTTTACTTGTGTAGACTTTGTGAGACTGTTGGGCGGCCTTTCCCTGCGTATATTCCGCTGCGTTTCACCCGTCCCTTTTCTTGTATTCATCCACGTCCTTTCCTGTTTCACCTATCGCACGTACTTCCTCGGACTTCACGCTGCTTGGTATAACGACCCGTAGGTAATGATGGAAGCTGCGAGAACCAAAAGTGTATTTTACTTCTATCGAGCCATAGACAGAGTATACGATGACCTTGACGCAGTTTTTGTGGCAGAGCCTTTCAGTGGCAGGTATCAGTCAGGTATCTTATCGCAACCTTCGGTACTTGTACCGAGCAATCGCATCGAGATTGCTCGCCATTGCACTAGTCTTCTGATATCACCTTCTGCGGACTAACCGATACCGCTTCGAGTGTGCGAAGCGGAAGAATTGTGATGGGTACGGTTGACCATCTGGGCCAGGTCAAATTCAGAAGTCGCCTCACAACTTCGAGGCTGCCTTAGGTTCGATCCTCAGCGTTGACAGCTTTCGGCCAATCCCGAAACAGTCTCTGAAGGTTGAATACATCTATCAATATTATGTACGTAGCGCGGCACTGAATTTTACAGTTAGTAGTGACTGTTCGATAATCAATATCGCTGTAGTAAAAGGGAGAAGAGGAAGAGGCACGGGACCACTACTCCGAGAGGATGCGAATCCCCAGCCCACATATTTCGGGGAGCGACGGACGGAAAGACTTATCGGTACCGTTTAGTGCACATTAGTACTAACCGTATCCTTTAATGCTTCACAACCGTTTACACCTCGCGCTGCACAGTCCACCTGCCGATACTGATATCCCG